TGGACCTAATGGTCAGTCGTCCCGGTGCAGAAAATCCCGATGGATAAAAAAGACAGACTGAACGACCCAATCGAAATAGAAGAAATCAAAGACGCTATAAAAGAACTGAAAAGTGGAAAGACACTGGGACCAGATGGATTTACAGCAAGATATTATAAAGAAATGAAATACACCCTACTTGTGCCAATGAAAGAAGTTATGAATAATATATTAAAGAAGGGGGAATTGCCTGAAACATGGAAAGAAGCATATATTACACTTATTCCAAAGCAAGATTCGGACTTAACACAAGTAAAGAATTATAGACTGATCTCTTTGTTAAATAATGACTATAAATTATTTGCAAGCATATCGGCAAATAGAATGAAAAAAATATTAAATGAAATTATTCACAGGGATCAAGCAGGCTTTTTACCTGGCAGACAGATGAAGGATAATATAAGAAACATGATTAACATAATTGAGTATCTGACTGCCAGGAATGAAAAGCAAGCAATGTTAATTTTTTGTGGATGTGGAAAAAGCTTTTGATAACATATCCTGGGAATTTATGCTAAAAAATTTGGAATTAATGGATACAGGTCAATTCTTCCTAAATGGAATAAAAGTGATATATTCAGAACAGAGAGCAAAATTGATTGTGAATAATATAGTAACAGAAAACATTGAAATTACCAAAGGCACAAGACAAGGGTGTCCTTTATCACCATTATTATTCATATCGGTACTGGAAGTCTTCTTAAGATCAATAAGGAAGAATGAGTTAATAAAGGGAATTTCAGTCGGTCGAAATGAATATAAAGTGAAAGCCTTTGCCAATGACTTGGTATTAACAATTGAAGAGCCAATTACAAGTGTTACAGAAATATTAGAGGAGATAGAACAATTTGGGCAAGTGGCAGGTTTTAAATTGAACAAAAAGAAAACTAAGATATTAGTTAAAAATATGAAACAGGACCTGGTAGAAACATTGCAACAACAAATAGGTATTGAAGTTGTCAAAAGAGTTAAGTATTTGGGAATTTGGTTAACTTCTAAAAATATTGATCCTTTTCAAAATAATTATACACCAGTGTGGAAAACTGTTAAAAGAGACTTAGAAATATGGGGAAGGATGAAGTTATCATTTTGGGGAAGGATTTCAGCTATTAATATGAATGTGCTACCTTAGATGTTATTCTTGTTTCAGACAATTCCAATAATCAAACGGGCAGCAATTTTCAAAGATTGCCAAAAAAACAATTTCAAGGTATATCTGGCAGGGAAAGAAGCAGAGAATTCAGTTTAAGTTACTAACAGATACTAAAGAAAGAGGAGGCTTCGCCCTGCCAGATTTGAAATTATATTATGAAGCATCTTGCCTTTGTTGGTTGAAGGAATGGATGAAATTAGAAAATACTGAATTGCTGGATTTAGAAGGTTATGATAACAGATTTGGGTGGCACGCATATTTATGGTATAATAAGACAAAAGTCCAAAAAGGATTTGGAAGCCATATATTTCGAAGATCTCTAATAGAAACCTGGGATAGGTATAAAAACCTATTGGAACGAAAAACACCACATTGGTTATCTCCTAATGGATGAGTGTAATGAGTGTAATGAGCGATGAGTGTAAAAAAGGTCAATATGAATGGGAAATGGATAACATATGGGAAATTAATATATATGGAAGGAAGTAAATGGAAACTGAAACCATATGATGAAATTAAAGAATATGTTAATGATTGGTTACATTATCACCAGGTCAACGAAATGTTTAAACAAGACTCTAAAGAAAAAGGATTTGATGAAAGTGGATCAAAGTTTGAATTAGAGATATTAAGTAATGATGCAAAAATTTTGTCTAAAATGTATAAATTGCTGCTTGAATGGCATTTGAAGGATGAAGAGGTTAAGTCGGTTAGGATTCACTGGGCCAAAGATTTTGGGTATAATATACAGCTGAGTGATTGGGTGAAATTATGGAAGGAAGGTTTAAAATTTACTGCATGCAATGCCCTAAATGTGATGAAAATAATGTATAGATGGTATATTACACCTGTCAAGTTAGTGAAAATGTATAAAGTCAGTAATAAATGTTGGAAGTGTAAAGAAAAAGAGGGAACATTTTATCACATGTGGTGGGAATGTAAAAAGATTAAATGCTTCTGGGAGATGATATATATAATGAGTTGAAAAAAATGTTGAAATATACATTTATAAAGAAACCAGAAGCATTTCTATTGGGCATTGTGGGGAGTGACATAAATAGAAAGGAATGTAAGGTATTTTTATATGCAATAACAGCAGCAAGAATATTATTGGCCCAAAAATGGAAGCAAGAAGAGTTACCGTTGATTGAAGAATGGAGGGTGAAGTTAATGGATTATGCAGAATTAGATAAACTAACAGGAAGGATTCGAAACCAGCGAGACCAGAAATTGATGGAAGACTGGAGTAAATTTACGGACTATTTGAAAAGTACCGTATTTTTTGCTCTATAAGACTCACTCCCCCCCCCCCAAAAAAAAGTAAAGGGAAATGTGTGTGTGTCTTATGGAGCAAATGCAGGCTGCACAACTATCATGGAGGCCAGAACAGCAAGAGGGATTGCTGCTTTCACTGCACAGCAATCCCTCTTGCTGTTCTGGCTTCTGAGATTCAGAATATTTTTTTTATTGTTTTCCTCCTCTAAAAACTAGGTACATCTTGTGGTCTGGTGCGTCTTATAGAGCGAAAAATACAGTAATTGTGAAGAACAGACGTTTGTGGGGTTGCAAGAAGTTTTGTGAGGAGTATTATTAGAAGTATTGTAAAAATGGACAAGGGGGAGGATGATTTGTTAAGAGATGTAAAGGCAATATAAAGTTAAGAAATGCATAAGAAGTGGTTAAAACGGTGGATCATCAGAGGTGCTGATGGAAGTCTAAAAAGATTGTATAAGTGATAAGTTTTGTGGTACATTTTATAATTTATATGTTAAAATTAATAAAAAATATTATAAGGTAATCGTCAGGCATCCCTTTCCCTTTTCCCTTTAATTGTTAAAGTAGTAAAAGCAATGTTAAAAAGTTGAAGAATGACTAAGATTTTTATTAGTTGATAATTACAAGGCTATTTTGGAATTTTTGACAGCAAAATAGCTGCCAATGTATGTATGTCACAATTCCTATTATTTTCCTAAAGACACTCATAGCTTCCTTTGACTGATCCTGTCCACAAGGCATTTAGTTTCACAGTATTTTGTCTTTTTACTCGCTCTTCCAGTATGTATGCATTACTGTACAGAGCTTTCCTATGGGCTTGGTTTAAAAACAAAGTTCAATCGTACACTAGAAAATGGTTTCAGAACTCTGAACTCCAGAGAACCGTCATCAAATTAAGGGCAGTGCAGGAATTTGGTTATTTTCTTTTCTTTCTCAGTTGTCCTTGTCAGTCAACTAGCCACATACTGTATAGGAAGGGCAGATTGCTCCCAGCAGCTCCACCTACACAGCAGTGAGTGCCAGGCTTATCCCAAACTACTGTGTAAAAGGGGCTTTGTTGCTCACAAACTCTTTCCTGTGCAGTTTCTCGCTACTGGAAGAAAAGGGCTCTGTTTGCAGCTAGGAGAAAAGGGCAGATTTCTTTACTTAGCAAAAACCCCAGACCTGATTAAATGTTACAGATATGTGTGGTTTCTGCTGCTGCTGCTTCTGCTGTTTATCCTTTGTGGTGGCATAACTTTTGAAAGCTTTTACAGCATCTCTGCATCAGTTCCAGCACCTACCAGGGATTTGCAGTGTTTGTGCGAGGTTGGCAGAGTAGGATGGGTTTTTTAATACTACATCAGCCACATAGAAGGGCGCCACATGGTATTGCTTTACATTTAGATAGGCCATCATCCAGGGGTACCAACTTGAATAAAATATTGCGGAGGCTCAGGTAAGCCCCTCCCTGCATAATCGATCACATGATGTGGTGCATGCATACCATTTGAATGGCAATGCCCATCAACATTTGGGGGGGCGGTCCTCTCAAATATTTTATGGGGGGCGGCAAAGGGACCCCGGCCTCTAGGCATTGGCTCCTTTGCATTCATCAGTTGCCAGAGTTTCCAAGGACCAGGAGAAAGCAATCTGAAGACCTGTCAACCACTTGTTGGCAAGGAAGAAAATGCAGTATAACTACAATATGTTCCCTGACTTGCTTTTAGCCTTGCCTTCTGCATTTTCAGCAAAAGTTTCATAAGTATTTCAATAGACCTTTGTGATGCATGCAAAGCATCTAGAAACAAAACTGACAAACTAAGAGTTAAATACTTGCATTCCTCAGAGCATGGCTGTACCTAGGTAATAGGCATAACTGAGTAAGCATGCTGAGTAAGCATGAAAAAATGCCAGTGTGTCAAATCCTTGAGCATCATATCGTGAAAGTGAAGCCATTATCAGAGAAGGATTATGTGTCTCTGTGTTAAAGATGAGTGATAGACTTCTCTAAGTCATGGTTCTCCATCCTCTGGCAAGCAATTTCACCCTTTTCTGGAGTACATTCCACCAATTTGGACCACCAGGTGTTTATCACTGCATTAGCTTACTCTCTCTCTCTCTCTCTCTCTCACACCCACACACACACACACACCCCCACACCACACCCCTACCCTTTCTCCCTACAGCCACATAGAGGCATACCTAGTATTCTGCCACAACACACACCAATTGCACTCTTCTCCTTGCCTGTCAAGAGAGGCATGGCAAACTACCAAGGAGTTCAGCTTTTCCAGGATATACCTTCAGCACAGTCAATTTGGCCCAAAAGCAGCCTGTCACTTCCAGAAGATACATGGCTGAGCTGGCCTCTAGCCGAGTTGCATTAGGCAGAAACTGGGCTCCCTCCTGCCTCACTTACGGGCAGATCTATGCACTGCTAAATAACTGCACAGCTGGAACAGCCTTCGGGAATTCTTGCAGGAACCAATATGAACTTTGGCGATCATTTTGAGAAGGATTGGATTAAGCGCGAGAAAAAGAATCAAAGACTCCCAACAATAACAAATCATATTAGCATACAAGCACAACATCTCCAATTATATTGATAACATTGGTACATCATAATACTTTCAAAACATCATTTTATATTCTGGAAGCGAGACACACTTCTGAAGGCTGGATCAATATAAATCTTCTAACATTTTGATTACTGGCAAAATTAATCTATTATAAGCACACTATACTATATTCTTCTCAAAGGCGCAAATACTTCTCTGATCAACTCCCTTTTTAGAGAGACTGCAGCTCAGTTTCATATCATCACTCAGAAGCTGAATGCTCTTTAGACAGCAAGGATAACATTCACATTCGCTGTTATTTTAAAGCCATTTACTAGGAAGCACAGAAGATGCTATTTTTTCTTAGGAGGCAGTATAATCCTATTGTGTATGTTAGCATAATGATCAGACTCTATATTGTCATCTGTATCTGAAAGAGTCACATAAACATTTCCGCTGTCCACAGTAACTCTGTGAGTCCTCTGTTTTACTCCTTTTGACTGCCATTTGGGTTTCGGAGATGGCTCCCTGGGATTTATTGCTTGATACAATCCTTCACCTGTTGCCAGAGTTATTTTATACTTGTGCCAGGGACAAATAATGCAAGGCTGTCCATTGATGTCCTAAACACACAAAGGAAGGAGGGAAGATGGGAAGGGAAAAATAATAAAATTATTATTACACTGAACATGCCCCACACAAAATCCTTCATACCACTATAATAGGAGTACTAGGTTCCTCTTTTTTAAAAAAGCATATAAATGTAACAAATAACACAAATAAATAAATATCTGAAATTTCACAAAACGTGGAAATCTCAAGAGTGCAAACTCCTGGAAAGTCTCCCTGAAAGTTCATTGGAAAATTACTTTAGCACTAGTTCACTCTTAAGGACACCCTCCCCCCCTTCTGAGATTGCATGGCGAGTTCCCGTCCCCATCCACCAGAGGAAATAAAGACACATGACACAATTATTTAAGGTTAATGGGCTAAATATGGCCACAACTTTCTTGGTTACAGGGGATCAGCGGTGTGCGGTGACCCCGGGGGAGTTCCTAGTTGATGTGCATCAGCAGGACTCCCCCTACTGGTGGTTAACCCTTCCCCGACTTCAAGCGATCAGGCTTAAGACAGATAGTCGGTTAGGACCAATGCCTAAGCCAATACCGCTCATTACCTGTAACCAATAAAGTTGTGGCCAAATTTAGCCCATTAAACTAAATATTTGTGTCATGTGTCTTTATTTCCTCTGGGGGGAGGAGGTAACCTGCCATGCAATGCTGTAATAACAGTTTATTTCACCAGTCATGTGAGGAGGGCACTGCCTGTCGAATATGTCCTAGCAAGAATTGGAATGAAATATATAATTAGTGCCTTTCCACCCAATCTTTTTTTGTCAGTGTAGAAAAAATACATGCGGTTATGTGCAGTAACAGTACAGACATATAAACATCTAAGTTCTATTAAGCTAAATATAACCAACATTCCTGAGTAGATATGCATAAGTCTGCATTCTCAGTATCCCAAAGCATACAATTGATAAACAGAAAAATAAATTGTAATATTAATATACCCACGGCATAGTAGGCCACTAAATTTTCTTAAAGTAAAACACACACATTCCATCCAACATTCACTGTACTCTGTTTTAAAAGTCAAGGGAGGGACTTTTGAACTTTTCATTCATTCTGAAACAGAATTCTAAGAATGTTAGGTTCTGTATAACCCAGAAACCAGAGCATTTTTTTCCACCTTGCTCTTCAGCTTTTATGCTAGTCTATCAAAGACAATAAACTCAAGAAAACAATACAGTGGTACCTTGGGTTAAGTACTTAATTCGTTCCGGAGGTCTGTTCTTAACCTGAAACTGTACTTAACCTGAAGCACCACTTTAGCTAATGGGGCCTCCTGCTGCCGCCGCGCCGCCGAAGCCCGATTTCTGTTCTCATCCTGAAGCAAAGTTCTTAACCTGAAGCACTATTTCTGGGTTAGCGGAGTGTGTAACCTGAAGCGTATGTAACCTGAAGCGTACGTAACCCTAGGTACCACTGTACTTGTTAATGTGGTTTCTGTGATGTAAAAAGAAAGCCATCGGGTTTTACCTTATGTTATTTTGGAATGATCATATTTGAAAGTCCTGGCTGTTGAGACTACAGTGATGGGGGGGGCTATTTTCTTGTGTACACATGATGTCAGGAGTCAAGGAGGCACTGTGCTTAAGAGGCACATTGTGTTCTCATAAAGGTTTATTGTCTTGGAGGTGGAGATACACACACGTATGGCGTATTGTCATACATATATGGCATAAGACCAGATTAGGCTAAATTCAGGAGCTGTAGATAAGACACCAGGGCATGCAGGATGTCTTTCAGGCCAATTGGCTGGATATGTGGACAGCTGGTCAACAAATTTGCTGGACAAGGTATGAGCTACTCTGTGTCTGAGTCTTGAATCCCCGAATGGAAATGAGTTCTCAAATCCTGGATTCTGGGAACACTGCCTTCTCTACACCTCTGTACTTGATTATTTTTTTTAAGTCAGTTTCTACCAGATAAGCCAGGGGTAAGGAACCTCATTTCTGGGGGCCAAATATGGTCCTCAACGCCTCTCTGGCCTGTTGAATTTCCCCCAGGCCACACCCCTGCTGCACCAGCCATGGCCCTACTAGCCCTATTCCACACATACATGTTTTTGCCTAGTGGGAATGCCTTGGGTCCCACCTACCACTAGCATGTGGCCCTTGAAATGTTGGCCAGAAGGGAAGGCGGCCCTCGGTCCGGAAAAGGTTCCCCATCCCTGAGATACACACGCACCTGTGCTGTGCCTGCATCATATGCCTGGTTAAATACTGGAGAAAACTCATAGAATATGTTCCTGTTCCTTCCCATCCACTTCTGCCATCCAGAAGTTTCAGAAGGCAGCAGGGCTCACTGGCTTATTCCCGAGTCATAATAAATGCAGGAGGTGAAGTGGGCTGGCATTTCAGATCCCAATATTGGTTTCAGGCTCCATAGAACAGAATTCTGCTAATTTAGATCAGCCAGCAATTGGCTGGACAGCAACCATAGTTCTTCGTTCTGATGCCGCAGACTTGCTCCAACCTGAATATTTCATGTCTGAACAATGCTTACACGGTAAGTATAATTTTGAAGACAGGCGCTTTATTCTTTTTGACTACTGTTTTTCAATTCAGCCCAGATAATACAAAGACTCTTCTTGGAAATTATAGATGAGATTAGGGATGAATTCCCCAATTTACTGAGACTGACAAGCTCAAACCAGGTAATGTTTCTGAGCTAATACTAATACTGTTTCACTATTATTTGAAAGTTAAGTTTATTTATACAATAGTCTGTTAAAGACTGCATTTGCTACAAACTCAGCAAAGTTTCAGCTTAATGTTTTACTTATACACAAAGTTATACACAAAGTTAGAAAAATAATTAATATATTCAGGGGAGACAAGTTTTGGCATAGCATACCTCCAGAAAGCTGCTCCACAGATTTATTTATTTTTAGTATCATTTTTATCCAATGATGATAAAAACCAAATTATTACTAAATCCCCAAAATAAGCATACCCGTGTGTGCATCTATTGAGTTTTGGCTAATTTATCCAAGTAAGCAAGGTTAAACTAATGTTTCTAAAGCAGTCTAAAGATCTATGGCATACAATGTTCTTTAGTAAAGAGCCCAAGGGTTGTAATGCTAATTTCCCCCCTACTGGTGTTTCTGTGAATAATTGTCTAAAATACATGTCAACTTGGTGCATTTGCTGGAATGTTGGACTAGGAGGGACAGGGTTCAAATTCCCACTCAGCCATGAAGTCACTGGATGACAGCCCAGTCACTGTCTCTCAGCCTAACCTCGCCCACAGGGTTGTGGGGAGAGATCCATTTATGCTATCTTGAGCTCCTTGGATTAAAAGTGAGATATTAATATAATAAATGAATGCATGCCAGGGTCAGATGTTTGCAGATCTCATCATATATTCATTGTCCCCAATGGCAAACTATTACTACATCAGCAATAGGGCCCAGTGTGGGAATGTTGAGGATAGTAGGAGAGAATATATTGATTAAATATTATCCTTCCTCACTCATGCTAGTGAGCTAGTAGCAGAGCACATTCCCTTGTACATTGCAGGAAGCTAGTTGATGCATCAAACCGGCTTTCTCTCTTCTAGGCCTTTCCCCCCCCGCAGAGTACCGTAATTTGACTATTTTTTTCTCTCCCTCCTTGTATTGACTTATATTTCAGGACAGCAATCGCACCGTGCAGGAGTCTAGGTCTGTTGTGGCAAGAGTGTTCTCTTCCGCTCATGCGGTAATGGTTAGGCATGGGCTAGGTCATCTCTCCCGCTCTTCAAAATCAATTGCTAAATTCGTGCAGCCACACCTCATTCAAAAATTGGCAGGACTGCATAGGCTATCACATTGTCTCTTGCAGAAACTGAATGCTCCCAAACAACCTCTTTATAAATTGAAGGTAGGCAATGGGTGTGACTGCTCCATCTCATATTTTCTTTTCTTTTTTTTTAAAATATTTTTATTAGGAATTTCAACATAACCATCTCATATGTTCTAAGTGAGTTATAAGTGAGTGTGTGAGGGATTTTCCTCAGCACCACAACAGAGGATGAGAAGGTAAAATTTCCTCCTCCATGCCATCTTGAGATTCTCATAATTATAAGCCCCATCAGCTGATGCTATTTGCTCTAAAAATGTTAGGTGCAAAGACCCTTTTTTTAAACATTCACATACAGTTTGATCTTCCTTGTGCAGACAAGGATTCAGTATGAGATAAGATTCAGTATGGCAGCTTCCAATGTTCCAGTGATAGCATATTACAGCACAAACAAACAAAAAGGAATCTTGTGGCAGACTAATAGATATATTGTGGTACAGGCTTGTGGATTAGAGACTAGTGTTTTGTGCATATTTGCTAGAAACTAAGTCCCACTGAGTTCAAAAGGGTTTACTCCCATGTCAATATGCGTAGGCTTGTAGCCTTATGTTCTATTGAAATCAATGGGAACTATTTCCATGAAATATTATTTAGGATTTACATAATGACCTGTCAATTTGTAAACCTGATCTTCCCCAAGTCCCCCCCGCAATAATTTGTCTGGGTCAGCAGCGATAGTGTGTTGGCGCACAGAGAGTTAATAAACCACATCAGGAATCCTGCATGGAAATATGTAGGAACTGTCTAGCATGTGAACATTAGATTGTTATCCATGTTGAGCTTTATGTCCCATTGATTTAAATAAGGAAGATATAAGCAAGTTCTTAACTCTCCCGTTCAAACCAAAGGAACTTAAAAGTGCTAAACTTTGAAAAGATCATGTATACCAAACTGCAATATGGCAGAAGAATGAATCCCTTGACAATGAATCCCAGCTTGGTGTAGTGGTTAAGAGCGGTGGACTCATAGTCTGGTGAACTGGGTTCTCTTCCCCGCTCCTCCACATGCAGCTGCTGGGTGACCTTGGGCTAGTCACACTTCTCTGAAGTCTCTCAGCCCCACTGACCTCACAGAGTGTTTGTTTTGGGGGATGAAGGGAAAGGAGGTTTTTAGCCGCTTTGAGACTCCTTAAGGGGAATGAAAGGCAGGATATCAAGTCCAAACTCTTCTTCTTCTCTACAGGAAAAATCCATGTTCCTTTATGATGTCCTTTCCTATCCAATGAAGACCGCCCTCACTGGTGTAATGAGCATTTCTTATGCAGCACTAATTTATTTGGTAGGTTAATAATGTTCTTTCTGATCCTTCTTGTTTCGTGCTTCCCCTTCCCTTCAGCAAAGAATTGAAGCCATACATTATTCCTCAATTACTGTGCACCCTTTTAGTGCACATTCCCAATGCCCAGCTTAGCTGGCTTGCTATGTGTGACCTTTTCTCGACCAACATTGCCTACCTACAGTAGCATATATACGGGTAACCTGTAATTTAGGCTGTTGCTATTGCACTCTGCAAAGGGCAGCTATTCAAGACAGTCCAGAAACTGCCACTGGCATTAAAGCAGGATCAAGGGTCACTCATCTTTAAACCTCAAGAGGATGATCATGCAACTGTCAATATGCCAGCATTTATTAAAAGTGTTCATGAGAAAAAGTGTTGACCACATGCAGCATTCCTTGATGGGATGGTTGAAGGGATAGGACAACACACACACATATACACACACACACAGCATTTTAGACTGAAACCAGTCCGGAAATTTTCAAAGTGTGATCTGCTCACCTCATCCCCATCATGATTCCATCCTTTCCCCCAGGCATTTGATATACAGCGGTACCTCGGAAGTCAAATGGAATCCGTTCCGGAAGCCCGTTCGACTTCCAAAACGTTCGGAAACCAAGGCACGGTTTCCGATTGGCTGTAGGAAACTTCTGCAGCCAATCAGAAGCCGCGTCGGATGTTCGGGTTCCAAAGAACGTTCGCAAACTGGAACACTCACTCCCAAGTTTGCGTTGTTTGGGTGCCAAAACATTCGACTCGCAAGGCGTTCACAAACCAAGGTACGACTGTATTGATACAAGTAATGCATCCTAACCAAGTGCGGCTATACTGCAAAACTGTATCTCTTAAAGTTAGGCAGAAATGCAGAGGATTCCAAACCTTTCCGTTTCTTTATGCTAAAAAATGTACCTCTTATGTGTATACAGGCAGTCTCCATTAATAAAGCACTGGAAAGAATTAAAAGCATAACTGAAACAAAAAAGAGCTCCAGGGAAAGCAGCAGCGATGGTCTCGATGCAGATGGATTTCCCAGAGTCAAGGAAATGGCAAACGACTCTGCAACTTCCTCCACACACCAAGTATCTTCAGAGTTGACTATTAAGGAATCACCAAGCAGAGGAAGCATCCAAACACTACTTTTGGCAATAGATAAAGAAAATGAATAATAATGCTCCCTTGTACCCAATAAATGTAAAGGCACCCCTGACCCTCAGATGTCACTTTTGTTTCTTGGATGTGCCTTTTTAAATTCAGAACTATCACTCCCTAAATAAAAAAGCAGTATCACTCTTTTTTTCAGTTGGCAGTGCTGAAGTGAGGATAGAGAGGCCTGTACAGTAGTACCTCTGGTTAAGAACTTAATTCGTTCTGGAGGTCTGTTGTTAACCTCAAACTGTTCTTAACCTGAAGCCCCACTTTAGCAAATGGGGCCTCCCTCTGCCACTGCGCTGCCGAAGCAGGATTTCTGTTCTCATCCTGAAGCAAAGTTCTTAACCTGATGTACTATTTCTGGGTTAGCGGAGTCTGTAACATGAAGCGCATGTAACCCAAGGTACCACTGTACACATGTTCCATGGGGCCTCTTTTAAAAGACTCAACCTGTATATGCACAGTAGTACTGCATTACTGTCGCATTGTGTTAATAGGATTCTTATTTATCAGAAGGTTCTGAATGAGGAAGTACTGTATTTGCATACCTCTATATCTCCTTCATGTAAGGGACCTCCTGTATCTGTTAAAAGAACAGAATACAAAATTAGAGCAGAGGCTCAAACTAGCTAACGTTTAAAGTTGTTCCAAAAACACTATCTTCGGAAAAATTCTTACGGTAACAGCGGCAATCCAGAGCATAAAACCTTCCATCGTGATAGAAAACAACAACTTCTCTGTCATGGATGACCACTGTTGTCCTTCGTAGTTTTTTAATATCATCTTCTCTGCCAACACAAACTGGATTTCTGTCTTCCTTCTTTTTAGACTTTTCAACAGAGCTGTCCTCATTCATATTCTGAAAGCAAGAGAAAATGCACTATATTAATATGACTGTCAGAAATAACCATGTTGAGGAAAGAAAATCACTACCATTACTGGCCCCCATTTATAGCTGAACAGTAGGCTGGTGCACAAAGAACTTTCACTGCAAACAAACGATATACAGTGGTACCTCAGTTTACGAACTTAATCCGTTCCGGAAGTCTGTTCTTAAACCCAAACTGTTCTTAAACCGAGGCGCGCTTTCCCTAGTGAGGCCTCTGGCTGCCAGTGCCCTTCCACCATTCGGCTTCCGTCCTTAGACCAAGGTAAAGTTTGCAAACTGGGACACTACTTCCGGTTTTGTGGAGTTCGTAAACCGAATAGTTCGTAAACAGGGCTGTTCTTAAACTGAGGTACCACTGTATTTATTTTATGTGGATCAAATGGTATCCTCCTATTTCAAGTATGATATGGAAAGGCTGAATAAAAATAAAACAGGAGTAGTACATCCTGTTTGGCATTTGAAAACCTTTCTGAAATTTACTGTGGACTACGTATTTTTAAAAGAGGGATTCATCCATTCATGTGTGTGGCAATCTATTCTGTGAACTGGACGATTTTCACCCTATCTTTTACCCACGTATGGTGGTGTGAAATTTTTTAAGGTTATCTGATCTATGTGGCAAGTTGTTGAATGCAAATGGCTTATCCCATAAGGACAGCGTCACAAGGATCAACTCTTTAAAAGGCCTCATCTGATGGCCAGTATATTGAAACAACTAGCCCTTGTTCATGGCACCAACATAGCAACAACTTTCCACAGCAATAGCAGAATGTTAATCAAAAGCTAAAGTAAAGGGTGGAGGTTTTGTGTGTATGAACATTTTTCTTTTCTGAAATGCTGTCCGTTTTCATTCTGTGACAACAGGGTATTATTTGTTCAAAGGTATGCAAAAACCTTGATTTTACAACTTGTCACAAGTTCTTCTGAGGATGCAGTGGCAGCCAAAAACTAAGATATAAAGCATATAGGACAACCTGAACTGGAGGAAAAAATTCACATTCATTTTGCCATCAGTGACAGCTGTTAATTTTGTTGTATAATACACAGTTCTTGGGTTGTTTTTTTAAAAAACATGTTGCACAAAAATGTGTTTTGAGAGCCAGAACAGATAAAGGGTTTAAAGATTTTCTGAGTGCTTAAAGCTGCAATCTAAGAGACAGCGGAGTAAATTGCATAACTGTCAGATCTGCAGTCACTGTGTCTCATCTTCGGTCTTAGCTTATAATACTTTCCAGCTTACAAACCAACACTAAATGAGCCCCAGTGAGTTCAATGTAAATTCACTGCATTAGGCATGCATAGAATTGTAGAATAAGATAAAAGGAAATACTTAGCAGCACACGATGAAAGAATACATATAATTACAGGCAATATCTTAAACTTTCGCAATGGAAGACGTTGTACAAAATAGTTCAAAACACTACATATGAAAGCAAGAAAACAAGATACTTTCTGAATCTACTTTAATTATATTTCACAATCAGAAACACCTTTAAATGAAAAGTCAGAGGCACTGTATTTAAAAACTATTGTTAAGAATGGTACCTGTGTGGAAAGTGGCAGATTCACATTCCCAGGGAAATCTGAATGGTGATCCTCTAGGGCAGTAGTACGGCAAACGACACAGAAGTTGTATTATCACAGAAATATAGAAGGAAGATTGTAAGAGGTGGGTGAAAGTTCTGAATCATTAGCTTCCAAAGGTCATATTCACCACGTATGCCTTTATATAGAGAAGTTCTTTACTGGGAAAGATGTTTTCGTAGAGCCTTCACACAGTGACGTGACTTGGGAGAAGATGCATCCTGCCTGAGCAGATAGGAAAGTTAAGAACCAGGCTGCACTGAATTGATAAGGACGTTTTAGATAATCACTTGTTCACCTTAAAAGTAACCCCTAACCTAAAGCAACTAGATATTTTAGAGTACTGTAATGAAACTTTATTACGGAGCATGACCAAAGTCTGCAATTTTATCATGACAAGTTGTTTGTTGTTTACTGTCGTAACAACATCTATCTTCTGTACCATGAAAAATAAATAAAAACATGGTTTTTAAAATAAAGAAGTAGCCCTAAACCTGCCTCCTCCAGGAACGCTGGGTCGCAATGATGATAATATTACTCATGTCTTAGGCCTAACAACAACAACAATTTATTATTACAGTTGGAGACCAGCTTGTGAAACACAAATGGGACTGCCATCCCAAATAAGAATTATTTATTTGTATCCCGCCCACCTGACTGGGTTTCCCCAGCCACTCGGGCAGCTACTGTTGCCCATGATCTAGGGTGAATTTCCACCGCACCCCCCCCCAGTGCTTTATTTTTCTGATAAAACATCCTGTTTCCTAAATTCATTAGTAACTATGAATAGGTAAAGGTAAAGGGATCCCTGACCATTAGGTCCAGTCATGACCGACTCTGGGGTTGCGGCGCTCATCTTGCTTTATTGGCCAAGGGAGCCGGCGTACAGCTTCCGGGTCATGTGGCCAGCATAACTAAGCCGCTTCTAGTAAACCAGAGCAGCACACGGAACCAGATCCCTAATGGTCAGGGATCCCTTTACCTTTACCTATTCATTGTTACTAATGAATACCTATTTATCTACTTGCACGTTGACGTGCTTTCGAACTGCTAGGTTGGTAGGAGCAGGGGCCGAGCAACGGGAGCTCACCCCATCGCGGGGATTCGAACCACCGACCTTCTGATTGGCAAGTCCTAGGCTCTGTGGTTTAACCCATAGCGGCACCCGCGTCCCTAACAATGAATAGAGGCCAACTATAAATCCAATACTAGACAAGTGTGCCAGTCTTGTACAAGTCAAAGTGGTGTATAAACAGTACAACTGAACTTTGTTTGAGAACTCACTCTCAGACAAACAGGCATACATAGGATCAGGCTGCAAAAGGCCTCCATTCATTCCAGTGAAACAATACTGCCCCAAGCAACATCAGAACCCCACATCTTTTGCAGACATAATCCCAGTGAGATGAATGGGCTTCGTGCTATCACAGAAGTTTTAGAATATTTAATCTATGCAGTTCCCAGCACACTGATACAATCCTTATTCAGCCACAAGCAAGTGGAATCTGATTGCTCATACAGGTGTGTAGCAGTAGTGTAGCCGACACTCGTAGCAGTGTCTGTGTAAATTGGCCATAAAAACTCTCAGTACGGAGAGAGTGTAAAAGGATTTCAGCTGCAATGGGAGAAGGCCAGCTGTGGACACTCGCCAATGTCTATAGCAAATTCGATTAACTTGTGTTTCCCAGCTTTCATTCTTCCTGTGACTCACCCTTCCTACTGCCAAGCAAACTCTTAGCTGGGAACACTCTGAGATTTGTGATGAACAAGGAAAGAACTGCCTGGAAGTAAACATACTGGCACAGCATCCACAGAAGTATTGTACTCAGAATACAGAAATGTGAAGAGGGAGGGGAGAGAACCACCTAGTAGTGGTTGAAGGTGCCAACTCCACTGTGATGTAATGACAATCCTTACTGTATGTTAATAACTAGATCTTACCCCTCTCTGGGGCAACCACCTGAAAGAAAATGGGTTCTTCTCACTTGCACATCTTCAGTATGCACATTTTAAAAAGTTGTTCTCTGCCTAATATCTAACTTTAACTTAAAATAAGCCAGATGGCTTAGAAGCCAAAAATCATGCAAGTGTGGTTTATTACATACTTATTAAAATGTAAAAAAAAGAAAAAACACCACATGTGGGATTTATATAATGTGAAACACACAAGAATCCTTCCCAATTTATAAAGCTTTTTAGAAATCTATGGAATAAGATAGGAAGTGGGGAGGAGTATTAAGTTGCCACTGAAATCATATAAAGCTTAAAACATACATTGTGATAATCCCAGAATTGTAGAATTGGGAGGTCATCTAGTTCAACCCCCTGCAATGCTGGGATCTTTTGCCCAACGTGGCACTCGAACCCAAGACCCTGAGATTAGGAGTCAAATGCTATACCAACTGAGCTATAATAATATAATGGGCACAATTATTTAAAAAAAAAAATCAAGTCAAGTCAAGTAACTTAGAAAAATATATCATGGCCATAATCCAGTCTCTCATTAGATCATCATCACCCACTCCTGTGTGTGCTGTTTTGGGGTGAGGAGCTGTCCTAATCTAATCACTTCCCCTTCTTTCTGGCAGCTTTACTACAAGCAGACAGCTGTGGGCAGCTAACAGCATTCATGAAGTACAGCCTGGATGGGGCTCTATGATATCCTATGCGAGTCATACTCACGGTCATTTGTATCCTGTGTTACTCAAGAGTAGACCACTGGAATTAATGGGCATTATGACCGAGGATTCACTGCCTCCTGCTGTTTTTGCAGTACATTTTTAGAGTAATTGGCTAGAGTGGTTATATAGCTATAACTGAGCCACAACTTTGCTGTACTGTAAATTACAAGTGTCTAACAGGAGTAGCTCATAGAGAATGCCCATTTTTTGAAACGTGAGCAGAGAAACCTGAGACCCTTTATCGATTTAGTTTAGCTCCTCACGGCAAAGGTGAATATAAAATTTCACCCATGCTACACAGCACTCTTAACAATCAAACTGCAGAAATCTACCAGGTTAAATGCACTGTTTAAAATATCCCTGCTTCTTTGAATAGGTATGTTTTCAAAGAATATCACGACTGCAAGATGTAGCGCGTGTGTAAACGGGAGTTACACAAATACATTATTTGAAAGGCGTGCGGCGGATACACCCGCCACGGATGATTTATTTCCATTTATACTTCCATTTACAGCTTCGGAGCCAGGCGTTTTCCTCCCTCCGTACCCAATTTGGCCGCAAAGCTCAGAAAAACGTCGGCAATTAAAGACAATATAGCATTGATAACAACAACCGCTAGGCGGCGATCGACACAAAAAGTCTTCAAGCAGCGTAGCCTTGTCTAGTAGGCAACACGCATGTGCATGAGCTTTATCTCCAAGCTCAGACTGCAATACCCAGCAGCCACCGCGCTCCTTGAGACTACAACTCCCGAAGGTCCTTGCGCTGTCACCCCTCCCCCCCCCGCCTCCCTTCCTCTCGCGCGTGTTATGTGGGCTTAAGAGGGAGGGGGAAGGGAACTGGCGTCTTGACGTCTACAAACCTGCTTAATGTGGCCTAACGCTGCAGTAGCAACCGGAGGGCGAGACCCATGAGTGAAGCGCCACCGCAAATCGCTGAGGAACCGTTTTTGCTTCTCCGCGGCGTCACGCTATTAAAACGCGAAGGAAGAGACGCTATTGGACGGCGAGGTGTCACGTGGTAGCGGCTGCTGCCCCTTTCCTATATCTAGAACGCAGCCCTAAATTCACGCTGGAGGAAAGAGCAGTCCATTCCCACTGAGCGGAACGTACTTCTGGGTTAATATGCGAAGAGCTGCGCTGTTAGGAAAGCCAGAAAAGCGTCGGGGGAAAATAATAGACGCCATATGGTAATACAATCATTAGCCACCTGTACGTACAAACACACAGAGTGCAATGAGGTCCTAAGCAAACTTTAGAAGTACTCCAGAACTCTTCATCACACTCAGTGCTGGATTTACAGATAGGCTAAACAAGCTATAGCTTAGGGCCCCACTCCCTTGGGGGCCCCCAAAAAATGTAAAGAGGGGAAAAACTGGATGTACATTTCCGAAATATCAGATAAAAAAACCAAATAAAATAAAACCTACGTAAATTACCATATAGCATATATACAACACAAAAAACAGCGACAATTTGTTGTTGACAAAGGACAGCTGGACATATAAAGGGCCCCATTACCTTCAGCAGCTTAAGGCCTCATCAAACCTAAATCCAGCCCTGATCACACTTGAGGAGCAGCACAAAGGATGGAGGGCGTGGGCATAGCAAGGGACAGGAAACAACTCCTCCCCAAACCAACAATCAAGTAGAAATAATTAGAATGTTTGAAATTGAAATGCTCAATGAGGTCACTTGGATGATGCTGTGGTGCATTCTAGCAATGCAACTGGCAACCCGACTGAGGGATAGCGCTAGACAGAGGATGATGACAGGTGAGTGTCCTGCCCCCCCCCATATATATCCTGGCTGTGCCCATTGGTGGAGGAGTGGGTAGAAGAGGGGTTGCATCCCCTCCTCCGCAATCATGTGGTGGTTGGGGCCAGAGGCAAAAGTGGGCAGAGCAACAGAGGTAACTCTTTAACTTTGTACAGTTGTCTACAGTGCGGCCACATAAAAGCCAGATGTTTCTACACACCTGCACATATCTCTCCATCCAGGCAAGCAAGAGGCATTGCCACAATTTAAGAACATGTTTCAGACATGCCCAAAGCACTAGACAAGGGTACAGAGCACAGCTGGTGGGGATGGATGTGACCTGAGGACATGGGCTGTTGCCTGGGGAGGGTCCATAGGACCGGGCAGAGAGGTCTGAAGGACTGGGCCACTGGTTCCACAGCACTATAGTAGCCATTATGGCTAGAAGCCATTGAGTTCAGATGGAATCAGACTTTTGCCTTACAATCCAAACTCACTGATTACAAGTCGGCTTCACTGATTTCAGGCTCAACCTATATCAATGTTTTGAGGGTCAAAAATGAAATAGTAATATAAAAAAGTTGCCAAAAAATGAACAGAAAAAAGTAGTAGCAAATTTTAAAATAACACAAGCAGCATTTTTGTTGTTGTTTAAACAACAAGGAGTATTTCTAAATCTTCATTTTTGGATTATTTTCTTTATTTGAAGATGAAAACCTTGGATGCTTTTCTACCATTTCTGATTCATTTCTGATGGGGGCGTACTTATAAAGAAGTACCATCTGGTAGAAATCATATTAGAAATGCCTTGGTGTAGGAGAAAGATTTATCCTTTGCAATAAAAATACAAGTACATTTATGCAGTATTAATCTGTGGCCAACCTTTCTGCGCCAATTCTTTATAATGAAAAGATGCAGAAAAAAATTATTGTAAATCATAGCACAATAACAAATATGCCTTCCAACAGGATACAACTTTCCAAACTATCATGGCAAAGAATCGCTTTTGGTTGAACAGGATTTGTAAACAGGTTTAGCTGTGTATGTGTGTATGGGTTGTTTTAATTAATAAAAAAATACCACATAACACAATGACAGTCAATCAGCCTCTTTGTGTCCCCCCTCCCAAGTGATTGAACTACTCTCCCCAAGGACCTCTGTAAAGTCACCTGATCATTTAGGCTTTTTGTTGTTGTTGTTCTTTAGGATTTTTTAAAAAAATTCAGGGGGAAGGTAACTGTGTTTGGCTACACAAGAAAAAACACATTTATATTCCATCTTTCTTTCACCATGGAACTTAAGCCAGAATACACAGACAGTCTTGCATCCAGGACTGAGCAGACTCAGATCTGCTTAGTCTGAGCAAGGTGGCAACACCTTAAAAAACATGTTTCCTGTTTGATGAAGAGGACTCTAGTTTACAAATATCTATGCCTCAATACACTTGTCAGCTGTTAATGTGCCACAAATTGTAGGTCTCTATCTTAGTTCATTTGTTCCTATTCTCCAAGGGAAGAATGGAGAAGACCTTTTGCTGGTCTCATTTCCCCTTTCTACCAAGTTGGGCCCCTTCATGGATCACTGCCTTGCCGTGGGGAAGGGGCTTGAATAACTCAGAGAAGCTATGAAGTATGCTGTGCAGGGCACCCAAGATGGACAGATCATGACTATGCAAAAGCCTTTGACTGTGTCGGCCACAGCAAACTATGGCAAGTCCTTAAAGAAATGGGAGTGCCTGATCACCTCATCTGTCTCCTGAGAAATCTCTATGTGGGACAAGAAGCTACAGTTAGAACTGGATATGGAACAACTGATTGGTTCAAAATTGGGAAAGGAGTATGACAAGGCTGTATATTGTCTCCCTGCTTATTTAACTTATATGCAGAATTCATCATGCGAAAGGCTGGGCTTGATGAATCCCTAGCCGGAATTAAGGTTGCCGGAAGAAATATCAACAACCTCAGATATGCAGATGACACAACATTGATGGCAGAAAGTGAGGAGGAATTAAAGAACCTTTTAATGAGGGTGAAAGAGGAGAGCGCAAAATATGGTTTGAAGCTCAACATCAAAAAAACGAAGATCATGGCCACTAGTCCCATCATCTCCTGGCAAATAGAAGGGGAAGAAATGGAGGCAGTGAGAGATTTTACTTTCTTGGGCTCCATGATCACTGCAGATGGTGACAGTAGCCATGAAATTAAAAGACATCTGCTTCTTGAGAGAAAGGCAATGACAAACCTAGACAGCATCTTAAAAAGCAGAGACATCATCTTGCCAACAAAGGTCCGTATAGTTAAAGCTATGGTTTTCCCAGTAGTGATGTATGGAAGTGAGAGCTGGACCATAAAGAAAGCTGATCGCTGAAGAATTGATGCTTTTGTATTATGGTGCTGGAGGAGACTCTTGAGAGTCCCATGGACTGCAAGAAGGTCAAACCTATATATTCTTAAGGAAATCAGCCCTGAATGCTCACTGGAAGGACAGATCGTGAAGCTGAGTTTTCAATACTTTGGCCACCTCATGAGAAGAGAAAACTCCCTGGAAAAGACCCTGATGTTGGGAAAGATGGAGAGCACAAGGAGAAGGGGATGACAGAGGACGAGATGGTTGGATAGTGTTCTCGAAGCTACTAACATGAATTTGACCAAACTGTGGGAGGCAGTGCAAGACAGGAGTGCCTGGCGTGCTCTGGTCCATGGGGTCACGGGGAGTCGACTAAACAACAAACCAAGTTGGGGCAAAAGCTGTGAAAATACCACAGGAGCACTGTAGGAAGTATGGAAATCAGGAGCAATAGTTTCTGGCTGTTTAATCTGCATCTGTGAGTTGCACAGTTGTCAGCTATTTAACTGCCCACTATAGCTATGCCTATAACAGCAGCTTGATGTGCAGACATCAGCTGATAAGTGTTGATGCTGTGAAAAGCTTAACAATTTCTGTACATCAAACTGCTGCAGGGGCACAAGACAATTTTAGCTTTGATAAGGTTATGAAGAATATGCAGTCTGTTCTTGGTGGCGTCCGTGGCAAGACTTCTGGGCTTTTCTAATACTGCAGGATTTGTTTGTGCTTTCCTTGCAACAGGTTTTCTAGCACATTCAAGCTAGATATGAACCCCTTTGGGAAAGCAACAGTGAATTTATGCGGCGGCTGCAGAGGGGAGCGTGGAACCGATCTTTTTCGTTGAGTGAGAATTGAACGCCGGTATTTAGCTGCGAAAGGCGTGTGCTTTCGGGAGGCGTCTGTGGAAAATGTGACAATAAAGAGACACTGACTCCGCTCAAGACGACTGCAACCGTTGAATTGGAGGGGAAGGCGAGATGGGCTGAGGAGTGGGCAGAGCACACAGGCGCGATGGCTGCAGCCTGGTGCGCCCACCCACGGTGAGTGACAGGTGACAGCCAGAGCCCCTATATATGCTGCCGAGGGCACCCGTGCACAATCCTCGCTGCCATGGAGGACACGTTCAACCCGGACAGCCTTGCCGTCGGACCCAACTTATCCGGCATCGCGATTCCCGGGTGGAACTTGAACGTTTCGTCCCCCGGGGCTACTCTGGGGCAGCCTAGCGCGCGGACCCTGTCGGCGGGCGCGATCCTGCTGCTGGCGCTGGTGGGCAACGGCTTGCTCCTGCACAGGCTGCGCTGCGGAGGGTGCTGCTGCGGGGCCTGCTTCGGACGGCGGCGCAAGATGGATTTCCTGCTGGCGCACTTGGCCATCGCCGACCTCTACGGGTGCGGGCTGGTGCTGCTCTCCCAGCTTCCGCCGGCCGACGTGGAGCCGGGGCAAGCGGCGTGGCCTGCAGGGGACGCCACTTGCCGCCTCCTGTGGCTCCTGCAAGGCTCCGGGCTGCTGGCGCCCTCGCACATGCTCGTCCTGATCGCGATCGAGCGACACCACATGGTGAGGGGCCCCGCGCACCCGCCGCTCTCTTTCCTGCCCGCCCGGGGCGCTTTGGCTGCGCTGGGCTGGCTGCTGGCGCTGCTGCTCGCCTTGCCGCAAGCCTTCGTCTACCGGCTGGCGCCTCCCGAGGCCGGGGGCCGTTGCCTCAGCATCTTCGCGCAGCGGCCCCGCTGGCACGGCCAGACCTACGCCGTGTACTGGGCTGTCGCGGGCTTCGTGGCGCCCGCCTGCCTCCTGGGCGGGACCTGCGGCCGCATCCTCAGTGCGCTCGGCGGCGCACCCGGCGCCAAGGACGACTACGACGACGCCGAGCCGTCGCGGGGGGCAGCGGGCAGCGCCCGCCACTACGGCGCGGAGCTTCCGGGCGCCTCCGCCGCTCCTCGCCCGCCTCCGCCGCTCTTGCTGCGGCTGCTGCCCGTCGCCAAGTGCGCGCTGCCCTCGCCGCCTGCGCCGCGGAGCCTGCCCCGCGCGCGGGCCCGGGCGCTGCAGCTGACGCTGGCGCTGGCCATGCTGTTCGCGCTCTGCGGCTTCCCGCGCTTTCTCCTGGAGCTCGCCTTGGCCTTCGCCTCCTCCGAGGGCGCCGACGAAGCGCGGGCGGCCCTGGGGAGCATCATGGCGGCCACCAACAGCGCCCTCAACCCCTACGTGTGCCTCTTGTTCCACAGCCACGGCCCGTGGGCGCGGCGCCTCCAGCGCAGGCTGTGCCGCTGCCCCCAGGGGCAGCCCCGACGGCGGGCTCGCCACCGGCATCGCCCGCCGCCGCCGCAAGCGGCTGTTGAGCGCCCTGGACGCTGGCTGTGCCCTTGCCAGACCAAGCCGCCCACCGTCTCCACGGTCGTCCACCTCGAGGAGGGTGAGAAGCCGCTCTCCGCCGCTTGCGAAAGCGGCTTCTAAACAGTTTCTTGTGGGATTGCAGGCACCGAACGTTTTTGCAGTATTCCCAGGACATTGTCAACAAGTATTTTTGACTCATTTAACCCGGATATTCCTGGGGAAATCAGACGTTTAACACCTACACACCCCACGACCTCTGTTACCACAATCCCTTGGGGATGTCTCAGCAGCCGATTTGCCATATCTGGCCTGGGAAGTACCCAAGGAGGAAGACAAAAAGGCAAAAGAGAAATGACAAATTATTATAACGCCCAGCTCAAGCACACTAGGTGCTCTTTTCCTGTGGGCTGCTCACTTGCTCAAATCTGGGAGACTCCCATCTTAACACAGGAAGTCTGAGGGCTACTGCCTACTCCAGTGTGGAAAACGCACTCTGCACTTGCACAAGAACCTTAATAAATACTTCACACTTCACAGCGCTGACCCATTACTGAAATTTGGCTGTGAATCTGGAGCCTTTGTGACCCTTGCTTAGTTTAATCGATTATGAAGCCATGGCCCTCTTCCAAATCAAGGAAACCCAGAAGGGCCAGGAGATTCCACTTGACCATTTCAGATCTAGCTGCTATTTTAAGCCCTTGCTGGGAATGTAGGGACTTGTTTCCAAGTAAATGGGCCTAGCTTGGACATGGTAACAGTCAAATGTTTTAAACTTCCTGAAGTTTTGTTCAATTCATTGCACTCCATAACTTATGATGGGACTTGCACAATGTGGTTTTAGCACAACCATTTTGTTAGGTTTGTCAACAACGGGGTTCTGCATAATCTGCTTTCACTCATCACAGCAATTTTCAGGTGTGTTATTTTCAAATTCCATTGCCACAGATTTTGTCCCTTTTCAAGAGAAAGGGGCAAAAATAAGGACTGCTTTTGCTATGCAAACTGACCGTATATACTGCCTTTCTTAATTTTGTCATCTTCCATACAATCAGTGCAAGTGAACTTAATATTAGAGATTTTGAATATGAAACATATGATAATTGTCTCTGTTCAGTACGATTGGTCTAATTAGCATATAAGCTGTAATGAAAGCTGCCAGTGACCTGTGGGCAGAGGTTGAGAAAAATCAGCAGGTACAAAATGTAACTTGCAAAACTGAAAGGCTTTTAAGAATGCTTTATGCAAATGTAGTTCCTTTCTAAGTGGGCATTAGTGACAAGTATGCAAAAATATGTGGTCTTGTAACAGGTGTGAATAAATGTCATATATAAGTACCCCTGACTGATAATCTACAATTGCAGTAGTTTCTAAAGGAGTATAATTACTTTCACCTTTGATAGTTAATATTCTGTTCTCTTTTCTCACATAATAGTAGAGTTCATTCCAGCAGGTGGATTTTTTTTTTTTTTGCACAAATTGTTCTAGAAAATAGTGCAAGGAGTTGATAATATGTCTATGTTCTGGGTACTCCACTCCTTTTTCACATAAAAAGTCTGTTTCTCAGTAAAAAGGTTGAAGCTTTTGTACAGTTGGTCCCTTGCACACTATATAAAATGATATTTGGGTGTGCATGGGTTCAATTAAGGAAATTAGCATTTATAAACAAATAATGAACCCAACAATTCCAGGACAAGCAAGGATGTATGCACAGGATACATGTAAGCAAATTGTAATAGAACAGAGGGAGTGAAATAAAATGAAATGCAACAAGTGCTTGTCTGAACACAGCCCAAGCTGTTTATTAATGCTGAAATGAATTCCAGCATCCTGTCCTATTTCTCCCTTCAGAGGCAGCATTGCTTAAAGCAGTAGTAGCTCAGTGTCCCACTAGCTTTCATTTGGGAAAAAACACAAAGATGTTGTGTAGCTCGTGTAACAAAACATTAAAAAGTAGGAGCACACAAAAAAGGGCACTTCATCATTAACCCATGACAGAAGTTCTGTTGTTCAGGATTTCCAAGCCATCTGCAACAGGAGCTGGGAATGTTAGCCTCAAATGCAAGCATTTTCTGAGAGTAATGGGGGTATATTTCTGCAGAAGGAAAAGGCAAAACTCGTTTATCCTTTTCCTTCAGAGTCCCCCCCCCCAACTCTGCAATTCTAGGATTCCTGCTGAAACCATTTAATGCAGGGAGAGGAGTTTGGGGCTGTTGTTTTGAATTTCATATGGCAATCTCAAATGGGTAGCATACTGGCAGCCTGTACGGTTCTTACAGCAAGGGTGTTACATGCTGATGCTAGGCTGCTCCATTCACGAGACTGGCCACTGTATTCTGCTCCAGCTGCATCTTCCAGATCAACCTCAGCCTCCACATGTAGGTCTTGGAGGCTATTGAGCACAGGTTCATAGCATGGGGCCACTCATGTTCAGCATTTGAGGGAAATATGATGAAATTTGCCTACACAAATACCACCTTTCTTCGTTTTAAACTTCACCTCTCAGTTCCAATACATGGAGGTTTGGCAGGGGCAGGGAGACATTAAGACCACTAGTTTTTCCCACTGCACTAGAGAGCAGATCCAAATTATTCTGAGTTTCTTCTTATTCTTTGCCCTTGCATTTGCTTGAAGGAAAGGGGACTAGCTCTGTGTGTGTGTGTGTGTGTGTGTGTGTGTGTGTGTGTGTGTAATTGAAAGGACAACGGTTGCTAGGGAGATTTAACATATTTGAGTAGCAAAAATCTGCATGCAAATGTCTTGGATATTTAGACCAAATGAAACAACATATGCTGCTCACACTTAAACTGCAAACGCAAGCCGTGTTGGTATACCCAGACAAGTATCTGGAGTGTGTTGCATGAAGGTTAAACAGTACTTAAAAGGCTTATGCAATACAGTAAAAGAAAACAGCGGTTTTTAATAGCTGCAAACCCTTAGAAGAATAAGAAGGAAGTGTAGATGAATCTAGCATTACCCCACACAATGTTAACCACCACCATACTACTAACTTCATGGGGGGGGGTTGTTAAAAAACCCCACTTGTAAATTGCTACACAAACCATTAACCCAAAGGAATTCAGGACTGTATCACACAATCATTAGTCACAAATGGCATCAGTATGGTGGGGACCTAAAATTGCATGTATCTCTTTTGTGTTCAGTAGTAACTGAGGGCATTGCCAGACTTCTCTGTTTTGTGGGAGGAATTGAAATGCATACCAGAACTTCAGGTTTCTACATTCAAGGTGGGTTAAAGGGTTATGTTGCTCTTGTACAACAAATCCACTTTTTTAAAAACTCAAGGCTCTTTGTGGTTTTGAAAGTGACAGAAAAATGCACTGAAAAGTGGAGGGTGAACAAATGATTCCATGTAAACATAACCACAAGCAAAATGGAGGATGAATGCTCAATAAGACTAGGTATAATCTAACCTTCCTATAAGCTTTGTGCAAACAAATCGGGATGAATGCAAATGGATCACCTGGAGGGAGGCTGAACAGATGTGCTTGCCCTTGTTCAGCCCTAAACTGTTAATACTGCACTTTGAAATGTTGTGTTCTGACCAAGAAAAAAAAATCCAGTTAGAACACAAACTCACTCACAAAATGAATACTTTAACTAGTGCAAGAATACGGTAGCTTACAAAGTATCCTGTGGATGCTGTTGGACTCCAATTCCCATCATCCCTGACTATGAACCATATTGGTTGGGGCTGATGGGATGTGGTGTTCAATAACATGGAAGCTCAAAGGTTAGCCACCCCAGTTAGGGCACTGCAAATACTATACTTGCTATTCCAAGTATAGTAATACAAATGCGTATAGTGCTTTCAGAATGTTTTACATGCATCTAATAGTTATCCTTACAACACTGTATGGTAAGCCACCGATTATTCCCCGTATTGCAGGCAACAGCGGAGAAAGAGTGGCTTGCCTAAGGCACCCAGTGAGTTCATGGCAGTGACAAGATTGAAACCTGAGAATTCCTAATTCACAGTGAAGTCCTAGCCACTACAGTATATACTTTCCCACCTGAAAAAGTATAGTCTTGGGGCTAGTGCAGATGTAATAAGCAGCTTTTGTTTCTGTTTTCAGTTGACTGCTTTTTATTTCTTTGTCCAAACCTAAAACTCGGATTAATCTTAACAAAGGTTTAGGGAAACAAGCAAATTGTCCTGCTCCAACTATGTCAGGGCTTAGTTCTTAGGCAGAGGCTGGGGTAGCCCTGTCTGCTCCTGCAACTAGGTGAAAAGCAGACTGAAGTCAAGGTGTAGTCCATGCCAAAGCACAATAAAAGCAGTCCATCAACAAGCCTAGCTCTAAAGGCAGGATCTAAGTAGAAGCCAGCAACAGAGGCCATCTGTCAAAAGGCATGGCAGAATAGACAAGGTGGTTCAAAAGAGTTGCTAGATTTCAATATGTGCTGTTCCAGCAGCTTCTATAGTCTGGTCTCCCACACTTCACCCAAGACTCCTTACTATGAGTAGCTCTATAATTTTGGCCTATCAGACATGTACTGTTTTGGTAGGTAGATGCCCAAACATGGGACTTTCTGGGCTCTATGCTCTCCGGGGCTGGGAGATGGTTCCGTCTCCCCCTCTGAAAGGGGGATGAGTTGGGAACCCACCTCAAGAGTCCTTCTAGAGCAAGCTCTGGACACAGGCATGGTGAGATTTCCCCTGGATGTTAAGGGCTTCTTATCAGTGCTAGAGATGGTGGAGGGGTGGTGGTTTCCATTTATCCCCTAGGGTATCCTTTGCTCAGGGGCTTTGCTGGCAGAATACTTTTCCAAATCTTGGCAGGGCCCAGTGTGACATCACATTCACAAAATGCAGCTTGAAGTTGGTTGGTTTCTCTGAACCATAGTTGAGACTCAGCATGGTTTGCTGAGGTTTGAACATAATGGTAAACTCTGGTTAAAAATGGAAGGAAAAGATTTTGATATCCCCTTTGTGGCTGTGCCAGAGGAGAAGGGGGATGGGAAGTGCAGACAAGGCTCACGCTAACAACCATAATTTAACATTATGTCCCAATAAGGCCATTATATCAACTTCCGTGTTAATCACAGGTCACTTAGCAGGGATTCTTAACCAGAATTGAAATCAGGTTCTGAAGCTGGCTAGCAAATCCTGTTTAACAGGCAACTGGGGCTAGCTAGCATTTATAGCTTAGCAGAGTGGATTTGTGTCGGGAAACGGGAAAGACGGGAGGATAGCATCTGACCCCACGTCCCATTTCAGTATCTGTTGCAGTAGGAGGTAACTTCTTATTGCACCCACACTGCCTTTTTATATTCAGGAGTAGATTGTCCATTCTCACTTTCTGCAGACATTTCACACAATTGTCTTCTCTTTAATCCATCTATCAATTGCATCCTCGTACTTCTTTGGGTCCTTCTTCCAGTTCTGGTGCCACCTGAGGTTAGCTAAGGTATCAGAATAGTTTTGTCCTAAACTTTGTTTCCAGTTGATAAACTCCTGTTTGTTGTACTGTTCAACAGAGGCAGAGACTTTGGGATAATCAACGATGGAGTAGAGTTTTTTGTTCAAATACTGTGTGATCTCTGGAAACTTGGTTGCTACGTTTGTTAGTTCATCTGGATCGGCAGAGAGATCTGCAACAAAGAACGATTAAGACAAATTAATGAGCCTGAACTTGAAAAAAGCAGTAGCGCAGAACTGGAGCATTTGTTTGGCATGCAGAAGGTCTCCCAATTTCATTCCCAGTATTCATTTTATTATTATTATTTTGCTTTTATATCTCAGCTTTCCTCAAAGGAGCTCAAGGTGGTGTACATGGCTCTCCCATCTCCATATTATCCTTACAACAAAGCTGTGAGCTCCTTTCCCTCCCCTCAAAACTCTCACCATTCAGCTTTATTGGATAGTCCCAAGTTCTAGTTTTATGAGAGATTCTAGTTTTATGAAAAACATCCTCCACTTTCTCAACACCATGCATGCTTTTATATACCTCTCTCATGTGCCACTTTAGTCACCTTTAACGAACAAAACCCCCAAACCCTCAAATGTCATTACTCCTCATAGGTGAGTTGCTCCCTTGATGATTTTGGTAATGTACCCAGGCCTAGACTACAGCATGCCACCTTTTTGGACCTTAACCTCTTTGGGTGCCTAGTCATCTGACCACATTGTCCAATTTGAGAGGATGGAACCGTAGTGCAGTGGTCAAATTCAAACCCAGGTTTATGGGTTTAAGCAGACTGGGCTATGCACAGTTGAGACATTAAAGAGACAACTGTCCTACCTGTCTCAGACTTTGGCCAGTGATTCTAGTGTCTTCAGACTGCACTTTTGTTGTTTCCAACAGTGCAGCACATTGACTACAGAACTGTGTTTTGATTTAACTGTCATATTTTGTATGTATAAACTTGCATGGTTGCAAAGGAGGGTGCTGATCTTTATGAAGAATGGGATGCTAATTACTATCACTACTACTTTACTACACTGCTTTTCTGCTCTTCTGGTGAACCACACAAGACATGATGCAGCAACAATTAATCATATGTCTGGTAGTTTGTGTTGCTTCAAGACAGGAGCTATATAGTTCTGCTAATGCAACATTGATTTGCGCCTCCCTATGATACTCGTGCAGACCAGAACAGAGGATCAGACTGTACATTAATCAAGTAGCAAACGTACCAAACAGCTGAGGAGATACTGAACGACCATCTGAGTATCCTATGTATTTCCATCTGTCAGTTCTCAGCATGTAGGTCGAAGAATTCACATTGCAGCCATGGAATTCACTCAGAATCCAAGTAGGATGTTGCTTTCTAGTTGGGACTTTATCTTCTGCCTGTTTCAGTACCAGGGGCATCAGTGAATATCCACTGAGATTTTTTGGTATGGGTATTCCAGCAACGTCTGAAATTGAAATTGTGACTTAAGTCAATTTGTTTTTAAAATTTGGTATTTACATTATTTAAAAAGAATTAAACATAATTAAAAGAAAAGGCAGAAATATATAAAACCAACAAGGAAATAAATTATATACTATGTCAACCATTGCAACTTGTCCTTTGCCCCTTATAGTGATATTTCTGATCCTCTTATCTTTGCATTTAGATTAAGTCCAAAAGAGACAGATAGAGAGATTTTTAAGTCACTGAAATTAAACCTAACATCTTTCTGAACTAAGGGTGGTATCTAATTGCAGTGTCCTGTTTGCACAAGTAAGACTTACCCTTCCTTCTCCCTGAAGCCCGTCCCCCCCCATCTGCCGAATTTAAACAACCTTTAAGATGGAAGTACAACACCATAGGTTGCATCCAGTGCTGTCACTGCACAAAGGGAACAGGCATCCACTTGCGCAATAGAACTTCCTGTCCCTTTCCATCCCTGCATATCCTCAAAAACATGCTTCAGAGGGCTGAGGAACCCTCTGGAGTGATTTTTTTTGGGGGGGAGGGTGTCCATGGTGTACTACAAAGAGAAATACAGGATGGCAAAATCTGCTGCAGGAATAAAAGTCTGTTTGTGCCATGTTAGATACAACACCACACTTTTAAGGGAAATTGTTAAGATGTGACACATACATGTACAGAAACAAACTGTAAAATCAAATGGTAAGGCACACAGACAGAGACTATATTCCTATCTACTACAGATAAGGTCAGAGCTTACTTCATCAGTCGGAGTGTCTGAGAAAATAACATTAATCATTTGTTTGTTACTCACCTAAATAAATTAATCATTTTTGAATATATATATTTTTTTATATTCTGAATACAGGAAGGAAGAACCAGGAGAGAACATATGGAGAATGAGAGCACAGGAAGGACGGTGATTTAAAAATACAAACTTCAAGAAGAGAGAGAGGGGAAATTAAGACAGTTGGAACAAGAAGGTAGGGGCTGAGATTTGATTGAGAGACTGTGTGACTCATAGATTAGTAATGTTAAACTAAAGTCTCTAGTTAGAATATTGGGTTTGAACTAAAAGTACTAACTATTTTCCAGCAGTGTAGAAATCCCCAACTTCTTGGCGACCTTTCAGTGATTCCTTCATAAGAGCTCACCTATTCAGAAGGCTTTGCCCTCACTCTGAATTGACCTAATTTTCCCTCCGTAGTACTGTCATGTCAAATACAGTTAACTATGAAGCATGGCCATCTTATCATGTTCATAGAGTGATTTCCAATTGGTTAGGATCGCCCATGTGACTGTGCCGAGGAAGCATCATCCTCACACTCACTAATTTTATGCTGCACGTTGGGTTACTATCCAAGCATTAACCAGACCTGCTTTGCATCAGAAAGGTTGTTGTACCATGTGCCTTCAGACAATGCCAGGGTAAGTGAATTACCGTATTTTTCGCCCTATAGGACGCACCTTTTCCCCTCCAAAAATGAAGGGGAAATGTGTGTGCGTCCTATGGGGCGAATGCAGGCTTTTGCTGAAGCCTGGAGAGCGAGAGGCGTCGGTGCGCACCGACCCCTCTCGCTCTCCAGGCTTCAGGAAGCTATCCGCAAGCCTTGGGAGCCCGGCGGGAGTGCCGGGCAGATGTCCGCAAGCCTTGCGCGCCCGGGGGGAGGTCCCGCCAGGTGCGCAAGGCTTGGGGCGGCAGCCTGCAGCCCGAAGTACGGGGCGCGCTGTGGAGCACGCCTCGTGCTTTGGGTATATGTCCGCAAGCCTTGCGCGCCCGGCAGGATTTTCTCTCAGTAAAATCAAATTGGCTATGCAATATTACAAGATCATCCTATTTACTAAATGACCCCTAGACAACTGAATACATTTTTGTTCCAACAAACTTTCCCAGTTGGATAAATTGTTCTTTACTGTGGGTGTCTACTTTGCTAGGGTTTCAGTACTGTTTTTAATGTACCATATTTGCTGTTTTGGTGTTTTTAAGTGTTGTTAATATCCTTATGTGTAAATGGTTGTTCAGAAGGTAATGAATAAATCAAAAATGATGATGATAACAGGTGGGATAACTCATGTCACTGATCCAGGTAGCAATGATCCCAGTTTCACATTGATTTCTTGTCCTCAGCGATGTCACATAGCTAAATCTAACAAGTTTCTTAGTGTCTTGACAACATTCAGGTCACTATGTGGCCTATGATTAAACTAGGATTGCCTGTGTGATTAAGTCTAGGAAGAAGAAGCAGTACTCAGAAATTTGGTGGGAAGGAAATCAAGCTGCAGCAGACAGAACAACCAACAGCAACAAACATGACTGTAAAAAGGCAAATATTCCCACAATTAAAAGGGTTTCTTTTCTCCAGGAAATATTTCTCATCCTTCCCGCAAATGGGACACTTTTGACGCAGAAACGAAAATAAGGCAGAATACATTTTTTTCCACGTTCCAGGTGTTTATAATTTCAGAAGGATTTTGAGAGCCTCATTCAGGGTTTGTTTGTTTTTTAAAAAAATCATTTCCCCCATTATTAAAACATTCAGTAATACAGTGGTGCCTCGCAAGACGAAATTAATTCGTTCCGCGAGTTTTGTCGTCTTGCGATTTTTTTCGTCTTGCGAAGCACGGTGTCGGGAAAGTTTTGGAAAAGCTTCAAAAATACCAAAGTCTTTAAAAACCTCAAAAAAGGCTACCACACCGTGTTCTATGAGTTGCTCCTCGAAGTCAAGTCGCAACTGTATTAACGGTGTTAAGAAAAAGGAAACAAACTTGCAAGACGTTTCCGTCTTGCGAAGCAAGCCCATAGCAAAAATCGTCTTGCGAAGCAGCTCAAAAAACAAAAAACCCTTTCGTCTAGCGAGTTTTTTGTCTTGCGAGGCATTCGTCTTGCGAGGTACCACTGTATCTCATTTTGGAAATGACTGGAGATCTGCTGAAACCTTCACGCCCACCTGCCTAAATATATAACCCGTTACATGTCCTTTGAGCACACAATTTATTTATTTTTAAGTGTGATTTTTATATCTGTGCAGAGCAGTGCAAGTATCATTCTGGCGATGTGTGCATGAAACAAGAGTGGCCTTGGTGCACATGTGGACAAAAATACACTATTCATATACACTAACGTTAAATCAAAGGAGGTGAAACTGACTGGGGCATCTCCAAATTTTGGCTTTATTGATCAGTGTCAGATCCTTTAAATGTCCCTTCTTTGCAAGCTGAGCAGTAAATCAAAACATGGCGTAGGCATGTTGGGGAAGTTATCTGACAGTAGTGACACCATGGTTGCTAGTCAGCCATGCTTTAAAACCAGGGGTGGCTAACCTGTGCTCTTCCAGACATTCTTGGACTCCAACTCCCACTGGCCTCAACCAGCATGACCAAAGGTAAGGGATGATGGGAGGTGTAGTCCAGCAACTGCTAGACAGTCCCAGGTGAGCCGCCTGTGCTTTTAAGCCATCTCCTGAAATCATATGTTAGCAAAGGGGATGGTTTAATTTATTTTTTTTATCCCTGCTGGTCATGTGAAGTGAGCTTGCTATTCCAACAGAAATATTGCTTACCGAGCATGGTAGGGTAGATATCCACAAGGGACACCACATTGGGGATGAATTGCAGCTTAATATTCGGTCCCATTATAAGGAGAGGAACATGTGAGCTTGCTTCGTACATGCTCATTTTGTAAAACTGCCTGTGTTCCATGGCAAGTTCTCCATGATCTGCAGTGAATACGACAAGAGTCCTTCTGAGTAGTCCTGTGTCATTTAGAGCAGAAATTATTTCACCTGCAACAAAATATAAGGGAGGGTTAATACGCAAACATCAAAATATTCATTAAACATTGACATGCATAAAAATAGTTTTTAGATGTCACAAGGAGGTAGCTCTTCTGCCAGTGCAATGAAAGCACTAGATCACGTTGCCTGTGTTCTCATTTATACAGAAGCCGTTGCTGTTTCAAGGATTCCAAAGAAAAGTCCTCTGGGGGGATGGAGAGAAGCTGATTATGGGAGATCGTGAGGGGCAGTTTATTTTCTCCTTGAGAACTCTGAATAAGTTCCTTCCACAGCTAAATATCAGCATGCACAACTGTGGCTTCCATACTTCCAGAAATCTCCATCCAAAATGCTGCATTTTGCTAATCTGTTGCTAAAGACCCACAGTTATCCACTTTTAGAAGCTCACATTTATGTCTGCCATACAGATCCCAAAGTATGCTTTAATAGTCTGAAACTTGCAAGAGTTTTTAAAACTGCACTGAAAGATGAGTCTGAATCCCATTTAAGGTGGTGCACAAGCTCAGATGCAAGATTTAGGCCACAATCCTATACATACTTACATGGGCGTAGCTGGGGGGGCAGGGAGGGGCAGCTACCCCCCCCATAAATAAAAATCAATAAAATACATAGCAAACTGAGGTTCTGCCCTCCCTCCCAACAAAAGGCCTGCCCCTCTTAACAAAAGGTCTGCCCCCACAACAAAAAATCCTGGCTACCCCCATGCATACTTATTTGGATGTAAGCTCCACTGAACACAATGGGACTTGCTTCTGAGTAAGTGTACCTAGGATTTGAGTTGTCAATATCTGGGTTCGTTGTAGTTCTCTTGAATTCACCCAGTGTTTATTATCATATATGAAACTGTCAAATTTCTCCTGAATTTCTACATACACTAAGGGTTTTCAAAGAAGTTACAACTACTGGCATGGATTGTAATAACTGATCAGTAAGCCCAAAACATGGAGATTTTCCATACTGCTCATAGATCATCAAAGAGACAGCAAGGCACCAAAATTCTACCCAAATAAAACACTTGACGTAAGCTCCTTCTCGCTTCTGTTCTCCATCTCTCTCATTACACTTAGGCTTTTAGGAATTAAAGCTGAAATTCTCAGAATGCCAAATTCTGCAGCAGATGGGAACAGCATTCCAGATGTGAAGCCAACATATAAAAAGAAGATTCATAATAATTGAGAGGATTCCTCACTCTACCGCACTTCAGTTTCAGTAGATGTTCCTTGACCATTTTTCTGCTCTTCTGGCAATAACAATATAAAAAGGCTACAGTGTCAGAATTGATGTGCCTGAATATCCTTTCATTTCCAACCTCTTCCCCCAAGACAGGCATCTCAGAATATTATTTCCATAAAGTACATGTCTTACATGTATTAAGCCACAGAGAACAAATACACCAGATTAATTACATTCCCTCCCCAATGACGGTCCTGTCAGAATTGTACTGCAGGCATGACAACACTCAACACTCCCTTTGCAGCACTTTCTGCCACAGATGTTTGGTAAAGGTACAGGTACCCCTGACCATTAGGTCCACTCATGGACAACTCTGGGGTTGCGGTGCTCATCTCACTCTATAGGCCGAGGGAGCCGGCGTTTGTCCACAGACAGCTTCCAGGTCATGTGGCCAACATGACTAAGCCGCTTCTGGCGAAGCAAAGCAGCTCACAGAAACACTGTTTACCTTCCCCGCTGGAGTGGTACCTATTTATCTACTTGCACTTTGACGTGCTTTCGAACTGCTAGGTGGACAGAAGTTGGGACCGAACAACGGGAGCTTACCCCATTGTGGGGATTCAAACCGCCAACCTTTTGATCAGCAATCCCTAGGCTCTGTGGTTTAGACCACAGTGCCACCCGTGTCCCTCAGATGTTTGGTACAGACATCTAAAACCAGGTTAATGTCATTTGTGTGGTGGTGGCTGAGACCAGGTCTCAGGAAGATGTACATGGGCAGAACCACATGAATGATGCCTTATGTGATACATGCAAAGGCCCACCTCCTTTCCTCAAAGGAGTTGCAGAGTCATGCAGCTCAGATGTATCGGATGATATCTGGCCTGAATCAAGAGTAGACCCATTGAAATAAAGTTGGTCAAGTCCATTTATTTCAGTGGGTCTACTAAGTTTGACTTAGTTGAATATCCTCACAGTACAGAGCTACATTTGTAAACATAATTACTTGGCTCACATAATACATTATTTGCATTAAGATTGCTGTGTACACTCCTGAGATTGTGTCCCGGCCTCTTGCATTTTGTCACCTGAGGCAAAACAAGGAAGTGGCTACCCTTTTGCGCAGCTGTACCTTCCTCCGGGAAGATCTTGTGAGAGTTCCGTGAGATCTTGCTGGAAGAAGATGCAGCTGCCACTGCAGCTGCGCAACCGCAGCAGTGGTGGCAGGGGTGGGGCGCAGGATTCTGTTGCCAGAGGCAGCTGCTTCAGCCTACCTCATGGGTGGACTGGTTCTAGTCCTGGCCTCTGCAACTGAAATGACGTTACCATAGTCCTTAATACATGAACTGAGACATATTGTTTTCTTCATGGATCAGATTCTAACCTTGTAGGCAGAGTATGATAGAAGTTTTATTAAATAATAGATTAAAGAAATCCCAACAGAAAACATCTAGTTGTTACTTTCTGGAAAAAAATCTTTTTATGCGAAGCTTAGCTATGAAAAATATATAGGCTGCAGTTCTAAGACTTTGAATAATGCATAATTAGGACTGTAGCCTCTACATGGCTAGAATCAGGGAAGAAAACGATCTTTGCAGTAATAGTATTGAGAAATACATTATGATATTAGTAAGAGAATCAGGATATCACTTACCAAGCATTGCATCCGTTTCTGCACACATGGCATAATAATGTGCTCGGATATCTCTGATTTCTTTCTCCGCAAATTTCTCTGTGCAGTTCTTTGTATAAGAGGAATAGTAATCTACTGGGTGCATCTCTGAAAATGGAAGCCATTTTGGAATCTTGATGGCTTCGTATCTCACCTAGTAACAAAGTAAAAATGTTTTATTTTGTCAAAAGGTAACTATCATCACCGTCCAATTTGCCAGCAGCCCAAGGTAGACATACTGACTGAACATGAGGACTCCATGTTTTATAAATGTGGGGAGAAGAAGAGGGGAGGGCCCCATTGCGCAAGCAGAAGTCCTTGAACAGGGCTTGTGATGATGTGGCTTCTTAGGCGAATCCTGCCCAATGCATTATTTACAGAGCAGGACCAAAGTGCATAGTGCTTTACAGAGAACAAGAGCACAGGATCCTGCCCTGAGGGGAGTGCAATCTGTAATATGACCCAGAGGAAGAGGAGGGAAATGGAGACAGGGATAAACAGGTATGTTCAGTTGCACATGCTTAGAGAATGCCATGAGAACTAGGGACTTGTGCCAAAAAGCTTTGCAGAGAAAGTGCACTTTGAGGAAGGTGTCCAGGGTGGTGGTATTCAATGAAGGGTAACACAAAGTACACTTATTGAAATCAGTGGGCCTAACTTAGTCTTGTTCACTAACTACAATGGATGGACTCGGGGTAAAACTTAGTTGAATACCACCCCCAATCTGCTTCTCAATAGGTTAGAACATTGGTGTAAGGAGAGAGTCCCTGACCCACTGCTGTTCTTATCAGAGATCTGTGCAGCAAAATGTAGCATGTGTTTAGAGGCAATACTCCAGGCATTACCACTACACTTGGTGCTTTTTTCCTGCCTGTGCAATTCATTCAGAATGCATAGGTAAAGAGTTGGATCTGCTACAGCCCGCTTCCATAAGGTTCAGTTAGATTTTAGGAGATAATCACAGCCTTCCACGGCAATGACATCTTTTGCAGCCAGCAGCTTCTTCCGGTTCCACTATCCCCTCCCTAACTATACTAACGCTTACACAAATCATCTACAAGAAAGACTTTTCCTAAAAAATTGAACGTGTGGTCTTCCTTGCTCACCGCAGTGCCTGCGTCTAGGAACAAAGCCACACGTCTTAAAGATGGCTCCAGCTGATACCTTACAGACCATCTGCTTAGCAACATAGCGTACTGTGAGACCATCAAGTTGATGCACTGCTTTGAGTTGATTCAGCAAATGAGAGAGCTTGATCAGCTCTATAGCGCTAAGCTCCATTCCAACCTAGAAAGGCCATTGCTGCAACCCCAAGAACCACAGAATTAATTCTATGTGCCCGGCAGGACACATACACATACGCATACGCATACACATAAACATAATGGCAACCCAATATTCAAGGCAAAAGTCAAAGTGTGACATACTGCATAGAAACCCATGGCTCACAGAAAAGAACTCCTTTGTTTAGCAATCAAATCATTGCAATATATTAACTTGATAGCAATCCTCTGGAAGTGAACACCCAATTATTATTTTTGTAGAACGTGTATTCAAGTTCATGTTCATATTTAGCTTCAATGTTAGTTGAAGCCGCTGATTCAAATACAGTGGTACCTCGGTTGTCAAACGTAATCTGTTCCGGAAGACCGTTCGACTTCTGAAACGTTCGACAACCGAGGTGCAATGGGCGCTCAGCCAATTCCATTGAGAAAATTGGGAAATGCACCTCGGAAGTTGTTCGACTTCTGAGGCGCGTTTGAAAATGGAAGAATTCACTTTCAGGTTTTTGGCATTCAAAAACCAAAACGTTCGGCTTCCGAGACGCTTGAAAACCGAGGTACCACTGTACTGCTACTGGGCAAATGTGTTCAAGTTAATTGTCATCAATGGAGACAATGTCACAGCTAGAGAAATGAACAGTGCTTATTGGTTGCTGTGAGGCAACAGCACAGGAGGTCTACCCTATTGCACTGCTTGGAAGCATGTGATTGGCTACTGTGAGAATCAGGATGCTGTAATTAGATGCATGTTTGGTTTGATCCAGCCGGGTTCTTGACTTCTTAGATGTTCACAGCTGCCCCCTCAGAAAACTCTGGAGCGTTTTTTTTGTCTGGCTCCAGTTTTTCCATGGAATACACATTATGGTATACTCCAGAACATACTACCCATACTTCTCATTAGGCATTCCAACACACAATTATGGGGTGGATCCTAGCAGAAGGCACACAACCAGGGCTTTTTTCAGCCAGAACTCACTGGAACAGAGTTCGCACACCTCTCAGATGGGCACCATTGCCATTATAAGAGAACCAGGGAGGCATTCATGGTGAGTTCCGGCACCTCTTTTTCTAGAAAAATAACACTGCACATAACTTTCCTCCCATTGGGCCTCTCCTGTGTCAACAGTCAAAAGCCTTCTCTACAGCTCATGCTGGCCATGAGGTTGTCCCTGCCACACAGAGGGATGAAAGGTGACCTGAGAAGAGTGAAGAAATTGGTTGCACTTGGTTCCCAAGCTAAGAACAACTTCATGTTCTCCCTAGTATAAGGATATTCAGGGACTAGAGCCAAGACAAAAATTCTAGCACAGAACCTAGAAAATGGAATACAAGGTGTACACTTTCTGAGCTTATTGTACTTCACTAGCTCAATACAGATCCCTTGGAGTGGATGACAACAGGAAAAAAGGAGTAATCAAGAAATCATTCAAACAGCTGAAATTCTAAGACATTGCAATGATGGAGACTAAAACTGAGCACTATTCTCATGATATATATAAAAAGTAAACCATGTGCTGAAGATGCTTTTGTGAAGAAATGGTTGTTTCCTTTAAAACATTCTGCTGAATTACAGGGTTACACTGCCATTTAAGCAGTGGGAGCCATGGCAACCAGTCTGGAGAGTTTTGTGTGACCATTGTAAAAACAGAACCTGGAAACAACTCAAATGGAATACAAATAAACAGGAAGAGCTGACTCCCCCTCACAGAAAGAAACCACGTATGCCATCTTGAACTCATTGGAGGAAATGTGGGATAGAAATGTAATACACAAATAAAATAAAGAATATCCTTACATCATAAGCTTAAACTGGTTTTATTAGTCATTCTCAGGGCTTTTTTTTCCAGTCAGAACTCGTGTGGGACTCACTTCTCAGGTGGGCGCCATTGCCATTCTAAGAGAACAAGGGAGGTGTTCATGGTGAGTTCCAGCACCATTTTTTTCTAGAAAAATAGCATGGGTGTTTCAATTTATCCAGGGAACCACGAGCATAGCGGTTTTTAACAGGAAGGATGTAGGACTAGATATTCTGAAAAGAGAATTCTCAGCACTATCACCCTACTATAATTCCTGGGGGGCCAAGGAGATTACAATTTAGTATAAAAACATAAGTACATATCTGCTGTACTTGGTCACAGACAATCTGGCAACATAATAAAATACAGTCGTACCTTGGTTCCCGAATTTAATCCATTCTGGGAGTCCGTTCGACTCCCGAAATGGTTCAAAAACTAAGGCACAGCTTCCAATTGGCTGCAGGAGCTTCCTGCACTTAATCGGAAGCTGCATTGGGTGTTCGGCTTCCAAAACAGTTTGCAAACCAGAACACTCACTTCCGGGTTTGCGACGTTCAGGAGCCAATTTGTTCGACAACTAAGGCGTTCAACTACCAGGGTACCACTGTACTGTGGTTAATCTTTCATTTCAGATTTGAGTCACACAGCATTAGCAACATAGGAAGCTGCCCTATACTGAGTCAAACCATTGGTCTATCTTGCTCAGTATTGTCTATACTGATTGGTAGAGGTTCTCTGGGGTTTCAGGCAGGAACCTCTCCCAGTCCTACCAGGAGGTGCTGGGGACTTGAGACCCTCTGCCACTGAGCTATGGTCCTTCTGTGGGTTGAGGAATAAAATGCTCTAGAAATACAATTCTTTTTTAAAAACTTATATCAAGCTATACGCTAATATTTGCATACCCTCTGTAGCCAATAAGGAGATGTCCGAAATGTAGATGCCCCATAATTTTCTCCGGAGGAAGGTGAAGGATATGGATGAGGCAAATTTAGCCCCAAGTAAAGAACGAAGGGTTGTGTCAAGTTGGTGGCTTTGTTTCTTAGCCAAGCTGCAGCATCGTCGGTGGCCTTCCAATCTTTTTGCATGACTCTCACATAGGTCTTGTTACCTATGAGTTCTGCCACAGGCCTGCCTTCTTGCTGAAGCAAAAAATCAACGCTTCTGGTCCAGGCCTCCACACGGTTACTGAAAATCAGAACAGTATTCAGTATATACTTTATTTCCATGTAGATACAATCACAGGCATAGGGACACGGGTGGCGCTGTGGGTTAAACCACAGAGCCTAGGGCTTGCCGATCAGAAGGTCAGCGGTTCGAATCCCCGCGACGGGATGAGTGACGGGGTGAGCTTCTGTTGCTCGGTCCCTGCTCCTGCCAACGTAGCAGTTCGAAACCACGAAGTGCAAGTAGATAAATAGGTACTGCTCCGGTGGGAAGGTAAACGGCTGCTCTGGTTCCCCAGAAGCGGCTTAGTCATGGTGGCCACATGACCCAGAAGCTGTACACAGGCTCCCTCGGCCAATAAAGCGAGATGAGCACTGCAACCCCAGAGTCGTCCGTGACTGGACCTAATGGTCAGGGGTCCCTTTACCTTTACCTTTATAATCACAGGCAAATTATCATTATGTTCACATTTCTGATATGCCTGCCATTTGTATTCAGTGGTTTATAACATTAAATTGTAACTGGGTTTATAAAAAGATATTTATATCAGTTTGCCTTTGCAAATGATGTTCAAACATGGCCCAGCAGTGAGCCTTGTACCTGGGCACTTCTCTCTCTTCCTCTGCCTTTGCACAGTTGTAGGGACAAGCTGGGAAGTTAAATTTTGCTTGTTGTGACATTTAAAAATGGAGAAACTGTGGCTAGGCTTAAGTAAAAGAGGATTAGTGAAAAGAAGTCAACTCAAGTCATAGTGAAAACAAGACAGGCTTGACAACTAACTAGTTTAGATTAAACATGGTTTAGGGTTTGGCTGTAACAACAAACCATGGTTAATCTAAAATGGAAAGGGACATTTCTGATCTCTTCCAAGCGATGCTGGAGAAAAGGAGGGAGCCTCCCTCTTCTCTCCCCTTGCAGCCCTCTGCATTTTCAACTCTCTGCAGCATGCACAAAGGAAAAGGGAGAATGTCTTTATATGAAACTTGAGCTTCAGTATATAGGGCTAGACGTGTTAGAAGTGGAATGACACATCCAATTATTTTCTCCTTATGCAGCATAAAGAAACTATGACCCTCAGAAAGGTTGCCTACAAGTGGCTGCATTGTGAAGAAAAAGACTAGGCAGTAATATTTGTTCAAGAGCAAATGACTGTAGCTCTCCCAAGGTACTTAGTTCTTACAATAAACCCTTCTGAGACGTTTGCTGCCTTTATAATGGATTTTGTAGCTCCCTGACAATAAGGACTTCTTTGAGCAATGATGAGGATTTTAGTTACAAAACTAAAATGTTTCGAGAAAGTGCTTTTTAAAAAAATCATCTGAAAAAGTGCTACCAGTTTCATATACTTAATGGAACAAAAATTTGACAGGGGAACACATTTTACAGACGAGTGAACTGTCAGAACTTGAGGTTACTACAGAGAACACATCCATTTATGAGTAGGTTTACAGATCATACAAAACAAAAAGTACTGTTTCAACTTAAGTCTTAGGGCCTCAAAAGGGGTGTTGTCAGGATAAATGAAGTAAATATTGAAAAGCACTTTGTACATAGAAATGATAAAATAACAATTCAGTTTTAGCCAGAAGGCTTTCAATTAGCAGTAATCACACCTCTGATTAACCAGCTTTAACCAGAGATAGGGTTTTCCCAATTGCTTACCTTAGTGAGTGATGCCCTGAAGTATAATCCAGTTTTCCATATTTCTGAGCATAGTAGCCATGTTTTTCCATGAGGTCCATCCACGTTGTGTGATTTGGATCTAAACCCTTGAAATTATTCCAAGATTCTGTTATGTGAGTGAAGAGGCCACTCCACATAGCTAAAACAAAAACAAGAAACCCACCCATAACAGAATTGGTTGATGAATCATATAAAACATATAAGATCTGACTAAAACAAGGTATGCACAGCTTTCCTCTTGCATGTTTATTAGACACCTTTGGGCACCAGGCGAAAACGTTCCTCTTTAACCAGGTCTTGGGCTGACTGACATCAGATGCCCTTTTGAATGTGTTGTGGAAGGGGGAGATTATTGGGTTGTCTTTGTTCTTATTTTTATTAAATGTTTTGTGTTTTTTTATATTGTAATGTTATGTTGTGAACCTCCCTGAGATCTATGGGTACATAGCGGTATACAAAATAATAAATGTTTATGACTTCCACTGCTACTAAAAGGCATCCTATAAGACAGGCAATGGCAACCAGTAGCCTTCCAAATATTGTTGAAATACGATTCCCATCAGCCCCAGCCAATAGGACCAATGGTGAGGGATGATGGGAGCGGTAGTCCAGCAACTTCTGGAGGGCCCCAGGTTCCCCACCCATGCCATAAAGCAAGACGTTGTGGCTTCAAGAACCCATAGAGACTTTGCTACTATATTTTTCTAACCCAACGTTACAATGGCTCCAGGAGGCCAGAACTCATTCAGCAGCATGAGGAATCTTCACAACCCCTCTGCCCTCTCCAATCACCAGAAAAATATTTTTATTATTAGTTCTACCTTGCCTTTTAAAGCAAGTTACTTACAATAAAAATATTAAAAGCAACACAATTCTCCCCAGGCTTTGATTACTTTGCATTCAGCAAGGAAAGAAACTTGAGAACCGTTACTGCCACTATTTTCCGAACTACGAGTTGGAGTCAAATCTCCTAACTTCAGTCACACTATTGACAGGCTAATTCTCAGAAGCCATAATACAGTAAGAGGTGTGAAGAAATGGAAGCAGGTTTCTGCTAATGGATAAGCTCTCAGCTCTGACAATCCATGGAAGGGAGAGGGGAGGGGAGCCAGTGCTGGACTCAGTCTAGGTATCCTAACCATCTATTGAGGGTGGTCCATTCTGATCATCAGTGTGAAGAAAAAAAGAGAAGCACCAATAAATGTTGCAGTCCATTTAACCAATCCTCAGTTAAGTGTTTGTTTAGAAGGGCTTTCCATTTCGTCTTCCCACTTCTAGGAAATGCCCAAGGCACCTAATACTCAAAATATGTGATTAACAAAATAAAAGTAAAGAGAAAAAAGTAGAACAGACAGAGCAGCAAATAAAAATATCCATAAAAACAGAAAACAGCCAACTAATCAGATGGAATGCCAGTCAAAATAAGAAGACAAGCCAGTGAAGCCTACTGAGTGGCTTTGTGCAAGTCACTGTCATACCCAGCCTAGTTTCTCCACTTATAAAAGGGGTATAACAGGCTTAGTCCTAACTCACATGATGAATCTTCTAACGTTGACCTTCAGCCTCTCTGCACTTGGTAAATACAGACAACAACCCACTCCTAATGTCCCACAAGCATATTATTTATTTCCTTTTTAAAACATGCAAGTGATACTATGTTTATCCTGAAGGCCTGGCTCACAGACACTAAAAGGAACCAGAAGTTTCAAGGTTGCCCAGGGAAAATCTTTTAAAGTTTAGCTATCATAAAGTAGTATTTAAATAGGTTCTACTCGTGTATTTCTTGCTTGAGTATGATCTTACCTGCACGGGAAGGACAACATATTGGAGAATTGGTATAAGCATTAAGAAAGAGACTGCCATGTTTTCTCATGAGATTCACAAAAGGCAAGTCTACTGTTTCATTTTTTGGGTGAAATGTCAGCCTTCCATCCTGCATGCAGAGGGGGAAAAACATTTTGAGAATTACTCTGGAAATTAATCAATGCAACATTAGAAATCACATTAATCACATTAATCAATGCAATATTACAAATCACACTGTAAAAAAAAATCACACTCTACCAAAACACCCATTTCAGTGGTTCTGGATGCAATATAAGTTTTCTAGGAACATGTCTTCACTGACAGGACACCAGCATGGTTTGAAATATATATTCCTACAAATATACATATTGACAATTGAAACATTTCAGTGAGAGGTACAATTAAACAAGAACTGAACTACGGTATGTGATTTTCTTACTGTGATTTCAGTGAGACTTTGTGACCGGTTCCAAGTTTTTCCAGGAATGAACAACAGCATGAGAGCAGTGACTAACTGCTCAGAAGACTTTGTGTCATATTGGTTAAGAGCAATTTTGGAGCTGGCCATTTGCAATAACTCAGGCAAAGAAGACAGTGTGATGTATGGGCCGGACAGATGAAGTATGACAACGTGGGCAACCTTTCCACATCTCCCGCTTCCAATTTAAATCAGAAGAAGAAAGAACTCATTGTCAATGACCCATTTGCAAAGTAAATCCCTGTTCTGGAGCACCATTAGTGCTTCTGTACCTTTTTCCTCCCCACTATTGAGCAAAACTTGCAAGCTGCTTCATGTTCACTCCCACATATTCACTTATGCTAGACTATGTCCCTAGCGTACATAAATGACTACTGGTACTTGACTTGTTTCATATAATGGGGTAACTGTGCCCCTGAAGGACCAGGTGCGCAGCCTGGGAGTCATTTTGGACTCACAGCTGTCCATGGAGGCACAGGTCAAATCTGTGTCCAGGGCAGCTGTTTACCAGCTCCATCTGGTACGCAGGCTGAGACCCGATCTGCCTGCGGACTGCCTCGCCAGAGTGGTGCATGCTCTGGTTATCTCCCGCTTGGATTACTGCAATGCGCTCTACGTGGGGCTACCTTTGAAGGTGACCCGGAAACTACAACTAATCCAGAACGCGGCAGCTAGACTGGTGACTGGGAGCGGCCGCAGAGACCACATAACACCGGTCTTGAAAGACCTACATTGGCTCCCAGTACGTTTCCGAGCACAATTCAAAGTGTTGGTGCTGACCTTTAAAGCCCTAAACGGCCTTGGTCCAGTATATCTGAAGGAGCGTCTCCACCCCCATCGTTCTACCCGGACACTGAGGTCCAGCACTGAGGGCCTTCTGGCGGTTCCCTCACTGCGAGAAGCCAAGTTACAGGGAACCAGGCAGAGGGCCTTCTCGGTAGTGGCGCCTTCCCTGTGGAACACCCTCCCACCAGATGTCAAAGAGAACAACAACTACCAGGCTTTTAGAAGACATCTGAAGGCAGCCTTGTTTCGGGAAGCTTTTAATGTTTGATGTATTATAGTATTTTAATATTCTTTTGGAAGCCGCCCAGAGTGGCCGGGGAAGCCCAGCCAGATGGGCGGGGTATAAATAATAAATTATTATTATTATTATTATTATAATGCTCTCCTTTTTTCAGTATAATGCTAAATTGTTTTGTATAATGCTAAATTTCCCCCTCCTCTCCTATCACAGGCAGCACAGTCCGAATGCCATAATCTTGCAAAAAGTTACATCTCACATGCTGAAAGTTAACCTTCACTGTGTTAACTGAATTTCTTCCCAAAATAGGCATGGATAGGACTGCAACCCAAGTGTGACACAAGAACATGCTCTCCAATTATTAAGTGAAAGCTTAGCAACAAATGTCACTCTCAATGCAAGCTCTTTTCGCATGGGGTTCTCTAGCATGTAAATGGCACCTCCAAGCGGAAAAAAACAGCAGCTAGGCTCAAGCAGCAGGGAGATCAGGTCCACAGCAGCTGAGCCTGAAAGAGTAGATACAGTGGTACCTCTGGTTACATACGCTTCAGGTTACAGACTCCGCTAACCCAGAAATAGTGCTTCAGGTTAAGAACTTTGCTTCAGGATGAGAACAGAAATCATGCTCCGGCGGCGCGGCAGCAGCGGGAGGCCCCATTAGCTAAAGCGGTGTTTCAGGTTAAGAACAGTTGCAGGTTAAGAACGAACCTCCGGATTGAATTAAGTACTTAACCCGAGGTACCACTGTATTTTTATTTACACCATCCCGCCTCACATTCCTTCGCAAGCAGAAGCGTGACTGGAAAGAAGTTGCTCTGGATAGTTTTGCTTTTGTTTTGAAAAAGTCAAATACTTACTAAGGAATCGCACATCACCATCACAATGTTAGGCTTCCCGCAGCTGCTGCAAGTGTAATCCTCGTTGAGCAGGGGCCTCGCCTTCACTGCTCCCCCAAAAGCGAAGAGGACCAAGGCAACGAGGTGACTTGCAGAGGTTACATAATTTCTACCTTTCCCACCCATTTCGGCCAGATCAGGAGCTCAGCGGAGCCTCCATGCAGAGATCCCTTCTCTGCCCCACTCTTCTCTTCACCCTGCCAGACGATCGTGACGCGTCCCTTGAGTAACCGGGGTGGTGCATCTCGTGCCGCACCCGCTGACCCGTCCGGGAACAAAAGCTCACGAAGGGAAGGAGGGCAAGCGACACCGTTCACAAACACAGCCGCCGTGTCGCGTAATGCATGTCGGTAAAGAAAGCGGGAGGAAATAATGTCAAAGGCCGTTGCAACGCGCCAGGAGAGAAATAAAGACGCACCCCCCTTTTTTAACATACTTTCTTTAGGGAGGGCGGAAATAAACGTCGGGTGCAGAACTACAACTCCCATAATGCAACGCCACCGGGAAGGGTTCTCTGTTGTCCGAGGACGCACATAGAGTTGCTTAGAGTTACCGTTCCAGTGTTAACTGGTGGGATCGCTTGGTGGCATTTTTCCCTCCTCCTCCTTCGAAGTAAAATTAGACAGCCGCCCGTTCTAAACGAAGGGTAAACCCGGGATTTCTAAGCAGGTGTAATTGGATCATAGCTGTCAACGTTTCCCATTTTTTAAAGGGAAATTCCCTTATTCCGAATAGGATTCCTCGTAAGAAAAGGGAAAAAAGTCGACAGCTATGAATTGGATAGCAGCATGATGACCCTTCTCCACGATGGTAGAAAGGAGGGCAGGAATGTATGCTGCTTATAACTCAAGCCTGATCGAGTGCTTTAAATAAAAACGAAAAACCCAGTTTGCAAGCTGCATTTCCCTTGCTATGCAGGGTACACGCAATGACCGAACAGTCTCATTGAACTCTATGGAACTTTCTCCCGAGTAGAGTAGACCTACACAGAATCGCAGTGTGTACTGTACATTGGTTGCTGGTGCAATTTGGGATTATGTGAGAAATTGTACTCTCTTGGGTTGCCCTTCTCCCGCGTCTGAGTTCTGTTCAGGGTTAGACTCTGAGGCTTTGCTGGACTCCTTTGCAGGTGCTGCCCTACTCTGCTGGTCACGCCGGTATAGATGTGATATCAGAATATTGCCATTGGTGTGGTGCAGCTTAACAGAGTGGCGGGCTACTAGTACTACTCTGAAGACCAGAGTTCAAATGCGCACTCTCTCATGAAACTCGTTGAATAACCTTCTCAACCCAGCCCACCTCACAGGGTTGCAGTGAGGATAAAAATGGTGCGTGTGTAAGAGGAGAAACATATATGTCACCACGAACTCCTCGGATGAAAGGTGGGGTGTTAATGCAACAATAAATAAATAAGCGTGTGCGACTCCACTCTCACCACTTTGCTAAAAGCAAAGGGCCATTGCTTTGGCAGCTTGACCGCCTGAGAACCACGTGTGTTTCATGGCGTAAGAAAGCCGATACATAAATATTAGAAAATAAGCTTTGGGCATAAAGCAACAGAGACAAGTCACTCTCGTCCGTGCCATCAAGAGTAAGCCCTGTGGTGTTTCGATTCGACTTTTTCACAGGAACTGCTCAGACCTTCCAAGTGTCCCTATTTTGCTGAGGCAGTCCCGGATTTACAGCAGCTGTCCCAGTTTCTGGTTTGAACTGCCCCTCTTTTTTCCCCTTAGGACGTCCCTATTTTCAGCGGAGAAACGCTGGAGGGCATGCGCGTTGTTGGAACGGGGCCTCGGTCGTAGCTGAGGCTGGCAAAACCGCGCCTTGCTGCGCGACACCAATGAGAAATACGACGACCTCTGCCACGCGGAAGGCCGACTTGGCGTTTGAGAGCGGCGCGCTGTCGGGCCTCTGAGGGGCTTTTGCTATCCACGACATCGGTTGAGGGGCGGGGCTAAGGAGGGGCGGCGCCTTCCGCGCGTGCGCGGGGCGGCATTGATGGTTGTCTGCTGCCGGCGGTAGCCGTGGCCGGGGTCGGTAGCAGCCGGTGAGTGACTGTTCGCCGCGCGGCTTCGTGGCGAAGAAAGGCCTGGTCCCTCGAAGGCTCCGGCGGGGCGGGCCTGCCGTCAGCGCCTGCTTTTGGGAAGGGCCAGCGGCCCTCCCTGGAGCTGGGCTGCGGTTCCTCTGGGGAAGCGGAGGGGAAGAAGAGCAGCTGGGTCAGGCTCGGGAGGCTGCGGCCCCTGCTTTAACGAATCCCCGTTTAACTCCTCGTGTAAATCCGGGCATTAACGCGCGCAGCTTTGGCTTTAACACCTTAGTCTTGCGCCCTGGCTTGAATTGCGTGTAAAAGGAACTTATCGTAGGATTGCGGAGCTGGAAGGGGACCCTGAGGATCATCTAGTCCAACCCCCCCACCACCACCCCGCGAGACAGGAATATGCAGTTACCCCATACGGGGATCGAACCTGCGACCGTCGTGTTCTCAGCACTAGGGCTCTAAGCGACTGAGCTTTGAATGGGCAAGCAGCAGGTATTAGATAAAGCAGTGAGGGGTTGCTCCCAGGTGTCAGAAAAGGTTATTTATGTATGTTACTGCTGCAGCCCGTGTTTTGTTAGCCCAAAAATGGAAAAGGAGCGGGGCCCCAGCCAAAGAAGAATAACAACTTAAGCTGACAGAATATGCACAACTTGCAGACTTAACATATAGAGTAAGAGAACAAGAAGAACATAACGTTTAAAGAAGACTGGAAAACGCTTATTGAATATATGGGAAATAACTGTGTTCAGCTGAAAATGTTGGCGGCATTAAGATAAATTCAACAGTGTAAATAAGTTTTGATGGATACAATAATGGAATACTGAATGGTATAGTTTTTGTAAAATACGCAAGGATTTATGATATGTAAAATGAACGATGGAAAGAGAATCAGGGAAGTCATTGATGTCTTAAGGATATAAAATGAGTATTTTAAATTGTAAAACAGAAAGTTTAATAAAAAATTATACACGCGGGGGGGGGGCAGCAAGGGGTTGCAGGTCAGAACAGTGTGGGGTTGTAGCCTGCCCCACACCCCGAGCTAGCCTCTTCTCCCAAGTTAAGTAGAGGATGCTGTCCTATGTTCAGTGTTGAAGGTAAGATCCAGTCAGCTTCTGTATGTGAAATGGGAGCGTATCTCTTCACTATAGCCAGCAAAATGTCCTGATTTGGCCCTGAAGAGTTAGAATCACCATTGTCTATAATTATAAACCTGGATGATATTGCTCATTTTTGTCCTGTAGGAAGAGGTCCATTTAGTGGCAGGACTAAAACAAAACAAAGCAAAACCCTGCATCATAGGTTTGTGGCATAAATTATCACTTATTTTGTCAAGAAGCAAAAATACCATGAAAAAGAAGGGATTAAAATAAGACTCGCTTGAAAATTCTCCATATGGCCTGGTATAATTGCTGAAATTTTCTTCCGTTACCTTGCCAGTAGTCATGTCCAACAAGGAAGTGAAAGCAGCATTGAAAAGTGCCAGAGATGCTATAAGGAATAAGGAGTACAAAGAAGCACTGAAACACTGCAAGGTAACTAGCACTCAAATGTACAATTAAGCTTTCGGCATGCGAAATTGTATGTTCTATTCATAGTACTCCTCTCTGATATTTTAAAGTATTTCTTCATCGTCTTGGTGTTCCTTGCTGTATTTGTTTATCTGCTGCCAAACTAAAAGCTAAAGTTGGGCTGCACAGCAGTGGTGTCATTTTCTGTTTCCGCCCTGTTGGTGAGGGTTTGGATGTTTTGTCATCCTCATAGATGTCATCAGCACAAAGAGTTGCCTTATACTGACCCAGGCCATTGGTTCATTTAGGTCAGTACTGCCTTCTTTTGTTGGCAGAAGCACTCTAGTGTCTTAAACAGGTTTTTTGCTTTAGCTTTGCTCTTGAGATCTTTTGAGCTGCAAATGTTTGGGATTGAGCTTGGGACTTTGTATATGCAAAGTACTTAACTTTGGGCTCCTTCTGCAGCTTTAGAATCTTTTGATGATAACATGCATCAGTTCTGCTTTCTTCTTCAGCTTTGAAATGATTTATTAATATTGCTTGTTGTAAGTGTTTCAGTGTTTTTTCACTTGTTCTTGCAGGCAGTATTGAAACAGGAGAAGAATAACTACAATGCCTGGGTATTCATTGGTCTGGCAGCTGCGGAGCTAGAACAACCCGATCAAGCCCGAGGTGCCTACAGAAAAGCTGCTGAACTTGAACCAGGGCAGTTGCTAGCATGGCAAGTACGTAGAATCATAGAATTGTAGAATTGGAAGGGACCACAAGGGTCATCTAATCCAACCCCCTGCAATGCAGGAATCTTTTGCCCAATGTGGGACTTGAACCCACAACCCTGAGATTAAAAGCCTCATGCTCTACAGACTGAGCTATCCCAGCTGATGTTCTAATATGACTGGTTCCATTTCCCTATTCCATATATGTATGTGAGTAAAATGCAAATATTCTGCAAATAGTATGCAACATTAGATTCAAATTTAGGAGACTGTACATTGGACTATCTTCTAGGCATCTTCCTGACTACATGTAACAAGGCTAGTCTTTCTTGCTTAGAAGTTATAAATGATGCGGAGAATGTAGACAAATTACTCACTGCCTCTGCAGTGTTATCTTCACACAGTCAGTTTGATGAACCTTGAAATGCTATGCTTCAAATACTATTAAACAGTAACATGGTTATATCTCAGGAATGGATATGAATATGGAGATGATAGTTGTGACCCAACAAGGATTTGCTTCAAAAGTTATATGCCTCACTTTCCCCTAGGGCTTAGCAAATTTATATGAAAAAACAAACCATGCAGATGTCGGAGAAGATTTGGTTAATGTGTATCAGAAACTTCTGGAACTCTATGAAAGGTAGGAAATCAATTATTTTACAGCATTTTGAAAAAATAAGCTAAACATTTACTTGAGGGGAATCTTATGATACTAATTATAGAGGAAATGTTTATCACAACAGTATTCACAGCATTCCCATGTCAAATTTATCTTATGTATTCCAGCAGAATGTAAAATGCTTCCATCATTCTGAAAATAAATCATTGTTCCCTGATAATTTTTTTACATTTAATCTACATGATAGAAAAGTTGTCCATGCAAAATGGTAAAATCCATTATAGTGTGAAATTTAGTTCAACTATTTGTTTCATGTTATTACTTTACCCATAAAACGTTTTGAGTGTTAGCATGCATCTCTATTTTCCTGAACTTGGAGAGATCCTTCTCTTTTTGCTAGAAAATGCAATAAGGAAAACAAAAAAGGCTGTGTTAAGTAGATAGGCTTCAGTGCCACGGTGACAGCTTCTGCTAGTAGATCAAGCTTTTGTCTGCTCCAAAAACTTAATTAGAAACACATTTCTCACTGTGTAGGACTGAAGGGAAGGAGATGGAGAAGGCAGAAGACAAATAGAAGTGGGGTAGCCCTAAAGCAGGAAGCAGGTAGCCCTAAAATGAAGTGGTGGGGAAGCAGGGGCCAAAGGATGGGAGCCTGTGCCAAGACCACCAGGGGTTGGCAGGAAGAGCAAAGGGGAAGGTCCCCAGTACCTAGGGGAAAGGGGAAAGGAGACTGCAAGATGGCATAAGAGAGGAGAGAGGACTGCAGGAAGCAAGGTTCACAGGTTGAAGATGGAGTGGAAAAAGCCACAGTTGAAAAAGAAAGAAGTACAGAAGAGCAGATTGTTAAACAAATATTTTAAATTGAAAAAGTATGTTAACTGAGGATTTCCTTAACAGGCAAAGACATATAAGAAGGATGCGGAGGAAAAATACGTGGCAGTAGAAGTCAAGTTTTGAGCCCTATGCGGTTCACCCCAGCCAGGGTTTAAAGGGGGAAAAGTCTGGAGGGGAAAGTAGTAGGCAGTTCCAGGGCTGGCAGATTCAAACCCCATCCCCCATCCAACCCCAACACATTCCTTTCCCCCTCCTAGTGCTCTCAGAGGACTGATATAGAAAGAGGGACAGCCAGTGCAACAAAGGGTGGATTTCCTGCTCCAGCTGCAGGTCTACAAATCTTATGTCTCCTGACACCGCCTTTCCAGGTACAATAGGATTGCACCCTTATATTGTAGACATTTTGTGTTTCTCCCCCAGCACTGATAAACAGAAATGGTGTGAAGTATGTAGAAAACTTGTGGAGCTGTATCAGCGAGAGAGAAAATACCTTCAGGTTAGTCACTGTCATGTTCGTTGTAACTTATTGTTATCAATGTTAGTAATCAATGTTTGTTTTGCCAAAAAAAACCACCAAATTTTCCTTTGCAGAAATATTTACTAGCTTTATGACTTCACCAGTCTTGGCTGTGCTTGCACCCTGTTGCTTTCAGATGAAATACCTTTTTTTTGTCCATTACATTGCCTCAGAGTCAACTTCTGTTTCCACAAGCCTGCAGGAGGACTTTAATTACTTTTTTCTTCTCTCTCTCCCATTTTTAAATAATGGAATAGCAATATTTTGCGCTCTCTCTCTCTCTTTTTAAAAAAGAACAACCATGAGAGGAAGCCGGTGACTAAAGCGTCCCTTTTTGTGAAATCAAACACTTCATTGCCCCAAATCTAAAGTTTGTTTGAGGGGCAGCTAGTAGGCTAATTCATCACTTTTCCACCACCCACTATAAAATGAAAGCAAGGTGCAGTCAAATATTCTTATGCCTATGTTTAAATGGGAAAAGGAAGTGAGGAGCCCATAAAAGCCCCAATAGTGCTTTGCTGTTCATAATAGGCAAGGCTGCTGCTGCGATTGCATTTTATTACCATCAGTCAATCAGTCAATCAATCAATCAATCAATCAAGCACACGATGTGGAAAACATTAGTGTGGAAGCAACCTGTATCAAGGTATTTGAAATGTCATGAGAGATACTGCCCACACCATACCACTAAAAGAATCTGTATAGCTGTGTGACTTGGTAGGCAGCAGTAAGCAAGAAGACTGCAAAATCATCTCATAACACTGACACTTTATTGCTTCTGACTTCTCATTTACGTTAAAAGGCATACGCCTTGATCTCTGGAACTGGGAAATGTCTTCCAGTGCTCCAGTATTCAAAGGCGATAAATGTCTCAGATTTGAGAAGATATTGAGGCTTGACTGGTTTTCTTTTGACAGGTGGCTCGGACGTGGCAGAAGCTAATAAAAATACGACAGGAAGAAGGTGCAGAAAAAGCTGAGCTTCATCAGTTATGGAAGAGGTTGGTCCAGTTACTGGAAGAAGGCACACATCTCCAGGATAATGAGACACAGCAATTGGTAAGGGTTCGTCCCCTGATTTGGCTATATTTATTGTTTTTCAAACAATAAATCTATATAAAATTCAGCATAACAATTGTAGCTGATTCTTAGAACAGCTTGGAAGAAATAATTCCGAATTTCCATCTTACAGATGGGAAGTGATACAGTGATTTTCTGAGGACTGCCTGCTTGAGGCTATGACTAAATGGCATATGCTCAGCTCTTGGTTTATACAAACTGGAGGCTGTAAATCACAAAACCTATTAGGGTAGAAATAATATTTGGCAGTGCGAAAGTATAAGCAGTAGTCCTGCTTATAACACATAACTACACTAGGGCATTGGGGTAATTGTTTTCAATCCCTGCTTCATGTGCTTTGGCTTACTTGCTCAAGCTGAATTATTTCACTAAATTGGTCCTTCCTGCATCTTCCCCTTAACGTGGTACATTATTTGCTTCTGTTCTGTTCTTGAATCAAACTATCTAGATGAAGCGGTTTGTATAGAGTCATAGTTCTGAAAAAAACCCGCCATTCTGTAAATCGACAGACAATCTTGCTGTGGATAGTGCCAATTGACCAATGCTTGTGATGTCATGGAGACTTTCTAGCTTACACCCCAAGAGCAATTTTACAATTGTTTTTAAAATCTTGAAAATATGTATGACGCGTAGGATGAACATAGAGAGAACAAACGTTTCTATCCCGTTTCTCCCACTAATCTTGAATGTCACCAGCTCCACCTTGTGGTTGAAGGCAGGAAATGTTTTGGCTACCTTCACCCAAAGTCAAACAGGATCACAGATCCTTTCTATTTGCCTGTCCGTCTTTTATTCATTCTGGTGATTAAAATGAACTTCAGGCATGCTCCTGGCACTGGAAATTGTAGTATGGGAAAATAAGCCATGCTGCATGTTGGACAGAAAAAGGCAAAATAGCAATTTTGGTAGCAATATACAGTATTCACAATTTTACCATATTAGTTTGGCAATCTTAGGACCAAACCATTGCGCCTACTGTGTGTAACTGTATGAACTGTGTGACAGTTGTTGATTTTTATTTTTAAAAAAAGCAAAATAAAAGTTGAGATCAGAGCACCAGTGTGAGCAGACTGTCTTGAAGGGAAGAGGGAATGCCCAGCTCTTATGATGCTAGCTATTTATTCACTCTGTGTTACCATTCATGGATGTGGAGAAAAGATGAAGTCTTATCTATTTCCCCCTCCCACTGTGGGTGGGAAAGCACTTTGTGGAAGGTGTGGATCAATGTTGACAAATGGCTAACAAGTTCCTCCCTCTGAGCCCCAATGGATACTCTTCGTTAAAAAAATCACCAGAAAGAACCACACAATTATGTGTAATGATAGCTTGGCTCTGATTTTGTGTAGAAAAGTATTTGCTGGCACAGTAGGAGAACTGAATCTTTTCAAACTTTAGGTGCATTAATTATCCAGAGATCACACCATCACTTGTTAAAAGCTTGCTGCATTTTGGGCTTTGTTGTTCCATATTGCAGTGTCTATACTATTTGTTTTTCAGCTCCTCAATGCATTTGAAGAGGCTGTGAATTCCTCAGACCCAATTCCAAGTGAAGAGCATCAAAAGACTTATAGAGAGTTCATTCATTGTTTGTCAAAAGTAAGAATTATTTATTTTGCTGTAAGGTAAAACATCCTACTTTGAAATTGACAGCTATCTACAGACAACTGCCTACATTGCTAATTGCTTCTCTCCTCCTGAAATAAGTTTCCTCATGAGGATTTCAGACTGAAGAAGGCCTGTGAAGATATGATGATTTTGTATCCTGCTGCGAGTTATCCTCTGGAAGTTCTTTGCTTGCGATTCATTCAATCAGGTAGTTTTTGGTTTATTTATTTTCTTTTTTTCTTTACTACAGTACTTTATTTTATTTGACCACTGTATCTGCTGCCTTTCTGTACTTTTTTCATACATCTGAGTTGCTCTGAGATTATCTGGGAGATTTGAGTTTGTCACAGAAGAGGTTCTAAAAGGGAGGGGGAGCTAAAATAAAAAACTTAAATTTGTTGGTGGAATTCAGCGACTCATTAAGACAAATGTTGCATCTGCCCCTCCCCGTCTCTTGCACTTTGTTTACCTGCTTTCTGTATGCTGTTCCAAGAGCTTTAGCTGAAGAACAGCTAATAAGTATTTTAAATAAATGAAAACAATTCTGGTGGGCATAGAAATAAAGCTGCCTTAGTGGTCTTGAAATAATCTCCTTTTCCTGTATTGCTCTGATTACCGTTAATGGCAGCATTCTTGACCTCGAAAGCTTTCAAATCCTTTGGCCTCTATGTGTGTGCCATATATGCTATTGCTTCCTTTCTTTTCCATTATGTACCATTGCGTGTCCCAAGACTGGTTGAAAGTGCGGTACTGAAAGCTGGTTTTTATTTATATCCAGATTTACATTCTGCCCCATTCTTAAAGCTCTGGGCAAGTAACAATTTAACAAGCAATGTAGCAAACATAGAACAAAAGGCTTGCCTAAGCCTTATCAAAACAGTAAGAACTGCTAAGGTAAGCATTTTAAAGTTAAAACAGCTTGCTTTTACTATCAGTGGCCACTAGCCATGATGGCTATGCTCAGCCATTGCAGTTGGAGGCTGCAATGCTTCTGAATGCCACAAGGCATTCAGTATTTGTTTTGGACAACTCAGAAAATAGTATGTGACGCCAGAAAAATAATATAGCGAAAACACTAGAGAGAGTTTCGTTTTCTTCTCACCTTCTAAACTGTGGCCAAATGGAAATTCCTCCATGTATTCTAGGCAGTTTCACTGATGAGGCCCTGAATTGTTGTCGGAAACTGTTGGATATTGACCCAAGAAGTGGCCCAGCTCTTATTGGATTAGGGATTCAATCTCTCCAAGAAAAAAAGTATGATGAAGGTGAAAAAAAGCTAACAGAAGGTGAGCGATATGGGAAGAGAACAATGGGTGTGTACATAATGTATATTATAGGAATAATATGATTGAATTGGAGTGAAATGCTATCCTTGTTTTTTAGAGAGGCATTATTGAGTCTGGCCAAACTATCTTTTTTTCTCCCAGTTTGGGCTCCGATATATTCTTATATGCAATCAGTTTTCAGCATTTATGCTGTCTTTAGGACTCTACACTAGAATGTAAATTATCCTTAGACACTTTTTGAGGGAAGGAGGAGTTCAAAGTTAGTTCTGAGTGACAATTTATGTCCAATCTATATGAAATTGTATATTGTTGTAGGTTTGAGGTTGTTCAAATATATCAGATACTAAGATCGAATATACATAAGGCAAAACATAATAGTTGAACAGGTTACTTCTGGGGTGGGGCTATGGTTATTGTCTGGTATTCATGAATTGAAAAGTTAAATAGCATTAAAATTCGAGTAATTGCAAGTGCCATCTGAACTCATGTGTTTAAATCATGTTAAACATGCAAAATCTTTCCTGCCAGGTTTGCAGCAGACTAGCCAGTGTCCGGAAGCATGGTGTTACTTAGGAAAGGCACAAGTGAAAATGCATAAATACAAAGAAGCTGTTCTTTCTTGCAATCAAGGTAATTGCAGAGCTAAAATACAACTTCTTTAGAAAAAAGGTAGTTCAACTTTTGATAAAATATCCCAAAGGCAGGCAACAACAATATAATAGTAAAAAGTGAATAAAGCAATCAAATAACTATAGAGGCAGTAGAACAGCAATTTCAAGCAGTAGTGGTAAGCTGGAATTGCAGCACTCCACTAACATGCTCAGCAGTCAAAGGCTAATCTAATAAAGGTTTTCAAGGTCTGTTTAAAAAGAATGGGCTCTTGCATCTGGTGGATTTCTTGTGGAAGATTGGTTCCACAATCTTGATACTAATAACAGAAAAAAAGCCTTCTCTGCCACTGTAATTTTATTGTAGCAGGCAGATGCAATAAATTGGTACTACACCTCAGTGTTTAGTATATTTAATATTTTTTCGTCAACGTTATTTCAGATTTCTATGATCCCAGATATAGTAACACACTAACTGGGCATGCTGTATTGCTGGTTTTGTATTGTAATTCACCCTGGGATCATTTCAATGAAAGGTGGGCTTATAAATTGAGGGGGGTGGAACACATGTTTTATATAGTGCTAATAAAATATAGGTTACAAACTGGTAGATCTTAATAGCCTTTTCTTGAAATTGCTTCATAGGATACAGATAATATGTTGAGATGTCAACCACTTCTCAAGCTAGTGGTTTATTTTACAATCCATAATTGATGGGTGGTGTATCGAAAGAGCAATGTTAAACTGTACGGGCAAATACAATGTCTTTTAAAACAAGTTTAAGTCAAACATAGAATTAGAATTCTTTCTTTGGCAGCTTTAAAGATATTGGGACAACTTAATGAATCCAGTTCCAGTCAGCAGCAGAGAAACCTTGCTCATCGCTTCAAAGCCATGGCCTTGATTAAAATCCCAGGTGTTGACTCTGCAAAAGAAGCTATAAGTTCCCTTGAACAGGTATGTGAATAGCTTCTCCCTCCCCTCTTTAAACAACTTTGGTAAATGAAATCTGCCTTAGGCTTTCCAGTTTAAGATGCTGAGGGGTCCTTTGTGCCTTTATAATTGTAAGGAAGGAGAATTTCATTGAGTCTAGGTCTCCCCTTCATAGTGTTGCGGTGATTGGGGAAAGCTGGTCTCTTTACTGAATACTCTGAAACTATTGTCTGTTTCTGGGCGGACAGACAGAGGAATCATTGTGTTCACAGAGTGGCAATATTATTCTACTATTTAGACTTCAATAAGGTTTGGTTTAATAAGTATTTCTCTCACAAGGTAGCTTCAGTTTTCTGAAGACTGACATTTCAAACATGCGTTTGGTTCCTAGGTTTTGGATAGAAACAATGATCCCAAGCTTATAGCTCTTAAAGGAGAGGCTTGCCTCAATAAAGGGCTTGTTGATGAAGCTTTGAAGGTTAGTATGTCCCGTTTCCCCCCATAATACAGCCTGTTGTTAAAAATATGACATTGCTCCATATGAAACTGTAGAATATAACACTTTTTATACTATAGATTGCACAGGAGCTTAAACAGACCCACCCAGACTTAGCGGAAGCTGACTACCTTGAAGGCTTGATTCATTATCAGCAAAAGAACTATCATCAGGCAGAAGCAAGGTAAACCATGCTCATTTGGGGGAGAAAATTTGAAATAAACAAATATATATAAATAAATATTCTTTTTTTAGTTTCCAGAGAGCTATTGAAAAAGAAGCTGAAATAGCCGACTTCCATTTCTGCCTGGGACTCACTTATTGGTTTATGAGTGAAGAGACAAGAAAAAATAAATCCAAAGCTCTTACTCAGTTTCTGAAGGTAAACCATGAGGACGGAAATGGGTTACAGCTGAACATATTTCATAATGATTTTTCCTCTTCCAAACAGTGGTCAGCATCTTGATTACTAGCCTGTGGGAAAATCAAGGGCAGAGTGAAGGAACCAAGGAGCCAAATCTTTCTCCTTATGTGTTCCTCCCAGTTCTGGAATGTTCCAGATGAACACACAGTGGTTATCATGAGAAGGAAAGGGAATTGTGAGAAATGCAACCTATGTGTTTCAGGTTGTTCCTGCCACACCTATTAAAAGCTAGTGGTGCGGAAGTTAGCTGCTTCAAAATGGTTCCTGTAAGCCCCCTTGAGGTGATAAATGAAGGGAACGAATACGAATCTCCATGCTGCTTATTAAGCCTCAGAAAATTTTGTTGACATTGTGCCAGTGGTATGCCTACCACGTTATAAAACAACATCAAAAAGAGGCCTCTGCCCCAAGGAGCTTACCATTTACCGTATTGGCCTGAATATAAGCCTCACCTTTTCCCCAAATTCCAACCGTGAAAAGTTAAAGTGCGTTTTATATTTGCGACCTTGCTTTATGCAGCCAGGAGCGTGGGGCAAACGGTGCCAGGAGTGTGGTGAAGTGGTGCCCGCCCTGTGCATAGTCCCCCATCCTCTCCCCCAAGGCCGGGAAGGGAGAGAGAGTGAGGAAGGGGAAAGGCCACTAGCAACACAGCGAGGCTCCCCCACCCCCCAGTATGCAGTCAGGAGCAGCGAGGAAGGGAGTGGCTTATTTTCTGGTATTTTTTCTTTTTTTCTTTTCCCTCCTCCAATTTTAAAGGTATATTCAAGTGTGGCTTATATTTGGGCCCAGTGCTTTTTTTCCTGTGGGTATGTGGGGGTACGCACACCTCTAAACATTTTGTGAATCTAAGCTTGGCCTCATTGAGGGGCAGTATTTCAATATGAATAGGAAAAGGAGAGTACCCCTAAACATTTTTTTAGAAAAAAAAGCACTGTTCGGGCCAATACGGTAAATATTGTGATGCGGACAAGAGAACCAAAAGTAGCAAAAGGGGGGGGGATATATATATAGAGAGAGAGAGAGAGTTATACTATATTATAAAATGTAGTATATGTTTTGGATTAATAATGAGGACAGTGTTAAGTTAATGGCTCCACAGAAAACACAGATTCTTAGTGATTTTAAGAGATTGAAATTTCATTCTTTCCTTGCTTTTCTTCCTTCCTTCCCTTCATTAATGTATTTTATTTAAAAGATTATGAGCTTGCCACTCCAAGGGAGCCTCCAACTTTAGAAACATTAACAACAATAATAAAACATATCAGTAAAACAGTGGTGTACAAAGCTAGTAGGTTAGTAAAAAAACACACCAACTCATTAAATCACAGCAGCATAACAAAACCTAAACGCTCAACCACATTTTTAAAAGGTCTGGTAAATAAAAAAAAAGACTTCATCTGCAGCTGAAGGTTGATAGAAGGGAGGAGGACATTGCAGGTCTGGAATCTACAACGGAGATAGCCCTTTTCCCATTCACCACCCATCTTGCTCTTGATAGTGGGGGCACCCAGAGAAAGGTGCCAAATATTATTTTAAAGTGTGGACAGGATATTATGAGAGAAGGTGCTCTTTTGGTGTCCTTTTTGTAATTTTTTGTTTCCTCAGCTGAAAAGCCTCGTGCCTGCGTATGAAAACGATGGATTGAAATGTACTGTGTTGTTATTTTTCTTCACAGGCAGCAAAACTGGGCAATTACCTGGGAAGTGCTTTCCACTACTTAGGTCAATACTACAGGGATATAGCTGGAGATAAAAACAGAGCACTTGGCTGCTATAAAAAGGCTTTTGAAAAAGATAAAACGGATGGAGAAGCTGGAGCAGCGGTAGTGGACTTAAGCACCGAGCTTGGAGACTTGGTACTGTATTAAGTTGGAGCATTTTAATGATCAGAATACCTGTAAAATGCGAACATTTCATAAACATTTTCTCTTCTTGAATGTTTTATCATCTATCACTGATGTTGCAGAGGGTCACTTTACCTTATTTTGCATACATTCTTGCTCTAATTAAATTGTCACTGTTTGAATGTCTTCCATTTCCTTCTGACCTCACTGCTTACAGTCCCTACATGTGAATAAATACCTACAGCTGAGAATTACACTTTATGCAGCTGAAGCTTATCTTTAAGATGCCTCAACTCAACACCGTAGCAAAAAGAACAAACACTGCTACCCATCTGGATATAGTTCAAAAAGCTTCTGTGTGTTTGCTTGATTCTGTTACAGTAGTAGGAATGCTGAGAAACTGCTTCAGAGACTCATACTTAAGCTGAAATGTGCTTACACTTTTGTCTGTTCTTTGTAATTGCATATGCACACATAATAAACTATTCATAACCTTATATTTGTACATTAGCAAACTGCCCTTGCCATCTTGACGGAGGTAACAGAACGAGCAAGTGCTGGGAGAGCAAAATGGGCCTGGCTTCGTCGTGGACTTCACTACTTAAGAGCCGGTCAACATTCACAAGCAGTGGCAGAGTAAGAGAATAATTGCATTTCAATGTCTTCTGCAAAAGGCAATATAAACAGATGGTCTGATAATGCACATATACATTTTTTAAAAAAAACAGCAAATCCTCTATGAATTTGACTGCTTGCTGCTGATTTTCAGTAACAGTTACAAACAACCTGCCTTTTATTCTGTCTATGCAAAACATTTGAGGTGCAATACTGCACTTTTTAGTTATAAAAGGCTCACACTGGACTGTATGAACACCCCTAACCTCTCCCTAAGCAGTGCCTCTGTGCATGGGATGCTGCTGCTAATCCAAGTATGTTGCAGCTTGACAGGGTCATTCAGTAGCAGCTTCCTGCATCTTACCAACAGCATCTTATTGCGAGCTCATTGCCAGCCACAGCCTCAACCTGCAGCAACAGCAGCATGAACTCAGGAACCTTGAGGATGGAAGGATAACATGCAAAAAATAAAAAATAAAATAAATCCTCTGGTATAATTGAATGGCCTCTGCAAATTGTGACAACTTTGGAGGCTGAAGGTGGGGTAGGGTTGTCATGGAGCTCCTATGCAGCCTTGCTATACTCTGTGAACGCAGAGCGCAGGATTCTACCTTTGTACAGAAATTGGACATGGCCATCCAAACTTGGTTTTTCAAAAGCGTAAGTTACTTAGAGACTTTTTAGGTAACAAGTGACTATTATATGTAATAATGATGATGAAGAACCTGGCAGCTTCCATAGCATTCTTGCATGAGTCCCAGTGAACTGAATGCACTGCTTTTGTGAAGACTGGTGGTTTCCCCTAAAATTAACCATTGGTACATCTTAAAAACTAAAAACAAAACTAGTGTAAATTCTGTTTCAAATTGGTAGCCCCCAATAGTAGCCTGTTTTGTTTTACTTGGGGCTGTGATGGAGGATTTAACAAAAGCAGCCCGAACACTTCTGAATATAAACTACTATTCCAATGTGCCCAGTTTGCAGGCAGCTCTGCGAGCAGATCCAAAGGATCCCCACTGCTGGGAATCTCTAGGCGAGGCCTATCTGAGCAGAGGCGGCTACACAACTGCGCTGAAGTCTTTCAGGAAGGCCAGAGAACTGAACCCCAAGTCTATATATAGCATCTATAAGGCGGCAGCAATTGAACAGATTCTAGGAAAATATAAAGATGCTATTGCAGAATATCAGCACATCTTGACGAAATCAAAGGACTATGTCCCTGCGCTGAAAGGTATTCATGTTTTTTTTTTTTGTTGGGTACAAAGATATACACTATATATTCACTACGCCTACAGAGTTAGGTTGGTGGGGAACCACTGACCCTCCAGATATTGTTGGACTACAGTTCCCATAATTCCTGACTGTTCCCCATGCTGGCTGGAGCTGATGGGAACTGGAGTTCAACAATACCTGGGAGGGTCACAAGCGGCCCAGCACAGGTATAGGTGATTGGAAGTCAGTATAGCTAATTTAGAAGTGAGAGAAAGTGGTAGTCTGTTATTGAGACATGAGGAAAGAGTGTTTTGTAGAAATCTGCCTATTTTGGAGCTATGCATTGTTAACCTCTGACATACCTTAAATATGTGGGAGATTAACAAATAGCTAGCAGAAGTACTTTCTTCTATGTATTCTAACAAAAATCAAGAGAAGAATTCATTCACTTGCTTAATTCTTCCATCATTCTACATCTTGAATAAGGAAGGAGGTAAAGATATCTCTCACCCCTTGGTTCCTTGTATTCACTTATTTGGAAATAACTTGCATGTATATGTGATACTAATATCCTCATCATTCTTATCTTATTGTTGTATTTCTGGTAATGTGCATCTAGGGATTTTAAAATTATGCTAAATATGCATAGTGTCCATCAAATGGTTTTCTAGCATCGGCCATTGTATGAGACCTAGGAGCTTAGTTCATCCTTCTTGCAGTTTTACCGCACATTAACAGGGTATTAGTTCTATTCAGGTCTGGGAGAGTGTTATCTCATGATGGCCAAGACTGCCCTTGCTGATTACCTGGATGGGAAAGCCCTGGACTTCATAGAACAATCTCTTGGCTTTTTAGCAAGGTTAGTGTTCATATATTAATCTCCATTAGCAGCTTAAGGGTTGTCTTATTTCAACAAACATCAATTTTAAACGGTAAAGTAGTAGCAAACACACAAACGAGAGCTGAATCTTATAAATTATAAAGGCCACTATATCTGGGCATGGCCAAACTTGGCCCTCCAGCTGTTTTGGGACTACAATTCCCATCAACCCTAACCACTGGTCCTGTTAGCTAGGGATGATGGGAGTTGTAGTCCCAAAACAGTTGGAGGGCCAAGTTTGGCCATGTCTGAATATACAAACCATTTCCTATTTGTTTCAGCATTGGAGGTAAAATGCATCCTCATGCCTGTTTTGAAAGAAGTTCCCAGCATTGATGCGGAATGATGAAGCCCATGTGTTCATTGGAACTTCCATAAATTTTGGGATCAGAAAGATGGGCAGAAATCCAGAAAGAGTTGATTGCACCTCATTCTCTAACTCTGTAACTGGATGTTAAGAATTAATTGTAGAGTGCGTTGAGGCATATAGAAGAAATCCAGCACCATTGGTTTTTCTTCACAAGTTGATACTTGGGGTGTTTATAGGCGTGTAAGGAGAATGCTTTTTAGTCAGCTGAGAAGATTTTAGCTTTATCTTTTGTAAAAGGTAGCAGGTAAATTAGATGGACTCCACTTTTCTGATGTTTCTTCCCCCTTTCAGAGCAGCAAAGCATCGTCCTGAAGTATCCTGCCTTTGGAAACTGCTTGGAGATGCCTGTAGCAGTGTTTCTGTCATTTCGCCATCCAAAGTGAATGTGAAAGTTTTAGGATTCCTTATTGGTCAGAACACAGACAAATGTGTGCTAAAGAAAAGTGACCTGCTCAGTCTGGGAGGAAGGTAATGTATAGTGTGTGTTATAAAATATTCTACGGCCTATATGTCTGGATGCCTTCACCTGAACTGCTTTGCTAGCACAGACCAGAGAACTATAATGTCAGAACTGAGGAGGAGAAATTAATAGACTGCTGTTTTGAAACTAACCCCCCCCCCTTCTCCTGGAAGTGCTTAATATTGCTTTCCCGTGCTTTGAGGAAATTTCAGTGACTTTGGGCGGCAGCCATTGCTCTGATCCCCACCATACTTCAGACATATTTTCACATCTAGCAATCAGTATACCTTACATCAAAAAAAGGGGCAAAGACCTCCATGTTTAACAGGTATGAGAGCAAAGGGTAAAAAGACTGAATGCGGACATACAGATGTGAGCCAGCAGCCTGCATAGCTACTGTGTGGAACCCCCAAATGTTAGATTATGCATGCCTTGGGTAAACAGGGAGAGGAGCAGGTCCCAAGAGATGAAGAGAGGGAAATAACTTAGGTCTTGGTTCTGGCACTCCACCTGCTCAGCTGCAGCCCAGGCAACATATTTTGGCTCTTTTAATGCTTGCCTTTAGAATGTGTGGCTTTACAATTCTTCAGTACAAAATTTACCCCCAAATTAATGCCATGTGGGCCAAGGTGTATTCAGATTTCTCTCTAACTGTCACTACATTGAACAGCATTGCTGTCAAGTATGAAGCTTGTGTAATGTTCCTTTCTCTCTTTCCTTAAAGGCATTTATTTTCAGGAAGACAGGATAGAAACACAATAAACTTTGATAGCATCGCTGAATTATAATTTTTTTGTTTTTTTACTTTCTTTCCCATCTGTTTTGCTGATATAAATCACTCTCTTAATTTTGTTATTTATATTTCTGTAGGTGTTATGGTAGAGGATTAAAACTGATGTCTTCCCCAAATACGTGGTGTGATCTTGGGATAAACTACTATCATCAAGCACAGCACCTTACAGAAATGGGCAGTAACAAGAATGAGATTAGTGAGCTGCTAGAGAAATCTGTACAGGTAATTTTTTAAAACCTTCCTGTGTTCTTTAATACAGTTTACACTAATGGACCTGTTACTGTTAGGAGTATTTCTAAGCTATGGCTATTAAAAAACAAAAACAAACCCTGTTGGGATAACACGCAAAACATTCAACATATTGAATTACAGCTCTGCACTCTCAATCTCTTCCAGTGTCTTAAAAAATCTGTAAGGCTAGACAGTAACAACCATCTATACTGGAATGCTCTGGGCGTGGTGGCCTGTTGCAAAGGTACATTTCAAAGTAAAACTTCTAAAATATAGTCCTTCTCTTAATTGCTCAGAGTTCTGTTGAATATAGCAGAGGATGTTATAATTCGATCTGTCTTTCAGGTGTTGGAAACTATGTCCTTGCACAACATGCATTCATCAAATCTATTCAAGCTGAACAAATTGTAAGTGTTCTACACAAGTGTATCTGTTCCAAAGGAGATTCAGTGATGTTAAATTTAATTTTTGTAACCTTTGTTTTGTCTAGAATGTTGTTGCCTGGACCAATTTGGGAGTCTTGTACTTAACAACTGGAAACATAGAGGTAAATAACTATGAGTGCACATGCTACCTGCTCCAAAGACAGAGTCATAAATGGAAGGACTTAAGGATGTGCCAACTGTTAAAAAAATAGTTTCTATCTTCCTGTTTTAGTATGCTTATCAGACCATTTAAACACCAAAATGTCATTGTCAGTGTCAACCAAGGTATATTTATTGGGATGAAGAACATAGCCATTGAACATGCCTTGCCAGCATTATTGATAGCTTGTCTGTCTCTCAAAGATGTCACAAAAGCCTTTCAGAGACTGTGGCAACAAAAACCTTAAAAACTTTAACACACTCTTTTAAATTGTATTTATTTTATTTATTGAATTTGTTAGTTGCTTTATCTTGCCCAGGGCAACCCAAACCAACTTACAAACAAACAAATAAAACTACATATAAATACATTAAAACCAAAAAGAAAAAGAGAAACATTAAAAAAATTCTCACTGATAGGTAATGAAGCTGCCAGGCGAGCCTCATTGGGGAGAGCATTCCATGAACAGGGAACCACCACAGAAAAGGCCTGTTCTCGTGTTGCCACCCACCAGACCTCTTGTAGAGGGAAAAGTACAGGGAGTTGAAGGATGCATTATATTGAAAGATGAACCAAAATAGGAAGAGGAGTAAATTGTGGTATCAAAAAGGGTGGTTATGTGAAGGGAGGAGAAGAGCTAACAGACCAGGACTACACTTGATAAGAAACAGAGAAATAAACTGTGAAGGTAAAAAGTCAGGCCTTGCTTGCCTTTAGTTCCTAAGATAGTTCATGCTTCCCTCTCAATTTCCTAAGTTTTCAGAGTTATAAATTAGGCAAGCTAACTTTTGTTAATTGCTGCTGTTTTGCACAGAAAACTAGAATCTCTTCTTGGGAGAACTGATGCTAGTTTCTGGCCTCCATTTGAGACCTCTGTGTAATATTTCCCGGGGGGGGGGATATTGTCTTATTTGAGGGCCAATTTCCTGCTTACTAGAGATACTGGCATAGCTCACTGTATCCAGGCTCATATGCAAGCTTTTTTATTAGTTCATGGGGGGGGGGGGTGTTAGAAAACGACAGTGATCAGTGATATTTTAAAAATATTTACAATATTCAGCTTGCCATAGATTATAGCATTACCTTACATCATTTGTAAGTCAAACATGAGAGGAAGGGATAATTTCACTTGTATTTTGTAACAATACTTAGTGACATTCTTAGCCATTGTCAGGCTAATTTAACACTTCTCTATCAATTTTATATATTCTTCCAGCAAGCACATGAAGCCTTCAAAGTAGCTCAATCCTTAGAACCCTCCTATCTAACGTGTTGGATTGGGCAGGTAAGATGTTAAGCAACTTCTTTCAGCCTTGCATATATATATATGCCAGCTGTGTTCTGATTGGCATTATGATTACATTGAAACTGAATCTGATCGACTCCTGCAAGTTAAGTTACTGCAGATGAGTGCTGGCTTACCATAAAACCTGGCTTTCTAAAAAGACTTCCTCACTATTCCCTTTCTTTTTCATTCAAATTCTAGTTTGTTGTATTCTCCTACTTTTCTTGTTGTCACCTATTCTTTTATAGTGAAACTGACAAAAATGCATTTTGTGGCATTTCCACACTGTGCCAAGATATTGCTGTGCCTCTGGTGGTTGTTCGGAGACTGTAGCAGCACCGTTGAGAACACAGTTGAGCTTGAAGTACGGACCCTGAAATACAGGCTCCAGCACCATCAGTTTGCATTAGCTTGATGGTATAAAGATGGGTGTGCACCACTGCAGCTAAAATGGCCTCCTATACCCAGGCAACCAGGGCAGAGGACATTTCATCTGTGCAAGGAATTTAATCACCCATGCATCAAAATCCTAGGTCAGGCATCCACAAACTCGGCCCTCCAGATGTTTTGGGACTACAATTCCCATCATCCCTGATCACTGGTTCTGTTAGCTAGGGATGATGGGAGTTGTAGTCCCAAAATATCTGGAGGGCCAAGTTTGGGGGTGCTTGTCCTAGGTGCTCAGAGTACTAGCCTACAGGATTGGGAGTGTTACTCCTGAGGACCTAACTAGAACTGGCTGCACTGAATTTTAGTTCTATCATAGATGAATTTAGCAACTGATGGTGACAACCTGTAGAGAGGAAAAATATAGGAATAAGCTATAAAGAGGAACAAAGCTGGTGCATGTTATGTCAAATCAATGAGCTATTTTCCCCTTTGCTTTCCCCCTCAGGCGCTCATTGCAGAAACTGTAGGCAGCTATGAAACGATGGACCTCTTCAGGCATACCACTGAACTCCGCATGCATGTAAGCACTTGACCCTGTTTCAGGTTGCAGACCATTAAACAGGAAGCTGAGGGACTGTCCCAAGGCAGCCACTAGAATTTCCCGTGTTCCTGGTGCACTTTGTTCAGGTGTATTATACAGATCTTCTGGAACATGGTGGCTGAGTTTGTTTCAGAGTGCTGTACATGGAATATGTTTGGGGCTTTAGCCAAATGAATGAAATGACTGGCATTTGGCTCGAACAGTATTGATCCAGGTGCTTTGTATACATTTCAGAGGAGTATAAGCTTAAAACCAGGAGTAAAAGATTTAAGGCTTCCTAGTTGTGCAGTTATTAACTCCGCTTGTGTTTTCTGTTCAATCAGACTGAAGGCGCAAAAGGTTATGCCCACTGGGTGTGCTCAACCCTGCAAGATAAAACCAACCGAAACACTGAATTGTATAAGTACAATATTCTTCAAATGAATGCTATTCCAACAGCACAGATTGCTCTGACCAAATACACAGGTAAATTTCTCGTATGTTTCAAGCAGCTGCCTAGTTTCTCTTTCCTTGTAATCAGGGATGTCACTTATTTAAACCTCAGTCAAGTCAGAATGGAACCGGGTGGCTTATTAAGTTATGCATTATTTAGCTTTCTCGGCGGCTGCTCCCAGACTTTGGAAAACCTTCCCTAGAGAAGTGAGACTGGCTCCCTCCTTGTTGTCCTTAGTCAGGCAGGTGTGGACTTTCTAGTTTCAACTGGCTTTTAATGAAAGGGCTGGTGCCGTGTTGTTTTTATTGTAATTATTGGTGTCATTTAAACAGATTTTATATATTTATATGGTTTTAATTCTGTCAGTATTTAATAGTTTTCAATTATTGTTTTTATTTTTATCTGTAAGCTGCCTTGAGTCCCATTAGGGGGGGAAAGGCGGGGTATAAATAAATATGTAATAATGATAATAAAAACTGTGAAAGTGTGGGGGAGAGGACTGCTATTATGATGACTATTTTATTATTAGGCTGTGTGTCAGTATGCTTTTTATTATGTTTTTATTGTTGATGTTCTGTAATGTGTTTTTAATGTACACATTAAAAAGTGGTATATAGATTGTAATAATAATAATAATGATGATGATGATTTTTTTTTCCTTTTCATTTTGTTTGTGTGTACATCGTTTGTTATTGCAGAAAGAATCCAAAATGATGCATGTGCCTTCATAATGCTTGGTTATTTGAATGAATATCTCCAGCTGAAAAAGCAGGCCGTAGATGCCTACCAAAGGTAAACTGCTGAATAACAAGAGATCCTCTCTGGCAGATCATAACAAAAGGGCAGGTCTATACAGGAGAAGGCATTATTTCAGGTATTCCAGGTATAGATAGGGCTTTGTAAGTCAGTAAAAGTACATTGAAGAGGAGTGGGCTTAGTAGCATACAAGCAGCTGGTGCAGTTCTTTCAGAACTGGTGTTACATGTTCCCGGCTCACCCAAGATATAGGAATTAGATATGCTAAAAATGATCAAAATATAGACAAAATCAACACTTAAAAAAAATATTAGATGTCATAAAGTTACATGTTTGGATAGGCTTGCCTAAACAGGTAAGTTTTAGCACTGAAAACAATACAATGAATGTGCCTAATATTAATCTGCCTAATATTAATCGGCAGAGAGTTTCAGAGAATAGTTGCCGTCACACTAGAAGATTATTTGCAAGTGTGAAACGAACATTATTTAAATATGTATCCTGCTTCATCTTCAGTGCTCAAGGAAGATTATAAGATATTAGGAAAGATGAAGATACACCTCTCAAATAAAGGTTTTGTCAAAAAATGCAATAAAATTGTATTCCCCCCTCTTTCTCAATGGGGCTTGCATACCCGAGGGTTTTTAAAAAAATAATTTTAATTATTAGAATCAAGTTCTTAAAATTTGGATAAAGTGATCTTACTGAAATAAGTATGTAGAATTTTGAACCTCTTATTTTTTTCCCCATTCACTTTACAGGGCAGTTCTGCTGTTGAAAAATTATGAAGATAAAGAGAAATACTGTATAGCAATGAGAAATTATGGCAGAGCACTGTGGTAAGTCTGCTTATTTTTGGACAAATTGTTATTTTAATCTTCACCTAAAATTAAGAACTCTTATTGGCACAAAATAAATATGACTCTTACTGCATTCGCACATTGTGCTTCTACTAGGATATGGTATTTCTGTGTCACTTGCTATAATACGTTTTCATACTAATAATCCATTAAGACATAATTTAGCATATATCAAATCTGGGATCTCCACTGAGGTATGAAACTCACTAAGTGATCTTGGACTAGTTGTCCTCTCTCATTCCAACCTACCTTACAGGGTTCTTGTGAGGATAAAACAGAGAACAATGTACTCTGCCTTGAGATTCTTGGAGGAAAGGCAGGGTCTAAGTAGTAAATAAATAATGAGGAATCCACCAGTATTTTAATTACGGAGATTTTCTACTGTTTTCAAGGGGTGCAATGGACTGTCACATTGTAAATGGCTTGACTTGCATTAAGCAATTGCTCTTATTAGAAGATTGCTTCATCTGCTATATTAATTCCATAATTGATTCCAGACATTAATAGCCAAGATGCAAGCAGAACAAACGGCATTCTCCTTTGGATCCCAGCCTGCACATAGAACTTAAATTGCTGAGTGTCAGTGTTTGGATATTAGTTTTTGACTAGATGGGTATATATTTTGTATCATGGGTGATTGATTTATACAGTGCCACCGGTGTGTATGGGAGGTCCCAGTCCCAGTCCCAGTTTAAAATCTGGCATGGGAAACAACAGAGAACGGGTAGGATAGGGGACGCGGAGAGGTAACATGTGGTTGTTTCAGTTTCATGTGCTTAGGCTTAATTGCAGTCCAGGTTAGAATAGGGTGTGGGAACTAGGCAGTTCTGCCCAAGGCTTCATGGAAAAGGTGGGCTTTGAAGAAGGATTTGAAGGAAGTAAGACTAAAGGTGGTGTTGGTGCTTTACCTTGATTCCTTGTATTCTGATTGCATTTTAAATCTCATAAATAACACGTTTTCAAAGTTCATCAGTGGAGAAGCAATTTTTAAGGTAGCCAGGATTCAAACACATGGCCTTGCAATTTAAGATTGGCACCTTAAATTATACTCCCATGCCTCTCTCTTTATAGCAGTATTCCATTTTGAAACAATTCTACATCATTTCTGGAGGTGAATCGACCAATGCACTAAGTGTTGCTCACAAATGAACTACTGCATCATGTCCAGTATAGTGGGTAGCATTTACACCTTATAGTTTTTTTATGGAGCTCAATTGCACCAAACCATTTGTTGTGAGCTCATAATTAGGCCTGAAATTGAAATGAGTTTTGTTCTTTTTCCTTCTTGAAAGTGCTCTAGGTCATTATGATGATGCCATCCAGGCTTACTTGTTGACTCGTCTCACAGAATTTGATGATATTTTAGGAATTGCCCAGGCTTACTTCAAGAAAGGACATTTCCAAGAAAGTCAGAAGGGTAAGTGTTGCACATACATAACATCTCTTCAGGGTAATTAGTATGAATTTGCAACGTGAATTGGATTGTACTGTGATGTAGAAACATGCATTAAGATCCCAATGTTTTGGGGTTTTTTTCTGTAGATAATCTTCTCTCAAATACCTTTCTAATGCATACAAATGATACCTTTTCTCTTCATACAAATGAGATGCACTGCAGATTGGTCCATTCAGTTGACCCAAGCTATAGTATGAGGGCCCGTAAATTTTGGCCGGTCTTAGCACCCAGCCAGAATTTGTGGTTGCCAGGATCCAAACCTCAGCAAGGCAGGGCAGAGTCTTGACTCCAGCATCACATCAAGCTTTTGCAAACCTCCTAAGCACAATAGTCGTACCTTGGAAGTCGAACGGAATCGGTTCCGGAAGTCCGTTCGACTTCCAAAACATTTGGAAACCAAAGCATGGCTTCTGATTGGCTGCAGGAAGCTCCTGCAGCCAATCAGAACCTGTGGAAGCCGCGTCAGACATCTGGTTTCCGAAAGAACGTTCGAAAACCAGAACACTCGCTTCCGGTTTTTTATCGTTCAGGAGCCGGAACATTCGACTCCCAAAGCGTTTGGGAGCCGAGGTACGACTGTACATCATAGAATATTCCCAGCTCTCTTCCAGTATGGGAGCTGAAAAGCGGGAGCAGGAAATCATCACTGCAGTTGCTCTATGCTTAGGAGACACCTGTAGAGATCAGGGCAGAATAAATAATCCCCAGCTCTCTTTCTGAGCCCTGCTATCGTGAGATTCATGACGGGGGGTCATCCTCACAGGCATGCTTCTGATGCACTCCAAGCATCTGCAAAATGCAACAGGGCACAAATCTGAGCTAGGAAAAATATGCTGGGTGTGTTTGTATCATTAGGCACACTGCATTTCCAAGCTCCTTGGAATGTCTTCAAAGTGCAGCACAACTTCAGGGATAACCATTACCTACCATCCTTTCAAGCTTAGGACAAGGCTAGTGTTATTATTTTGCCAGTGACACTTGCCAAGATAAGTATGGCAAATGTATTGGTGGACCCCTGCCACTGAAGAGTTTTGACTAAACAACTTTTTCAGTATTCTGTATTTGTTTGCAGTCAACTCAGAAAGGGCAAAACTTGCTATTTCCAGTCATGCTCCCTCGGTCAAATTATGATTGTAAGCTTGAGAGTATAAGCCAAAGCTGAAAGTTGGATAATATGAGTACACATCCTCACTAGGCCACTTCAGATATTCCTTTGCCCTTGGGATCCTGCCTGTGAGATTAGGGCAAGTTTAAGGCTTCTGCTCTCTCCTACCTGAAAGAATAATAAGCTGGAAACAAAATACAAAACTCTGTTTTGATGCACTTAGAAATTCCCATTCTAACCAAATGAGCGATATATGAACAGCCCATTACAGAATGTTTTTTAATGTATTGTGCTGCTTGTCTTTGGGGAAATCAAGGCAATAGTTGAGCATGGTTCCTTTTTTTGCTATTGTTTTGAATTTTTAAGCTTTGTTCCTATTTTATTACTAGCTTATGAGAGAGCACTCTCTGTTGCCGAATGTGAGCAAGACAAAGCCTATATCCTAACGGCCCTTGCAATAATGGAGTACAAGCAGGATCAAGTGGATGATGCGAAAACCCTCTTATTTAAGTGGTATGTAATAGGTTCTTGCGTTTACAAAAGTCAGTAATTAAAGTGATTTTCTTGTACTGCAAAATATCTTCAGAAACACACGCACACACAAAGGAACAACCCCTCCCCCCGCAAAAAACCCAACAACCTACAGTCCTGTTAGCACTGTATATGCCTTACTAGCTACAAAATGTAAAGTAACAGTTGAGAAAAAGAGAATGCAACTTGAGAGGGAGTAGAATGCCCTGCTTGGGTGGAATGGCATGATAGAGCCCTAAAGAGAAGCACTCCTTTTAGGTGGAAAGGGTACACGGCAGCATTTTGTTGTAGACCCCGCAGTAAACTCAGTAGCTAAAATACCTCCTGATTGAAAGCAAGATGGGGATGCCCCAGAACGAGACAGTGGCTCTTCATACTAAGAGGACTTTCTAGGTATGCAGAAGCACATACCGTATTTTTTGCTCTATAAGACTCACTTTTTCCCTCCTAAAAAGTAAGGGGAAATGTGTGTGCGTCTTATGGAGCGAATGCAGGCTGCACAGCTATCCCAGAAGCCAGAACAGCAAGAGGGATTGCTGCTTTCAGTGCGCAGTGATCCCTCTTGCTGTTCTAGCTTATGAGATTCAGAATATTTTTTTCTTGTTTTCCTCCTCCAAAAACTAGGTGCGTCTTGTGGTCTGGTGCGTCTTATAGAGCGAAAAATACGGTAACTTTGTGAATTCAAAGAAAGCCCTGTTTAAAAATATCCCAAAACAGGATAAGAAGGACCCCTTCACTTTCTACTCTTACACACAGGGGAGGAGCTCATAAGGACTCCTGCTGTCAGGCTTCCTATAGGCATCTGGTTGGCCACTGTGAGAACAGGTTGTTGGACTTGGTGGGCCATTGGTCTGATCCAGCCAGGTCCTTTTTATGTTCTTAAGGAGCCAGAACTTGTAAAGATTGATTGACTCAAGCACTGAGAGGAGCTGAGAATGGAGAGTTAAGATGTCAATTGAAAAGTCATTTTCTCTCTCTGTGTGTCTCTCTTGCTGCTGCTCCTCTTCCCATCCCACCTCCTGGGCAGTATTCAGAGGTCTGAACAATACTTGTAATGTTCCTTTTCCAGATTTACTGGAGCCAATATTCTGTTGCCGGTCCCACTTATATTCACCTATTTGGAATGTTTTGCATTAACTTCATTTTGCCCTATTAATATTTTTTTTTAGTAAAATGTCTTTGAACGGTCTACAGTGGTACCTCTGGTTACGTACTTAATTCATTCCGGAGCTCCGTTCTTAAGCTGAAACTGTTCTTAACCTGAAGCACCACTTTAGCTAATGGGGCCTCCCACTGCCGCAAGATTTCTGTTCTCATCCTGAAGCAAAGTTCTTAACCCGAGGTACTATTTCTGGGTTAGCGGAGTCTGTAACCTGAAGCGTATGTAACCTGAAGTGTCTGTAACCCGAGGTACCACTGTACTATGAAGCCTTTAGATGATGGCACTGATAACTGGAAGCAGAAAAGGGGTACAGAGATTTGGGTTCAGTACCAAAATGCAACATTTTTGGGGGGCAGACTTTGTTAACATGGATCAGAAATTCTTGCCTGTAGCCATTAGACCTCAGATTTCCTGAAATACCAAAGGATTCTGATCAACTATTCTTCAGGCCTGGAACACTTGGTAACCTAATACAAGAAAATGTGAATGCTCACCACTGCAACACCATTCTTGTTTTAGCCATCTGTTGAATCACTAAGAGCATCCTACACGATATTAGTCATTTATCTTAGAGAGTAATGGTAAACATGCATCGTTTTATCAGGAAGGGCAAAGCAGTGCTGTAAAATGTAGACTTATTGCGCTAGAAGCTAAGTTTTATATTGCTTCAGTAAACCGGCTGTAATAAATGAAAATGAATGTAGTTTCCATCTCCTGTTAAAAAGAAGAAGGAAGGAACAGCAGTCTTGCCTGGAAACAGGGGAGAACAGCCAATGGTCACGGTTGTTTCACTGTTTTTCTTCATATCAATTTTCAGTCCAGTTTTGATGAGTCATGATTTTTAGGTCGTTTTTCCCCCCAGTTGCCAACAGGAGATGTTGTAAGAAGTATAATAAAGCTGGTCTTTGCATTGATTTTTCATTTGCAATCAAAACATTAGCTACAAAGGATACTGCCTCCAACTATGGAGGCAGAACAATAGTCACCATAGCTGGTAGCATTACACTGCCCCAGATGATCTCAAGGAGGTTGTATGTGAAAAGGTTTTTAGGGGGAAATATAATTCACAACTCAATAGCTTATGAGTTGTAGATTCAGCAGCAGGCAAGGAGAGTAGTGTCATGAAAATTAAACTTGGCATTGCCAGTAATGTGAATCTTGTATATCTGCAAGATTCGGTGTGAGTGCACTAAAAAGATGTAGTTACTTGTTAGTAGTAGAAATTCAGCTATCTTGATCTGAGGATGGACATATCAGGCTGACTTAAACAAAGTCAGACCATTGATTTGTCTATCCCAGAACTATGTATTTAGGTAGAGGCCTGCACTCTTGACTTATCCAGTTAAAAGAAGCAATTGGTGATGGTAGGATCTAAACCTGGGGATCGTCTACATACGGAACACATGCTCTGCCAGTTTGCTGTGGCTCCTTCCCATTCTGGACTAGAGCATTTTGTAAAGCTTCAGAAGCACAATAAACTTTACAGATCACATTAGATATTAGGCGAATCCCACCTTTGGCATCTAATGAGCCCCATCAGAAGTAGTCCTACAGAAGGGCTTCCACTTGTACATTATGCCTTCCCTGCCCCCACACTCCACCAAGATAGGTTCAGGGGAATTGGGAGAACCCCCAAAACAGCAGGGGAACCCGATGTGCTTGCGCAGGTGGAATGTTCACCACAGCACAACATTGCATTCTACTCCAAGTGAACTCTAGCCCATGTGAACAACAGATCCTTCATGTTTTACTTTATGGTAATAGTGCAGTGAGTAACCATTTATCTGTGTTGTACTTAGTTCTATATTACAGGAACCTAATTTAGGAAGTCTGCAAGCTCTGTGCGCTTTAGGGCTGATAAGGCAGGATGCTACACTTGCAACAGCAGCTCTGAAAGAATTATTAAAGCTAGCAGAAAGAAAGGATGATGTTTATGAGAGGTGCCTTCTTACATCAGCTGTCTATGCATTACAAGGCAGAAATCTGGCTGTTCAGAGACAAGTTTCAAAAGCTGTTCACAGGTATGTAATCCATACTTTCCAAAATGAATTGTGTTGCATTTATATCCCTCCGTTCCTCCAAGGAGTGCTCTTTTGACATAAAACCACCCCGCAAGGTAAGCTAGGCTGGAAAGAAGCTTGCCAAGACTGCCCTATGGGTTGCATACTTGAGTTGAGCTGAGTGGAGATTTGAACTTTTACACTGGGTTTTGTTCATTTTTTATTCAAAGTCAAACTTTTTCTTCTGGGTGTGTTTGTTCTCTATTTCATTTCATGGTGGTGCAGAGAGTTCTTATCAAGCCATTAAGTAGCCAAATTCTGTGAAGTGAACTTTCCCAACTTAATGTGGATAACTGATTAAATTTCAAAAGCACTAGGCGCAATTGAAACAAATGAACCTGCTTGGAAACAGATTTTTCAAAACTCCTATGTCAGCCCTTCTTGTCCTCTCTAAAGAACCATTTCTCTCTTGCTTCAATAACTGAGGGTTATCTAATTATTATTAACTTTTCATCTGATAAAGCTGGAGTGTGTTGCAACTACCTAATCTTCATACTCAGTTGATTGCTTTCCCCATATTCCTGTTAAATATTTTATGCTAAAAATAGTAGCAGTGAAATTGTAACATTTCATGCTGCTCCTTTTGATAATATTTAATTTAGGAACAATCATCTTGTGTGTATAAAATCTCAGCACGGTATCTAATCAGATATCAGCTAGTAATAACAAATTCACAACTGTGAGACTCATAGCTTAGTTCACCTCCAATGCATTATTATCTAAACCCAAAAACTAATAAACGTTTGCAGTGAGCTCTATTGCACTCCAGTTCTGTTATCAGGAGTACAGAAGTGTCCGAATTTCAAAATGGCAAGAAAAAAAAGTTACTTTCTGTTCTGGCTAAAAATAAATCCCAACTCATTTGATCAGATCTATCACTAATTGCAACTGATAAGAGAAATGTTTTTTGATCTTGAGGAACTTTTGCTCCCTTATTTGAAACCTTGATCTGTCAGTATAATTTTGAGATTTAAAACTTAATAACCTAATTGTTATGTATGTTGCTCTTAGACTAATTCCTCCACTTGATTATGTCCCCTCCCCCAATTCTTAAACTACTAGCATTTTATAAATGAGGGCTTCCTTTTCTGCCTTGTAAGTTAGAAGTTGCTGACTGAGAAGCAATCAGAGAACAAGTTGTATAACTTCAGTCCATGTTGATTGGTTCTACTACCGCATATGATGGCAATTTAAAACTGCTGTGCTCTTTTCTCTAGCAACCCAGATAATCCTGCCCTGTGGTCTCTCCTGTCCCAACTGGTACCTCGGTATACACCACAAAATGCAAAGGTGAATATGCATAGGTTGAAATAGAATCAAGGCATTTATTTATATGCTGAACTATTATTAAATAAATAAGAACTTGGCACCAAGAACTGTGTGCACGACTGTTAATTGTTTAGACAATTGCCTTTCAAGATGATCTGCTTGCCAAATTGGCATTAATGTTACACATTCCACTGTTTTACAAATAAGTTTATAGCATCTCCATATATCAGTTGTGCCCTCAGGTTGCATTTACCAACCTGTACAGAATTCCCTTCACCCTTTATTCCTCTTCTCAGAAGGGTAAGATGTAAGGATGAACGGTCGCTGCTACTGCAGAATCACTCAGCACATGGAGTTCCCTGTGTCAGAGCCAAGCTGGATACGATGTTTGTCGCATAGCTTGCCTTTGCATAGCTGGTTTTTCTTCTACAAGTAGTTGGTGTGGAGGGGAAGCTAAATTGGGACCATGTCATGGTTGTGGTAGACTTTTTAACCCCTTGCTTCCTCCTCATTCCCAAAAGGAATTGCCCCAAGCCTGTTGTTTGCAGCAGCAGGAGGGCTTTCCTTCCAACGCAAATAGGGTGGAGAGGGCTTCTGCCTCTGCTTGTTCCCTCCATGTAATGGAACATTGTCAGCAAATATGTAGAAAAAAGGAGAGGGCCAAGGGAGCAACTTACAGCTTGATTCTCCCCCGCCCCCCCCCCCATCATTTTAAGAAGTCAGAGTATTTAAACATACAAACTTATTTGGCATTTCCACATGCGTTCATCCAAAGGGCAGAAGAATTATCTGACTTAATTGATGTCTCAGACTTGTAATACTCCTTCATACCATAATCAGATCAATATTTTATCTTGCAGGGTGGGGCCGCTGCGGGAACTATTGCTCATATTCACGATTTAAACCACGGAAAGGTTAATATCTTCCCTTATCAAAATATTTTCCTACATTGAGAATTTAGAGTGATGCTTTTCATTAGACAAGGAATAAATTAAAAGTTCTCTTTTGCTGTGCATGCACCCTTATTTAGAGAGCCTTGCTGAACACTGCAGTTAATCAGTTGGCGTTAGGATGCCACACAGCTGAAAGTAAAAAGAACAATCCATTGAAGAATATCCAAAAGGCAGTCCATCTTTCTCCAGGTAACTTTTACTTCTAAATCCTTAATTTTAAACCAGATTCAGGGCTGTAGCTGAGTAACGTAATAAGTTAGTTTTTCTGGGACACTAAAAAATCTTGGCTCTAAACATTGATTCATAGCAAGTGAAGTTACAGTTAGCCCACCACTCTTAATGAGCAAAGGCAATAAACATTTTCATAATGAACTCCCCAATTTTATCTGTTTCCAAAATGAGCAGTTAACATGATGATGATGATGATTACTACTACTACTATTACTACTCCACTTTTTTCCAAGGCAACTTACAGATAAAAAACAGAATTATTTAAAACCATAGAAATAATTAAAGAATTAAAGATTTATAGAATTAAAACTGAATGTCATTTTTTTAGTATCTTGGGCATGCAAACTTCTGGGGATTTATTCATTTTCTTTGGTTTTGCATCACTAAGTACACTCTCTTGTATAACTGCTTAGTGTACCTTGAAAATGACAGTTCTCTCATATTTATTTCAGATAACCCTGCTTCTTGGGCTGTGCTCCTGGCTGCTTGTCATGCTGAAAACACGATTGTTTGCCTGCATAATACACAACCCAAGAGGACAGATTTGGAAAAAACGATTGTAGCTACAATCTCAGCTAAAAGTAAGGCCTTGCATTGTTACAAATAGTTACTTATGAGAGGAAACCTTTAGAAATTTTTCTTCTCATTTGAAATGATTAGTGAATGAGAGTACCACTTTTATCAATGTCGTTGATGTTTGATGTCTGTTGATTTATAAAAAAATGTAATAATGAATACCACTTTATGTAGGTGCAGATTGGGCTTTGACAAATAATGACCTTTACATGTTTTCTAGTCAAAGATAAGGATCTTCCAACTTCTTATGCCCAGGCTCTTGAAGAATGGTCTCTTTTCCAAGCTGTTACTAGCTTAAATGAGACAGGTAGAACTTTGGAAGCTGAAGCGCTCTGTACAAAGGTATGCATTAGTAATAACTCAGTTATCAGCAGTTAGGGTTGCCACTTGTCCTGTATAATACAGGACTGTCCCGTATTTCAATGTTAAATGCTATGTCCTGTATTGATACAGGTTTGTCCTGTAGTTCAGGTCTTCTCTCTCTTTCTCTCTCTCAAGTTAGGGATCCTCTTCAAATTCATGTGTGTGAAAGGGTGTTTGAAAGCTCTGAGTAGCCAAGCACAGACAGATTTAAGAATGCATGAGAGTAAAACTGTATCAAAAGAACAGCTGGATGCATGGCTGTAGCTATTACAGGTGTGAGAGTGACTTTAGTTTTCCTTAAGCAGACAAGTTTCACTTCAGAATTGCTAATAAATGTATTAGCTTGAAATGGGCAAGCCTTTGCCAGTTTTCCATCTCTACCACAGTAAAAGAAATAAATGATGTGCTGACCCTTGTCCCTAGCCAATATTGCGTAATAGCTGAGAAAAGTTTCAAGAGACAAGGTCACAAAGGTGCAATGAGTATTTAGCGCAGAGCTTTCCAAACTGTGTGTCGCGACATGTTAGTGTATCGGCTGTACTGTGTAGGAGTGTCGCACAAGCACTCCTCGCACTCTTCCTGGGGCTGGAAAGTGGGTAGTTTAACCTCTGGTTTGCTAGTAAAACTGAATTACTGTGTCACGAAATGATGTGTGTCCAAAAAGTGTGTCACCAACTTGAAAAGTTTGGAAAGCTCTGATTTAGTGAGTGATTTCTGACACATTTCAGTTGTCTTCTTTAGGGGGATTTATTCCAGGAGTTTGCCAGACACAAATTGTTATTGCCTTCTGGGAAAATATGTTTGGAGTCGCATCTCCTCTGTGTAAGGGTTGTGTCTGGGTTTGTTCCTTTGCCAAAAAGTACTGGGAATTATTAAATGTCATGGCAATTTTGGTTTCAGTGGGGAAAGTATTGACTGGCTTGTTGAAAAAGAACTGTACAGTCGTACCTCTAGATGTGAACGGGATCCGTTCCAGAGCCCCGTTCGCATCTAGAAGCAAACATAACCCGTGTCTGCGCGTCTGTGCGTGCACGGGTCACGTTTCAGCACTTCTGTGCATGTGCGTGATGTCATTTTGAGCGTCTGCGCATGTGCAAGCAGCAAAACCCGGAAGTAACGTGCTCCGTTACTTCTGGGTTACTTCCGGGTTGCCACGGAGCGCAACTCAAACGCGCTCATCCCGAAGCACATTCATCCCGAGGTATGACTGTATCTTTTGAGCCTTCTCCTCTTGCTTCTTTCCTGTTGTTAAAGCAACACTATTCCCCCCACCCCTTTTGCTTACGGATTGACAGATGAGCATGCCGTAGTTCCTCTGATTCACTCCAAGTTACACTGTTCACATGAAGGCACTACTTTCCTTTGAAACTGCTTCGAATTATTTTCTGTGTTCAACTCAAAATGTTGTTTGCCTCTAGGGATTGAAAATTTTCCCCGAGCAGCCAACTTTGTACTTGCTTTTAAGGCAAGTTCAATGCAAACCACTTTGGCAGTCTCACAAAGAGCTTCCTGATGCAATCTTGGAAGAACTCCGGAAGGCAGTGATGTCCAACTCTTCTTCAGTTACAGCTTGGCATGTAAGTTTGGATGTGCTTTTTTGCCCTGCGGTTTTGGGTCTCTTTATCATATGATCACAATGTGGTATAATAGCAGCTGGTAGTACGAAAGTTGAGAAACGCTGCACTTGAGAGCTGCACCTAAACACAACCTAGAAGTAACTTCCATTGAAAACTGTCTGGAAAGCAGACAAAATTAGCTCGCAAAAAACTTGGAAAGTCTCAGCCCATGGGAGCTGTCCCGCCACCTTCACCAGCCTCTCATTTGCCCTTCTCTACACTTTCCTGTGCTTACCAGATGGTGAGGTGAAGCCAGGAGGAAGGCAGACTCAATGAGCTTGAGAAAAGATGGGCGAGGGCTCTTTCCATGCAGTTAATGGGAACAATGAGGTGTAGTTTTGTATTCCTCCTGCTTCGTTTTATAGAAGAAACGTTTTTTAAACCAATTCCCCGAGTTCACATCATTAATGCATGTTCTGAGCATACTAAGAAAAGCTCTGATTGCAGAGATTCAGGAACTTAGACTCTTTGAGCTGCTGTTTCCTCTCGCCTCTCCCAGCTCTTAACTTAGCAAGCTGGGAAGAGATGTGAGAAGGAAAATTGGTACAAGACTGAAGCTGCGCTATTATGAGCAGAAATAAAACGGGGAGAGGAAGGGCATTGGTATTGGCTTATAATAGCTTGGGCGTTTCTGAATGAGGAGAGTTGTTCCCACAGGCAAACACGTGTGTGAATGCTCCTCTGGCGATTTTTGGTTTTCCTCCTGGCTTCTTAGTGCTTCTGATCCCTGTTTATATTCCAGTATATTGAAATGTTGAGTTCTCTGATCCATGATTCCAAAATGTTTTCCCTTTTGTAGTGCTGGATAACCAGTGATGCTTATTGGCTGCCATGCTGGAGTCATCCAGAAGAGGCCAGCTAGGGTCACATGACACAGATTTGATTGTCTTTCCCCCAGTTCTGTCCTTGCCTCACCTCTGCTTCAAGGCTTTTCACAGTAGCAATTCCTACTACCAATTCTTGTTTCTTTCTTCATTCTATATACTACTCAGCACTTAGCTTTAACTCAGCATTTTGTCCTTTTCTTACCACAGCTCCTGGTCTTAAAAAAATGTCATTTCTTGTTTTACTTATTTTATCTTTCACCTTTTCTTCTCTCTTGACTATGACATCCATTAGAAGAAGCATCTGGAGCTACAATTTGTTAAATGAAAGCCTTTAAAAATAAGGGGGGGGGGGGCGGGAGCCAAGCCTGTAGTAGACAGACCTTGTGTACCGGCAGAGGCCACCAATGGGGCTAGCTCAAGTCAGATTGCAAAGGGGATTGCAAGGCAGATTGTTGGGTTGAAATAAACGACAGACGAATGGCAAGGTGTCATACGGGAGGCATCTCTCGAGCATGTCTCGGAGAGTCCCTTTTATTGAATATTACAGCATTACCACATATGTGCTTGTTGCTGATTGGTTAACACAAATACAATGCGAAGGTTGAATATAGGTATTAATCATCAATAGATTAAAGGTTGGGAAAAGGAACACAGAATTGGACAGGCGTGAAATCTCTTTATTAAACTATTAACTAGTGATTGATTATAACAAGACTTAAACTATTACTAGTGATTGATATTGCATAACATGAAAGAACATAACTATCGCGTTCCGTAGATGTGGTCAACAATGCGTTAAGAACAGGTCAGGGTACTGAACTCAATGTGAACTGATCAGAACATTCCCAGACCCATGCGCAGAGGCAAAAACTTCCCAGCAGCAGATGAAGGTGCATCCGTAATTGGGGATTGTTTAAGTCCAATCATGAGAGAGACAAAGGTGCATCCGATTGTGACATGTTTTTTTGCAACTGAAGCAAGCCTTACAACTGAGCTGTTTAGTCGTCACGGCACCTTTGACATCACACTACTTAAATCAATAGAAGTTGACATGACAGCCTGTAGAAGAACAGATACTGCAAATTAATCTTGCATCAGCACATTGGCCCTTAGTAGCTTATTCAGCTGGTCATTTAGAATTAAAGCCTTGAGATTTTCTCTTTGATGCCATTTTTGTGCAGATAAATGCACCTGATACATTGCCCAGAGTAGATGGCTTTTTGCATTTTATTGTTGCAAGCAAAGATGTTTTAATGTCAGAGCCAAGAACTAAAAGAACAAAAGGTAGTTAAGCACTGAGCTGTTGTTTCACTCTTTCTTGACAACAAAAGCTTTAGATCACAGATCTGCACAGGGAAGTCATTTATGACTAAGAATTATTCTGTTCTCCCAGGAATTCCGCGCCCCCCCCATTCACGTACTTCCTCTTTCCTCCTTTTGAAATTCCTCCAATATTACCACTACTAATGTGGGCCAATCACCAAGTCATAAAAGGAGAATAGCTTGCTTGGGAAAGAGCTACATAGGGGCAACCACCATTAGCCCAGCTTAATCTTGTTTGGCAGTCATGTTACGTAACAGAACTTTGCTTAGCAATTTTGATTTTATCAATATAGGCACATCTAGTGCACCCAACATAACTGTGCACTCTCTCTTTCTTGGTTCTCTCTCTGTTTGCTCTGACATAAAATAAGTTTCAACTTCTACAGTTCCTCGCCAGCGTCGTTCTTTTTTAAAAAAAGTCATTCTAACAGTTGGACTATTATTGATTAGACTGGAAAAAAATATAGGAATTTCAGTACTCTGTGCCTGAACCACATTAATACTGAACAAGTGGAACTTGCAACAAGTCACTGCAGTGTGGACTGCTCCAACCCCTTGAACAGACAAAGCTCAGTCAGATGCTCAGCAGGGGTATGTAAAGTGTAGGAGCACAAGGGGAATTGTGAAGAGATTAAAGGAACTCAGCCAGGTAGAGCAGTTGGTGAGTGACCAGCCCTTAAATCAGGCATGAGGAACCTTTGGCCCTCCAAATGCTGCTGAACTTGGCATCCCTGGCTGGTAGAAGCTGCAGTTTGCAACGACTGGAAGACCAAAGATTGCACACACCAGCCCTAAAATAATTACTTACATGTCTGAATGAATGGAGCAGAGGCAAAAATGCAATTATAGTGACTTGGACCTAAGTGTTGTGTGGGAAATGCAGATTATGATATAATGAAAAATGAAAATGCAGATGGATTTGGTGAAACCTTATTGTGGCAAGAGTTAAATTCTATGGTTCTGTCATCAGACTGTGAGTTGGATGTGCTGAGCAGACGGGCGAAAACTTTTCAGGGGGAGGATTTAGCTGTTCAGCACCATGATCAGCTCCTCTCGAGCCATTTCCCAAATGTGTGTGCTGAGTTAGGATAGCTGGAGTGCCAGTATATCCCAGGTTAACGATGGCTGTGTGAGTGCCCACAAAAAAACAAGCACCAGAGTCAATTGTGTGGGAGTCATCTGCTTGCCTGGTAGCAGCTACCTGATTTTGCTAATCAGTTTTGGCTAGTCCTAGGACCAGCACAGGCTCCTTGTGGCTAGCAGATGTTACACATGCTAAGTCAGAACTTATTATACTCGCAGAAACCCTCTTGTCTGGTGGGTATGTCTCATATGCAGCAGGTTAATAATCCTGTTTTATGCTATGATCTGTGGCACTTAAAGGGAGAAGCTGTCTGTCATCTTTAGTCCTCCCCCCCCCTTTCAGTCCCAAATTAGGTTGCAAATTCAAACTATGTGCAAATTCATTTACCTTTTCCAGCTCTCAGATCCGTTTTACCCAAATCTAATAAGTCAGTCAGGAAAGCTCTATATAGAATTGCAGATTATAGTTTGAAGAAATGGTATGTCTCTTCTGCAGATGCTTCTATTTTTACTCAAAAGTAATCTTCACCATTTGAGAGTTTTGTTTTTAAAAGAATATTTAATAGAATGATAAGACAAGGAATTTGATAGGCAGTAGTAGTAGAAAAATATGAAGTTTGAACTTTGCTCCTCTGCTTTCAGTGGTTGGCTCAAGTGTACCAGTCACAGGGAATGATGGTTGCAGCAGAGATGTGTTACCGAAAAAGTCTGCAACTGGCATCTCAGCAGGGCCACTGGAGTGGAAAGCTCTCTAGTCTACTAAGGCTTGCTAAGCTTGCCCTGGAAATCTGCATGGTAAGAGAGCCAAGTTAATAAATATGTTGTATATGTGGGGCTACCTTTGAAACCAATTTGGAAACTACAGAAACAAGTGCAGAATTCAGCAGCCAGCTTATTCACCAGGACCAGAAGGTCTGAACATATCACACCAATTGTGGCCTAATTGGCTACCAATTAGTTTACAGGTTCATTTCAAAGTGCTGGTTTTGCATGAAGCAGCTGAGGACCTCAATACCTCAAGGGCCTCTTGTCCCCATATGAACCAGCCTAGACCTTCCTGTCTTCATCAGAGGCCCAAATCCATGTGCCTCACCTGAGAAAGGTGCAAAGGATGGCCACACAATAATGACCTTTTTCAGTGTCCCCTCCCCCCTGGTTTCTGGAATGTTTTTCTAGGGAACTATCATAGTCCAGTTTTAGGTGGCAGGCTTAAGACATTTTTATTTACCTAGTAGTTATGTTAGTCTCTGCTGTAGTGCTCATCTTTGTCCTTATTGTGTTGCTTAGGAATTTTATATTGCACATCGCTTTAAATCTTCTGGGTTTAAATTGATTTTATCTGTTTGTATTTTATCCTCGTAAGCTGCTTTGATTCTTTAAAAAAAGTAGTAGTAATAACGATATGATAAAATGAACTGATTGCACGTGAACTGAATTTAAAACGTAATATGGTGTTTCTCATCTCACAATTGTGCATAAGATAGTGCCCTAGCTTCCAGCAAAATAGATTACAGGCTATTTCAGGGCTATATATGGATTCCTAGCATTTGGATAGCTGGAATAATGAAAGTTCAAAATGTGCTTGTCCAACACTTTGGTGACAGCTAGAACAGTAACTCTGGCTTAAGCACTATTTGGAAAAGGCTTCATCTCGTCTGCATAGATTACTATTGCATCTGACAGTATGAAATACTGCTTTTACTCTTTCTTTCATAATTATAAGTGAAATCAAGCAGCTGGGGGAAGTGTTGCTATTTTCGTAATACATTTTCTCTGAAGGTTGATCAGCAGAAATACCCTTATGCAATTTGTATGGATGAACCATTTTGCCCATATATTTTGATTCTGTTTGTGGATTCAAAAGTACTTCATCCAACATGTTGCATTAATTTAATTGAAGCTGGCAAGTGAGTTTTCTAGGAGTTGATCTATCACTGTCCAGGGATTTTTCTGCAATGAGAATGATAAGAGATCATAATCATCATGATTAAGATGCAGGTGAAACTTTCAAAATGATATTTATGCATTACGTCGCACTTCCACTTGTCCAGGATAGTGTTTGAAACTATCAATTGAAAGCTGAAAATACATTTTTTTTAAAAACCACCTCTAGTGGTAGTCCTGGTTGTTCTGTTACATCAGCCGTTCTAGGAAGCCGTTTTATTACATTATAATTCAAAGCTGCAGGTCATAATTATCTGTGTGGTACACGGGTAAGCAATCTGTCATGCAACATTGCAATTAAAACCACTGACCATTATGACACAATGATATAAAACATTGTTTTTAAATTTGTTTTTGTTTAAAGGGTAATATTTCAAATGATCACTGGCCATCCCTGGTTCAGGAAGCCACAACAGAAGCTTTGAAGCTTTCCTTCTGTCCGTTGGGTGTTCTGTTGCAGGCGCTTCTGCAGTACAACCGCAAAATGGGGTCAAGGTGTGCATTGATCTGTATGTTATGTGTTAACTGTCTATGCATTTTGTCAGCATTTTGGATATAATTAAAATATACCTAATGTAACATGCCCATATGTTCTAATTCAGAAAATGTCCACATGGTAAATTTTATAAAGCAAAACCTTATTAAAATCCTGCTCTTTATAAGGGAGCTAAAGTGTAGGGGGATACCACAGGTTTTCCACTGCAATAAGATACAAAATAGGCGGATGGAAGATTTAAAAAAACCACCCATGATGGTAAAGATCCAGAGAAGCTCTCTCTTCATAATATGAAAATGATGCTTGCAATTGTAGATTTTTGTGAAGTTTCCACTGACTTGCTTCCTCAAGAGCAGGAGCTACTAGAGGGAGAGCAAACAACATTTCTGGATGCACATTCAGTTATTTTACTCCAGGAAGGTCCTTGCAGAGCTTATCTGAAGCCCAGGGCTGGAGTCTTGTTCTTGGCATGACAGCGTAAGTCTGGCAAGCCCCTGGCAGGGCATCCTGGCTGGCTTAACGCTCTGAGGCCCGAGGCAAGTGTACCTGGGTCCCCCCACCCCGCATGGACCTGTTCTAGGGGGTGGCAAACTTCTAGCCCATGGGTCTGATTATCTCAAGAGGCTGCTTTCAAAGGAACATGGCTACAAAGGAACAATCAGGACATTAAAGTTCCTGATTGTTCCTTTGTAAGTGGGGATCACTGACAATTGCACTGTGTCCCTTTGCAGGTGTGGTTTGAATGCAAACAATACCACTAAGCAGACTTCAAAGGGGCTCACTGTAGCCACTGGTCAGCTGGGCTCCTCTGCCCGCCTGCCATCGAAGTTCACTCTCAGAGGGCTGTGAAATGAAGGTTTGTATCCAATAAAGTAATTTTCTTGCACAAGGACTTCCAACTGCACCATGGGATGTTCTCTTCCTACATATCTCCCCCAAATCTGTTCTGGAGGTTTCTGCAGCCCTCGGGTGCAGATTGGAGGACGCAGGGAGAGGAGAGGAAGTCCCCTTGTGCAGGTAGAAGTCCTTGTGCTAATAGGCTTGTCCCTAATGAAGTCATCTTAAGGTTCCAGCCCATCAGCAGGATCCAGTTCTCCAGTTCTGGCGTGTAAATTATTTGTTGAATCACAACAAAGCAACCTGACATAGTGATGATATGTTCCATTGAGTCCATGCAGTAGGAGAGTAGTGACATGTAACAGGTTGTTCTAATGGAGTGGTCCACTATTTTCTTTTTGCTCCAGCAGTAGGCTTGTTCCCTTCTCTTTTGTTGCAAGTGCCCCAGATTTATGTAAGAACTTGCTGTACAGATATAAATTTTGCTTTTTGAAAGCAAGGTTGAAACCTGAGCCCTTACAATGCTATAGACTCACTCTTGTTTTCTAGTTTTCTCATCTCATTTTGCAACGTTTTCTGTTTCCTTTGTAGGGAAACTCGCCGCATGCTAGAAAGAGTGGTGTATCAACCTGGGTATCCAGAAACTGTCGCATCCGTTGCCCGGTGGTATCTCTTAAGGCACTTGTATGCCAAAGATGATTATGAATTAATAGATGTGAGTAGCACTTACCTTTTGAATGCCTTATCTTGGGAATTAGATAAGGCCACATGGTTCTCCTAAGTACTAGAGACCAGGAGGGCTCGTGGGCTGCTTGCCTTGCTGCATCCCAAGTACGCTGTTGTCAGAAACAAAAGGTCAGGTGTACTGATGCTTTAGCAGAGGGAGTGTGTTCATCTCCCTTTGGTCAGTAGAAAAATTACTATGGGAACATAGCTCAGAGGTAGAATATACATATTAGGCCTTTGTAGCCTGGGATCAGCCACATGACCTCCTTTGCTTATGACCTATGCTGTAGTCTTGTTGGTGAGCAACAATGTGGAGTGGGAGACCAGCCCACCAGAAGAGTCTCTGAGGAGTACTTGCCTAGAGAAAGAGTCAGCATCCAAAGTCGGGTTCAGTCCTAGGGTCAGGGAAACCGCAATCCACGTGCTTAGACGGCCCAGGGGTCAGGGAATCCGATGATCAAGGGTCAAGACGAGCAGGAAGCAGCAAGGTAGGGCCAGGAACTACAAGTGCTGTTTCCAGCATCTAACTGCTGCTGGAAGCTCTGTTTATGAAGGCTGAAGCCAGCTGGTTCTCATCAGCACCTTTCCCTCTGTGTCCCTGAAGGCTGATCAGCTGCAGGTGGAGTCACTCTGCCTTCTCCCCCTTGGGGCTGCTGTTCAGCAGGCAAAGCTGACTCCTGGCCCATAACAACCTCTATGGAACGCTAGTCCTTCTTGGTCATTGAAATTAATTAACATAACTAACTTAGGTTCCTTAATTTTAATACACCTACTCTGAGTTGGACTAGCATTGGCTACAATAACTTTAACTTTAATTCCTCTCCAACCAAGATATATTTCAGCATCAACATTATTATTTCCTCCATTTCTCCTGCAGGCTCTTGTAGCAAATGCCAAAGCTAATGGAGATGTTCGAGCTTTGGAGCTAGACAAGAAACTCTCAGCGGCAGCAGCATCCTAGTGTCATTTTCACTGGGAGATTGACAGATGGAAGCCCATGGCAATAACATCCACTTAGCAATTGTTCTTTAAAAGTCAAGGTTCCTGTTTGTTAAACAGTTAGGATCAATTTTCCAACATATTTTAAAAGGAGTCTGTCATTAAACCAGTTGAAAATCAGTGGAAGTTTGTTTTGTGCTCAACTGAATCTACCTATTGCATGAAAGATTCCATCAGATGCCTATGGACTTGGGAAGCACAGAGTAAAACATTGTTTCCGTCTGATGAAGAGCCTGATAAATATTTCCATGAATTAAGCAAATATGAGCTGAGAAATTACCAAACCCTATACTATATTGCACCAAAGCTTTTGCCAATTTGCATATGTATCAGTATCTCTTTTTTACTATTTAGAGGTGAACCTTAGCACACCTTCTCAGGCATAGGAAATAATATTAGTTTGGCGGTGTTGATGATTAAATGTGTATAATGTGTTGAAACACATGCAAAATGTTTGTTTGGGAATTTGCAATGCTGCTTCTACAGTTCAGGGCCATTTGATGATTGCAATAAGACATAACTTTGTTTCATTGTTAGCAATTTTCACATGAAATTTAAAATAATGCATTTACTCTGCTGTTGGCACTGAACTTCTGCGTCAAGGATATCTTTCAGAATGTGATCAGGTACTGGAACAATTTGCAAATATCCATGTCCTAGCATATGTTGCTTGGTTTTGATTTCTGGGACAGAAATCAATTGCCACAAAGGAAAACTTCAGTTTTGTTCCTTAACTTCCTGCATAATAATCTTTTTTGTAAGAAATTGTTATTTGTATAAAATGTTTTTATGAATGGTATGAAACTAGTAGAGACTTCTGGGGCACCAGGGACAAGTCTGTTCCGAGTCTGGTTGCCTAGGAATGTACCCCAAAGTGAGTGGAAACCTTCATCTAAGGCTGAATTTGTTGGGGGGGGTTGAGAATGAAAAAAGATGTTATGTTCATTCTGTGATTCTATTTTCAGATGGCTGGTTTTTTTGTTTGTTTTACAAATGTCAGGTTTCTTTAAAGCATGAAGTCAATGTCTTGAGGCTATAATTGGAAGTGAACTGACATGGGGCTGGGGAGAGGGGTTTTTCAGCATCTTTTTTCTCTACTGAAATTCTTCCTACAGCGGCTTCTATCCTCTGTAGAGAAAAAAAATGCAGGTACCTGCACTTTGTTCAGGCAAGACTAGACAGTAGCTGGAAGCTGTGTGTATGTATTTGCAGCAGAATGATGGTGCACAGGGGAAAGCTTAAGAAATTTCTCCCTCTATGCCAGTCTTCCACTTCATGTTGTAATCTCAGAGGTTGTGTTGGGGTGTGTGTGTGTGTGTGTGTGTGTGGTTTTTTTAAATATATATATTAGAATTAAGCCTTTGTTTCAAATATTCTGGAGAATTCCATTTTTGACTCAGATGCATCAGATTCTACATGGTTTAGGCCTGTACTGATTGTGGGCTTTTATAATTAATATCAATGTTTTTGCTTATTATTTTACTGAAATCTTTCTATGTGTTGGTTTATACGCCATTATGATGTGATGATAATTGCAGTAAATCTAAACACTTGGGATTTCTCAGTGCCTGAAAGAGTGTTTAATGCCTTGGGAGAGCTGTAATTTTTTTTAATTTCAGAAACTCATTATCTACATTGCCAGGTTTTATAAATGCCAGTTGTGAAAGCCATTTAAGTATTAGAAAGACATACAGAGTGTTGTTATGCCTGGAGCCTACCATTCTGCATCCTGTAAAAATTAAAGAACAAGTAGCAGCAGAACAGAGAAAGTGGCATTTATCTTCGGACTGTAAGGTATGTTGCTAACATTTCCCCTCAAACAGTTGCCAACATTGTTGAAGATAGCAAGGTTAAAGGTAGTCAAAGTTTCCTCCCCCCGCCCCTGCCTCTATTCATTTCTATCACTCATAGATGGGAAGGTAAAATGCCACTATTTCAGAAGTAACTCCCTGAGTAAGTGCCCCATTTTCCCTCCAGTGCAAGAAGACTAGCTTTCTGAAATGTCAGTAAGATCGAGTCTGTAAGCCTACTGCTGCGCACAGTACTTTTTATTGCTGGATGTTTCAAGAGAAGTAATTATAATTCCTAAACTGCACATTGCGAGACTGAGGAAGAAGAATGTAACTAATTCCCTCACGGCTTTAAATGAAGACAGTGGCTGATACGGAAGAGCTATCCACAGTGCAGTTATGTTTTGTATCTGCTGCTTGGCACTATATTTTCCTTGAAGCAGAATTGTAGCTCAGATACTGCAGAGGGTATCAGGATCTGAAAGAGCAGTGGTGCTTGGAATTTAGTCCTCCCAGGAGCCACCAATCTGTCACTCCTCAGGCACCGCGGAGCACATGATGACATTGAGGAGATAGGAAAAAGGGGGCACCTCGACACTCTTGGCTACCACTGCTGTCCTGTATGAAGATAAGGAAATAAAAGGGCCAGCATAGTTCTCGGGAAACTAGTAGGGAAAGGGACATTCATTTCCCAAGTCTTTTGAATGGCCCAGGAAATAAGCAGTTCAAGGTCAAGAAAATGGCGGTGAATTGTATTTGCGATCTCTTAATGCGAGAGAATACAGAAAGTTGGTCAAGGAACAGTAATGAGTTGCACAGCCTTCTTCATTCCAGTTTTGCAACCTTTCAGAATGCTTTTCATCCTTTATGCCATGCTATCTCTGAGAGAGGTCCAGCATTATGCCAATGGATACAACAGGACTTCCCTTTCTCTCCTCCCAACCTGCACCCCCCCATCTACTCCACGGGTCCCCCAACCCTCCAAAGTAGATTTTAGGGGTGTGAGGGGAGGGCAAGAATGAGCCATTCCCTTATACAAGTAGTCATCCTTAGTCACATACCTGGATATCACTTAGATATCACTTTCTGCCTTTTTTCCTATCCTAATTCTCTGTGCCAAAATAGAAACAGCAAGAAAATAGAAACAGCAAGAAAAAAAACAAATCTGTAGGTAAAACACTATATAGGTAAGAATAATCATTTGAATTTTCAAGACTGGTTACTGAAGGCATGAACTTACGGCATCTTCATAAAATTAGGTGGGTTTGAGGGGCAAATTATATGTAGGTGTCTGTTTATATGAATAGCACCTGTACCTGATTTTTAAAAATACACTGCAAAGATTTAGTAGGCCTGTTTATAATTTCTGTCTGAGGCTAGAAAACTGGCTTTTATGGCTTTGATAATTTCAGAATGTAACAATTACTGGTTAATAATCAGTTACCAAAGTAGACCAAGCAATTGCTTATACAACAATTACTGACAGCCCTTATATTTTATTTCTTTCCAAAATATAAATTCTAATGTAGGAATATGATTCAGATGATTTGACTTAAATCTATTATAGACATTGCAACATGAATATACAATACTAATCTCCTAGGGAGACATAAGAAAACAAGCTTGATATAGTAGAATTCTTGAGCTTATTTTTTGCAATCTCTTACACACTTTCCCAAGATGGACTAAATGCAAATGTTTTAAGAAGTATGATCAGTCTTCTTGAATTTCAGTTATCTTCCGCCGTATCTTTTTCATGTCTTGTTTGAACTTTTCTTCTTCAAGTTTAAGCTTTGCTGTCTGTATTTGTTTAAGTGCATTGAGCGAGTCACGGATTGACTGAAATCCTGGTAAATAGCAGGCATGGTTAGGGTGACAAAAACTCGTTTTAATAACACTTTTTTCTTTTTATAAACGCTACTGAACAACCCTTTACCTACATACTACCTGTGCTAAAGTTTGCTGAATTAAATCAGTTTCTTCTCTTCCCATGAAAGTGCAATAATAATTACTTTCAAACTCTTTGCTGGAGGATATCACCCTACTTAATTTTTCTTAGGTGCTATGAGCAAAAGTGCAAATTTAGGGGAAGGAGTAGCCAATATGGTTCCCCACCTCAGATGTTTCAGACTCCCTTGGGAGGTTCTGGACTCTCCTTCATTGGAGTTTTAAAGGCAGCAGTTGGATGGTCATCTGTCATGGATGCTTCAGTTCAGATTCCTGCATTTCAGGGGGTAAGACTACATGACCCTCCTTCCCAACTCTACAATTCTTTGAACTCCCATTAGCCCAGGCCAGCATAGCCAATAGAAAGGACTCACTGGTGGGAGGCGGGAGTCCAAAGCATCTGGAAGGCAGCATGCCAGCTACTGCTGTGTTATGTGATACCACACTCTGGAAAACCCCAAACTTTAAGAGAAGGCTTTTTGTGGGGTGTCAGGAGCTGTTCATTGAATAGGAGAGCTTTAACCATTTTCATGCTTGAGCACAGCAGCTGCTTGCACTGATGTGGAGCCCAGTCGGAATGCTCACTCATGGAAACATAAGGGACCCACTGCACCCTTCCCCATGGCCGCCCTGGCAGGGTTGTATCACCTGATGTGTGTCGGGGTGGCCCCCAATCAGATTTGAGTCCCACCATACTTACCAACCAGCAGTTGGGCTGCTTGATTCTGGATACATACCCAGTGCTTTGGCCAAAACCTACTTAAATCTGTAATCAATAAAGTTGTGGCCTAGTTCAACCCAGTACCAATGCCCTGGGTCTTATTTATGGTTGGCCCCTCACTGGGTCACAGGCAAACACCTGAGTATGCAAACACAACATTTTACTAGGATGGAACCCAGGGAATTTGCTGTGGGCTTGTTGGTTTTCCTCCATTAACCAGAGGTGAGTTCATCTGATAAGAATTGGTTCTTGAAGTCGTTCCCCAAATGAGCAGGCTCGTAATTACAGGAGAATTCTTGTAACCCTTCCTGGTTATTCACAGGGATGCATTTTTGTGGGCAACCAAGGCTGCTGCTGCTGCTGCTGCTGCTGCTGCTGCTGCTGCTGCTGCTGCTGCTACAGCTACAGCTACAACTGCCCAATGGCCAATGTGCTCACAGCCATCATGAGATTGTTACTGGAAATAATGATCCACCCACAGATAAGGTCATTTACTACTTGCTTTGTCTCACAGTAAATGTGATGTCTAAAATGCACCTTATAGCCTATGGGTACCCCCGACTGGTGTGACTTGGGGGGAAAGGCCCAGAAATAGTTAGCAGATTTATGTTTCATTATTGTGGATTTCAGTTATTGTCAGAACAATATGCAGTGGCTTGATTTTGACATTACTGACAGAAACATCCTTCACCGAGCTATGAGGGCGTTATGAACAGCACACAGAAATACGAAATTTCTGGTGTAGTTTGGTAAGTATACCTGATTAGAGGGTAAGGCGAGGACTTAATAGGTTTCTCTATGCATTTCCTTAAAGAAACCCACCAAAAATCTTACCTGATCTATATTCACTTTGGATTTCCTCCAGCTCATGCCACATCAGTTTTTCAAATCTAGCAATCCTTGCATGAAGCTTACTTTGGTCATTTTTCACTTGGTTCAGCTCTGCGTTAAATTGCTCTGTTTTATCAGTGCTTTCTATTCTTTTGCAAAGGAAATAATAACTATCATCCGTTTTCTTTTCCACTGTGTCCTTTTAAAATAAAGATTTATGATAAATCAATATAATTACAGAATTTGGAACCGTTTTTACTGCCTCCCACAAAACTGCATCCGAGTTACCTATTCTTTCCCATAGAGACTATTTATAAATATTTTAAATTTTCAGGATTATGTTTGGGGTGTTAGGGGAGGAAATAGTACCTCTGATGAGGGGGGCACTGTGCTCCTTCTAGTGTAGCTTGTCCACTCAGTTTCCACCCTGCACTTGACTCTCATCTGTGGCTCCTAGAAGCTGTCAGCATGAGACAGCAGCCACATCCCAGGAATGGCTTTGACTGGTTGGCTAAACCAGGTGAGGGTAGCCGATGGCTCTCAAACCCTTGGTGAGTTAGGGGCTTCCCTTACATGCAAAGACAGGCTCTGGTGGGATTGAGGAGATGAGACCAATATTGAGTCCAACAGTCAAGGAAGCAGTTTCTGCATGTGCTGTAGAGGGAAGTAAGGGGCAGATGGGATTCATCAACCTGGGAAGGTAGCCCATCTAGGACAGGCATAGGCAAACTCTGGTCCTCCAGATGTTTTGGGGCTACAATTCTCATCATCCCTGACCACTGGTCCTGTTAACTAGGGATCATGGGAGTTGTAGTCCCAAAACATCTGGAGGGCCAAGTTTGCCTATGCCTGATCTAGGAGAAGGTAAACCTTGACCCTAAACATCTGCTTTGTGGGATATCTTTGGGAGAAGAAAAGGCTAAGGAGTGAATGCAGTCGCTAAGGCGGTTGAATGGCCCCTTGTACGCCTCCTTCCGGCAACACCTGCAGCCAAACTGGTGCCAAATATATCACTCTGCTTTCCTTTGGGCCACATCAGCGAGACTGAAAGGAGGGTCTTCTTGTCTGGGCAGCCCAGGACCTCCGTACACACTGCCCATGTGCAACCCCGAGGAGACCACTTCGGTGCTGCTAATGCAGCAGTTTGACTTCACCCAGAGGTGCACTCCGTTGTCTCAAGACAGATGGATGCCAATAGAGTTCTATCCAACATTATGGCAATAGAATTCTATTCTACATCAGCCTTACTTAGATAAGCTGTAAGCCGCCCAGAGTGGCTGGGGCAACCCAGCCAGGTGGACAGGGTATAAATAAAAAAATTATTTGAGTAGATCCATTTAAGTGAATGGATATAACTTAGCCATATATATGGTACAGTGGTTACTAATGTTGGACACAACACATTTTTATTTCAGTTTTTAATCCTAGTAGGCCAGGGTCTGTCTAATTTTATCATTTTATTTTTTTTACTGCACAAATTTGATAAAATTTTCAGCTGGCTCAGCTCTATGTTAGATAGCTGTGGTTTTTTGTCCTTTTACTGAGAGGAATCTTCCATTTTATTTTCCTCCATTTCTGTTCCACCAATATGCCTTAGAACAAAACAAATAAACAGATAGGCACCTGCCTCAATTATATGGGGAAGTGTCACTTTCAGGCAGTGGCCAAGAACTTGTGTTGAGCTAATATGAGACAGGGTGGAGTAATAGTTATATAATGTTGTTCTAAGACTGGGGAGGCAGGTCTTTTAATTGCCATTATGCTCCCTGGGACAACCTTGGGACCGCTCACTATCCTACAGCCTAACCTAACTCACAGGGCTCTTGTGGGAATAAAATTGATTTGTGGAGAAAAAGGACATGGAAACAATGTATGCCACCTTGAGCCTCTTGCAAGAAAGGTGAGATATAAATGCAAATAAAAAATGTAAAACTGCATCATGGAGCATGTTAAGGACACATTTTGAAATAGCAAGCAGCTATACTTAGACAATGCTCAACCACTTAATGAGCATCTTGCTCATTTATATATTTCTTGTTGCCTTTGCTCAGTTAACAAATAGGAATGTGAAATGTTAATAGTGGTTGCAGCAATCCAAGAAAGTCTTTGAATATCTACTTGGGGCAGCTGAAATGAAAGATCCAGTCATCCTCTCATTGTGGTACTCTAGATATCTCCATTATCCTCTCCCATCAGCCGTGAATTAACTATGGCCAAAGGAATGTTCACTCTGTACTTGTTATTATGGCAATAATGATTATTAAGAGAATGGCCCTCCCAGTACCTGCCCTGTTAAAGGAAGGAGACAGTTTCTTCCTTGAAAATTCAAAGCAATCCAGCACTTGATATTTTTGAGGTTGCCAACATTGACCTTGATGTTTTAATATAGGAAATGTGACATTTTAAACTTGCTATGTAATGTCAATAATTTAGGCTTAGCAGTTACTTAGATTTCAGACTCTTGTATATAAGAACTGGATTTCTCACTCCTGTGATGTGACTTAATGAAATGAATCTTTCCAGCTGCATCCAGAATTTTGTGTGAGACATTTAATTCAGATAAACACTGAGAGCCCTAATCCTGGAATAAGGATTTCCTGAAGCTAAACACTCAACTTAAGTGCTTGCATGGAGCCAGGAACTCTTCTACTGCCAAGAAACTAAACTAATTTAGAATGTCGCTCATTGAAAAGTAGGCACTTTGCCATCCATGGGAGGCTTATTGAAGCCACTGTGTTAAGATTTTGCTTATGATGCAAAGTATGATACCCATTGTGGAAGGTAATTTTATTTTTTATGATGCATGCTTTCTATATTTTCCATTTCATAAAAGTAGTATTTTACCACTTGACAGCACTATGTTGAGCACAAGGGCTAAAAGATTGCCGAATATCTCTGATAGTAATATTTGACCCCCTTATACTCATATTCCTTTCATGTGCATTTGCTTTGCTTCTGTGCCCATTTTCCCTTCTCAGTTTATCCTAAGGGAACTCTCTCCCAATTTTCTCTTTGCCTGAGTTGTCCCTGCTCTCCCCAGTTCCCATTGCTTAAAGGGGCACTATTCCTCCTATGTGTGCCCTGAAAGTATTTAAGCTGATCTCAGTTTGTATTCCTTCCTGGAAAATCCTTAATTACAGGTACTTTCACAAGGTCTAGGTAAGTAAGTCTTCCTAGGTTCACTGTAACATCCATTAGAAGTAATAATTCTAAGTATACTTACCAATCTTTCTTTCACTGAATAAAGACACTGATTTATGAGAGAGGCCTGCTCTTGCTCAGATCTCCTCAACTCATTTTCTATCCACTTCCGCTGGTTTTGGATTTGATCCTTAAAGTCATTTAAAACACCATTTATCCTAGCATTTAAAGATACCATTAGTGAATATTCATGCAACACAGTACGATAACTATATCCAGTTAAATTTGGAGACCTCCCTATCTCTGTCTGTCAAAAAGACACACTCAACATTTACCTTTTAAGGTGGCTGGAACATTACTAAGCTATATCTCACACAGGCCGTTTTATATTGTCTAATTTTGTGTCTGCTAAATATAACTTTCTCAAGGCAGCCAACTTTCATGTGTGGCAGCATCAATCAATCAAGTAAATATAGTCACCACAGAATCACATTTGAGATATATTTTGAATTTGTTCCATATACTTCCAAGTTTTGTAAAGTTCTGTATGTGAGATGAAATTCCTGACTTTCTGCTCAAGGGTGTACAGTAGATATCAGCGTAATACTTGGACCCAAGGGTATTCCCAAATAAGAAGCAACTAAAAAAACCAAAAACCTGACATTTGAGTCATTTGATTCCACTCATTTTTCAGTATAATATATTAGCTTAGGAACACAATTTCTGAGCTAGAAAACCCAAAGACTTAAAAAGAAAAAAGGTGAATCTAACATCCAGCTATGCAACAGGTGGGCGGGAGTATAAAAGGCCAGAATAATACTGAGAAACAGAACTGGTTGAGAATACGAAATCTCCAAAGCGTAGCCTGAGGATCTGAAACACAGGCCTAGTTAGACCATCCTGAAAGTAAAAGACGAGACGCCTTGATATGAACAACAGTGACAAAGCCATGAGCCAGAAATGGGAGTGTCTCTGTGGGAGTGTGTACCTACATACATAACATCAGCAATAATTGGTGAAGTGACTCAAGGCCATGTTTCACTCATAGCTCTGAACCTATGTGATTTTGCATGACTCATGTAGTTAAGTTTTGAATTAGTTATATATAGAAAAAGAGTCACAGAAAAATTAAGAAATTGGCAGAGAAAACCAGAAGTCCTGTGTAGAGAGACCTTAGTGTGCAGTGAAAAGTTGAAAGGGGTAGGTTGCAAAAAATAAACCTTGAGCCTCATAATGCGTCCCCACCCCTCGTAAAAAGACTTTTGGCATTAATGTCTCCAGTAAGCAAAGCTATTGTTACTTTTCTGAATACTTCACCACATTAAAACAACACAAAGCAAAACAAAGAAAACACTTGCACACAAAAAAACTAAACCATCAAGAAGGGGGCTTGGCGGAATTCTTTCTCATGGATGTGCTAGATTTCTATACAAAAAGATTTATAAATGCAAGGAAACAAGGTGCAAACATCTTTGCACATGCATAATCTCTGGGCTATGGTTCATAATAAACGATTACAATAAAGGGGGAAAGTGCAATTCTTCCTTTGCTTTTTGAGGGGCAAGAGTATCACTTTGGCAATTTACTCTGCGACCAATATTGTTAGGTTTCTATCGAAGTTTTCTCACTAGTTTGTCAGGATTCCCAAAAGCATGTAAATAAATGGTTCTGTTTTGCTCCCTCAAAAAAATTCCATTGGCCTAAACTAGGTGTGTTAATAAAGTTAAAAAGCTTTCACCACCTACTTGAGATCCAGGAGCTGCAATTCATGATGTTGATTTCCTTGTATTGCCTTCAAATTTGAGTTTTGCTCTGAGTTTGAAGTGTCTATCTTGCCTAAAAGCTGCATTACCTAATAAGAATTCAACAGGGAACACTCTTTATAAGGCAGAATTCCAGCACTTACATTAAACACACATTATTGCTGCAGTGAGTGGGAAAAGCCAGAATTTCCGACAGGCCCATTCTTAAAAGCTTTTCTCAGAATTAATTTAACTCAGTAATAAAGGCTTGCCATCAACTGGTACAAAATAATTTAGTATCCGCCAGAATTTCGCTGATTGAATTATGTGTATCGACAACTCTTAAAACCCAGTGAATTCAGTGTGGCTTTCAGGAGCAGTTATAACTGACTAAAATGTTAGGGTCATGATAGAGTTGAAGAGTACATAAGGGTGCTTAGATAAGATTGAGGAAAAATCAGTTTTATATTTGGGAAATGTATCCTGAGGTACAACTGCACTACAACTGACTGCAGGCCATCAATGAACAAAGCCAGTTTAGTACTCTTGAAGGGACAAAGTGGTGTGAGATTTTTAGTGTTAGCTGTTGATGCTCTGTTTTGCATTCTGATCTTACGTGTAATCCAGGGAGGGCTGTATCGTGATTATTTCTGGATGTGTGGCTAAGCTCTGGGCACACACACCCCACCACCTTTTCCTGTTGAGCTTTTATTTGTCATTTTCCCCTGCTTGATGTCTCTCAATAGGAAAAGACTAACTTTGTTTTTACATTTTTTGGTATTCTGGTATATGTGATTCATGACGTGCATTTATTCTATTTTACTTGGATTGTGGAAGCATCATTTTCTGCCAAGAGGAAGACAGATTTGAAACATGCCTCTGGCCACATTTTTCCGGTGAAATATTTCCACTCGCACCCTCTCAAGAATACCTGTCCTTTGAGAAAGACAGTAAACTGTCAGTAAGGAATACAGGAGATTGGGAAATAAAGTGTGGCTACTATACTATGAAGAATGAAGGCAATACTGAAGCAAAAGAAAAGACCAGCCATCTAATGCCTGCTAAATAATAGCTTTGGTCTTTAATAGAGCAGGGCTCAATCTCCAAAACTGAGAAGCCATGAATATCATATGTAGCAATATACATGGGTAGCTTATTTTCTATTAGTACTGCAAACATCTGAACATTCATGTTAGATCAGATACCTTCAAAAAGTATGCAGTTTAAAAAGTTCTTACAATGAGGGTACATCAACAGTCTTTATCTTACATACTTGTCAAAGAATGACAGAACTATAGAGTTGAAAGGGACCTAGAAGGTCACTTAGTGCAACCCCCTGGAATGCAGGAATCTCAACTAAAGACAGATGGCCACCCAACCTCTGCTTAAAATCCTCTAGTGAAGGAGACTGACTCCAGGTGTAAGGGGGCTATTGGTAGAGTTCCCTCTATGGACCCCCCCCACACTCCTATGTTGGGAGGCCACCATGAATGTGGGTTTACCTGGTAACTGGTGAATGGCTAAACCAACTACTATTAATTTCTCACAATTCCCTTGAGTGATACGATTGTTAATGCTCCAGGGCTCTGTGGGAAGCTTTTGGCTGTCTATCACTCAGTAAGTTGGCTGGGAATCCAGGGGAGGCACCAGCAGTGGTGGGCCCTGTCTAATGCCTGAGGGTGCCTGGTGCTGACACTGTTTTGGGGTTACAGGCCTATATATGTCAAAAAAGGTAAAGCTAGCAAGCAATAGCCAATCTCCTTATAGATATGACAGTGTAATCCACTGTTGTCTATTACTTTAATAAGTCTGCACATGCTCAGTGGCAGAGTTGAGGCTGGCAGCAGTCACCTTTATGGGCAGCTAGCTCATTACCTCAGAACAGTTTGGATGCTGCCTTTTTGCCTCCTTTCTGTAAGGCCCTGAATGCCTAAGAGCAGGTTAGTAGTAAGGTTCCCTTTAAAGTTTTAAAATGAATTACGAATCTCCTCGGCAAGTTCCTTGCTTGTTGATGTTTTTCTGTTGCAAAGGGCGGTAAATTTCAGTTCCTGAGTGCCAGCTTGTTTGCGAGAGAGCTGCTGTGGAACTGAAGTGAACAACAAAATGCTCTGTCTTCATCACTTGCTAACCGCACCCAGATTTCACATATCTGAGATTTACAGATAGGGTTTCCTGACAGGCTTACACAACTTTTCTTTCTTTCTTTTTTTGGTATGATTCTTACATTCTTTTGTTTATCAAAGGTCTTTATTAAGTGTCTCTGAAGGGATTCACAGATAGGTAAATCAAAACACCAAACAGAAGTATATAAATAAGGTTTTTACATAATTTTAGGACACTTATGTAAATTATAGGATTAATAAAACAGAGCACTGTTCTCCCAAAGTTCTTTCTTTCAGGTTGTGTCGCCACAAAACCTTTTCCTAAAGCTTAATTTATATGCTGGCTGGAAGGGCAAATTGCTTCTTCTCTTTGCTCACAAACAATTTTGTCCTATTAATATAGACATTCCCAGACTGAGCTTTTGCCCTCAAGCATGAGCCTCAAATGCACAAAACACTGAAAATCGGGCTCCTGTAAGATTAAATCTAAAATTATTTTGGGGTTTCAATCTTTTTTTAAAAAAAACAAACCTGGAAAAAACTTACAAAACCATTCTATTAATGTTAATATTTTTACACACCTTTGTACAGTGTTTAGTTTTCAGTACTGAAGAAGTACTACCTCTCACTATTTATTATGGATTCTTTTAAACAAACCATAGGTAACACTAACCACAGTTTGTCTGTTTAGATGATACAAGCTGTCATTAAGCAAAGATGGTAGTAATTGCTTCCAAACTGCTCAACAGAAGAAGCAAAATGGGAGACCATGTAAGCCAAGGCTTTCTGTAACTCATTCATGGTACATTTAATTATAGTTCGAACTCAGCCTCCGTCTTTCACTAAGGTCAGTCAGTAGTTTGGAATCAAATGGGGAACTGGGGCAATGTCTGACACGCCTTAAAGATTTGAATAACAAACATTCAGATTCACTCACCTTCAACTCCAAATTATTAGCATAATTTTCTACAGTAGACTTGATCGCATGAATTTCTTTCTCTTGTTTTGAGATCTCATGCCTGATGATATTTATATCTCCAGAGAGTTTTGCAATGCTGGCATCACATCTGGAAGCAAAGGTGGATGACAGAATGCAAAGTAGTGTTAACAGTCCCCAAAAATTCCCACAGCCCCATCAATACCTGACACCATCTCTCACCTAGAAGTGCATCGACCCAAACCTTTAACTTTCCTCCAGAAGGCAGAATCCATACACCATGCACTTAGCTCTTTGACTCTTACCTAAAGACACCCCCTCCAATCAATTCATTCTATTTGAGGCTGCCTTTGAAGAGTATCTTGAAACTACACTGGTGCGAAATGTTAACCAGAGCAGTTGCTGTAACACCCATTCTGCACAATAGCACTGGTTTCCATGTGCATGTTATTTTGTTAGGCAACATCAAGGCTTGCAAATATGGAGGTCATCATTTGTGCTCCCAGGCACATAACCAAAAGGCTGAGCTTTCTTTTTAAGACAAAAAATAAGTCTATAGCCCTCTTAGAAAGTGATGAAGCAAAACATGTAGATACCCTAAGAAATTTATGTGAAATAAGACAGCCTGGCTGCTCCTGCCTACCAGTGCTTTTAGCCAATGGGTGAATAATTGCTATGATTGAAAAGTGAGTTGTTTGGATACAAGGAAATAGGAATCCATGGGATCCCAAAGAGAATCCAACACGCCCATCCCTTATTGCACTGTTCCTAGTTTACTCTTATTTTCTAGTCCTTGGCAGCTTCATAATTTCTCCTTCCGTTTTTCTTAGCAGCAAGGAGGCATTTTTCTGGTGGGTATATATTGCTCTACAGGAGGGAAAGTACAGTCTTTTATTAAGAATTTATTGTATAATTAACTTACAGCGCAATGCTATACATGTCCACCCAGAAGACAGTCTCCCAGGGCATATTCCCAGGTAAGTGGCTGCAGGATGGCAGCTTAGGTTTTGGTTTGGCACTGGGGGAAACTGGGTTCTTCTGCCTTGCTGGATTGCAGGGGTGTAGTGTGGGGGGGTGCCAGAGGGGCTATGGCCCTGGGCATGGATTTTTGAGGGGGCTTGAAGCAGCCGTCCCCATACAGCCGCCTAGCCCAGAGCTTCTCTCCTGGGCGTCAGAAGAACCAACACCCACAGCGAGAAGCGTCAGGCTGGGCTGCACTGGGGGCATAAATTTTCCCCATCGCTCATGCTCTAGAAGGGCATATTCCCAGAACATGGAAAAGTAGCTTTCAGATGTGTAGAGACGGGTCCTAAGCAAGCATAGTAACAGCTTTTGTACTAGAGGTTTTTCAGTATTTCAAATTAGGCTAGCTCAACATTTCCATAAGAGAGCACTAGTAACAAGCAATATGCAAAAAGTGCTCATAATGTGGTATCAATCATTCCCTTGTACTATAGCTTAATCTAAGAGCAATTACTCATTTAAAATTGACTGCTTAAACACAGCTACTAAAACCAGCCTTTATTGCTGCAATGTCAGGAGGTTGTGCTGAGCCTAGAGATTTGTGCTCGCTCATCTCACTCTCACAAAAAAGGTGGAATAAATTGGCCTTACTTTAATAAAATAACCCAGGGAACTAACACTAATTATTTAGATCACTACTTGCTCTGTTAATTATATAGGAAAGTGTCACATATTAAATTGTTTATCCCCTGCAGTTCCTAATACGGTGTTTCAGTGCCAACCTTAAGGCCAAAATATAATGCACACTCTTTGAGACACTATTAAATACGCAGGCCAAGTTCAATAACTACTCCAAAAGGGGTGATCTCGTGGCAGATGGGATATCTGTGCAAAAGTATTGAATGGTAATTCAGTTTCATCGACCACACATTTTCCTATGTTGCTTAATATTTGTGTAGTTGATCTACACAAAGCTGACCCACCAATACCATTCCAAGGCCAATAAATAATTTCTTTTTTTTTTTACTCTTGTGACGAAGGAGTTTGTGAAATCAAGACAGCTTCTGTGATCCATGGATAAAAGCTTGAAAGTGCAATTCCTGTAGTTTCTGTCCAAAAGCCTCTTTCCAATTCCAGTCTATTTAAAACCCAGTAACCACCTGCAAAGCAGCACCATTGTAACTTACCCCACATCCCTGTTTCTTGTTTCTTCTCATGCTAAGAATTCTATTTTTATCAATCCTCTCACTGCGTGAGTTTAATTAATGAGGCAATATTTATACCAAAATTTAACATAGTATTTTAAGTTTGGGGTGGAGGAAATAGGCTCTGTGTGAGATCCTTCTGCATCCATCAAATGTTAAAATATAAGCCAGGCCAACTTCCTGTGTTGAAGTGATAGCATGGGTGATGGGCCATTAAAGGGAACAAAGGAACGGAACTCTGTGTGAGGCAGCAAATGGGTGGGGCCCCTCCCCCAGATCACAGTTAGTTAGAAGATAGTGCCGGAGTCTGGAGTAGAGTTTGGCTGTGACGTGACCTAGAAGTAAAGCAGCAAGCTGGAGAGTCAGAGCAATGTTTGATTTCTGTTTGAATCCAAGGCTGTAGCTGTGGGAGAACAAGATGGTTTTTGGGTGTTCATGCTGTGAACCCCTCCATCAGAGGCTCAGGTGGTATATGTGTGTAAATAAACCATATATCATGAAGACTCCACAGTCTTGGCTGTGTGCCACTTCCAAAAGGAAACACGAGCCCTGGGTAAGATCCTGGAATGCCTGGAATTTCTCACTGCTCAGAAACTGGGGTGATGTGCAACAACATGTACAGAACACTTCCTCCAGCTTTGAACTTAAGAGGCACCAGTTCAGCGTTCTACAAATGGGAGTCTTCAATTATAAAACCAAGGTTTTGAAAACTTCAAAACTACATGATACATTAAATCACTTGTGTTCCCCCCCTTAAAAAAAGAAGCCGCCAGCAGTGGCCTACATGTTTCACTTCCCCCAGATACTGTGATACTGATCATTGCCACTGCATGCCGAAGCTATTTGACCCAGGGGAGAAGGTTCTTTTGGGCAAGTAGCAGCTTCCTGTTCAGAGCAAACGGTGCTGAGAGGAGCAATTTTCATCAGGTCCATGGTGCTGGTGTAATGTAACTCCCTATGCCACCAGCACCAATTCTGATTTGGATCAGCCTCTATCCACCACCACACATAGAGAGAAGGTGGCAAACCACACATTTAATGTAACACGTAGTTTTGTTATTGTAATGTGCTTTGTTTAAGGACACGCAGTTTTAGGGTCAGGGTGTTTGTATGGAGAAAGCTCTTTCTTGTGTCGCCACACAATGCATCTGCCCCCACAGTAGAACACAGAGAAGGGCCTCTTCCCAAAATCTGAAGGCGCAGGTATGATGATAAAACTAGTGGTGCTCCTTCAGGTATTTGGGTCCCCAGCCCAGGATGTTGTAAATGTGAGCCAAGGTTCAAATATTGTTGAGGTAGGTTTCCCTTACTAAAGTATGTCAAACTTACCTAGCTACTCTTCCACGTAGATCTCCAACTCCCTGCAAGTGTTTATGGTCTAGACTCTGCATAGCAAAGTTAGTTCCTGATGTTGCATCATCTCTTGATTTTATTTGCCTCTCCAGAACCTATAATTTAAGCAGAAATGTAAAGGACTGTACCAAAGCGTGTTTTATACAAATTATTGTTGTTGCTTTTATTATTATTTATTAAATTTGTATACCACCTATCATCTGAAGATCGCAGGGTGGTGGTTCACAACATAAAAACACGTGTTATACAAACACCCAAACTGCTGTTATTACTTAAAATAGGGGGCCTTACATTGGAAGCTAAAGAGCAGCTGAGTCTGCACTGGTTTACATTTTTTAATGGGCTAAGGCAATTCCTTTACCTTAGAGATTATCACATTCCTCAGACCTGGTGGTACCTTTGGAAGTTGACGGTCCCACACTGTCGAAGCTTCCAATATCTGCCTGTGTTTGTGTATACAATTTTCATCCATATTGCCGACATTCAATATAGAATCTTGAGATATGGGGAAGGTTCCTAAGGCCCTAATCACATTATTTGTATTTTCCCTGGCAAGTGAACTGGTCTCCAAACCAAACAATCCAATGGATGAATAAACTAGGTCTGACAGCATAGTGGCAGCTGAATAATGAAAGTGTAGAGCAGTTTGTACTGTGGAAATGGGGACTTTGCTGTGGTCCAAAGGGAGGCCGTGTGTAACCTGAAAGCAGGAAGGCCAAACCTAGGACAAAAGTTCCTTGAAACCACACTACATTACTCACACCCATCTCCCTAATGGCAAGACATTTGGTCTGGTTCAGATGTAAGGTGAAATCATCATTCCACACTATATGAATTAGGGTTGAACAACCCAGGCTCTGAAATTTATCCTGGCTTCTTTTAACAAATCAGCTTTAGACAAACCATTATTTCCATTCTCATGGCAATGAAAGGTGAAAGGGGAGGGGGAGCATGTGAGTACAAGGCTCACCACAGTTCATTCAGATAGCAGGAAACCATGGCTTCTGTTATGTCTTAATTGGACCATAGTGGGTGCCTCTAGAGCTGCCCAGAAACTTAATTTTAAGAAATATATTGCTATCAACAGGGAAGGCATGCATAGCCAGGCTGCAGGCTGCCTAAGAATATCACAAAACTGTGTTGTTGGTGCTGTCTGTGCCACAAGTTCGCCACCTAAGGACTAAATGCTAATAGTGGGGTGGGAGAGCTGAAAATAATGCCATAATATTTCACACCTGGCCATCGATGTGCCACTTTGGTTCCAGATAGTACATGGGTAGACAAGCCTGAAAAGCCCGGGACACAATGTTTCCCCCTGTATTGTTCACACAGTACATTTGTTAATGTGGCTGATACTTCTGGCACTCGATTATATGTAACACTCGGGCCCAGATGAGACATTTTATTTATTTTCTTCAGTGACGGTGTGAATCATGAGAGCTATATACAGTGAGAGGGGTGTTTCTCTCTCTGAAACAGGAAGTACACTCTGAGTATTGTATTTTCTTTCATGTTTGATGCTGTTAAATCAAATAAGGCTGGGATGAAGGTTTTATGGTCATATTTGCAGGGGGTTGGGCTAGATGACCTTTGGGGATACCTTCCAATTGTGTAATTCTATGGTTCCATGATTTTTTTGGGGGGGGGTAAACCTGGTGTTTATTTTGCTCTAGGAGGCTTAGTTTGGTCAGAAGCTAGTAAAAACTTCCAGAGTTAATGCAAAATACATTACTTCTGATAAATGAGCCACTATAGCTGCTAGAGGGCCGTGTGACCCAGAAGTGTCTCCGGACAGCGCTGGCTCCCGGCCTCTTAAGTGAGATGGGCGCACAACCCTAGAGTCGGGCACGACTGGCCTGTACGGGCAGGGGTACCTTTACCTATGTACTATCTGAAACCAAAGGGAAACACTGGTTGCCAGATGTGATTTTTTTTCCAGCTGTCTCACTCCACTATAAAGCTGTTAATTCTGAGAATTCATGAGAGTGTGGGAATAGAGAACATTCTCTCCTTGCCTGCCTTTAACTTTGTTCTAAGTGATTCATTATTATTTCATGAATATAACTGAAACAACAATGTTTAAGTACTCTTTTAAAACATTTTTAATTATGCCGACTCTCCCCATAATTTGAAATACTCTATTAGAATGTGTCTGTCCTCCTAATGGTTTTGTTATTTTATATAACATGGAAGTGCTGATTGCTTAGCAAGTAACAGGACAAACCAAAGAAATCCATCGTGGATTTACCTCCTCATGTGGAATATCATTAATGCTTCCATCAGTATAGTTGCTATGACTCTGAGAATAGGGTTGTTAGCTTACAGTCTCCCTGGTGGCCAACTCTGCCAGGATCCAAATTCATGGTTATTATGGCAGTCTCTTCTTCCAGTGCAAAAGAGGCTAATTAAAAACAACCTTTGTGCCAGGAAGTATTTCATTATTATGACGGTTTTTTAGATGCTAAGTTTGTGTGTGGGTAAAATAAATGTCTCGACTCAAGAGGGTGTTGTGGGGGATTGCAACTACCTGACCCCCAATTAACACCCAGTTTCATGCATGGAAGAAGAGAAAGCCACAATAATCTGTAAGCAAAACATAAGGTATGGGGGAAGCTGGCTGTAGAATCCTAAAAAAAACTTGAGGTAGGTCCAGAAACATATAGTAGGGAGCCTTTTTCATCAATAGAGTATGGAGAAACATTCCCCACCTGCAATTTGAAAGGCTATAGTCCATAATTCTGCCACCTCGTAGTTCTAAATTTTTAAGCTCTGGGGATGGGGGTGTCTTGTTGGGGTTTCTCTAGTGTTTGAGCTGTACCAGGGAATGCTTCCTGGATTATTGTTATGGGGCAAAGACACAAGGGCCCTAAAATGTTTCAGGAAGGCTAGAGTCTAAGTCAGAGCTTTCCAAACTGTGTCACAACATGTTAGTGTGTTGGCTGCAGTGTGTAGGTGGGTCGCGTAAACTCTCCCAGTGCTCCTCCCGGGGCTTAAAAGGGGTTAGTTTAACCTCTGGTTTGCTAGTAATACTGAATTACTGTGTCACACGAAATGATGCATGTCTGAAAAGTGTGTCACCAACATGAAAAGTTTGGAAAGCTCTGGTCAAGGTGCTTTGGAGAATCATCACCTATCACTTAAGCATGGAGAAAGAATCAAAATGATGAGGGGCCAAAGTGCAAAGAAAAGAGTCAAAATTACCTTTCTGGATACTCAGCTGAAAATGCCTTTGAAGATAAACTTCAAAGTAATAGTGCCACTGTATGGAAGTAATAGTGCCACTGTATTCTGCTCTGGTCAGACCTCACCTGGAGTACTGTGTCCAGTTCTGGGCACCACAGTTCAAGAAGGACATTGACAAACTGGAACGTGTCCAGAGGAGGGCAACCAAAATGGTCAAAGGCCTGGAAACGATGCCTTATGAGGAACGGCTAAGAGAGCTGGGCATGTTTAGCCTGGAGAAGAGGAGGTTAAGGGGTGATATGATAGCCATGTTCAAATATATAAAAGGATGTCACATAGAGGAGGGAGAAAGGTTGTTTTCTGCTGCTCCAGAGAAGCGGACACGGAGCAATGGATCCAAACTACAAGAAAGAAGATTCCACCTAAACATTAGGAAGAACCTCCTGACAGTAAGAGCTGTTTGACAGTGGAATTTGCTGCCAAGGAGTGTGGTGGAGTCTCCTTCTTTGGAGGTCTTTAAGCAGAGGCTTGACAACCATATGTCAGGAGTGCTCTGATGGTGTTTCCTGCTTGGCAGGGGGTTGGACTCGATGGCCCTTGTGGTCTCTTCCAACTCTATGATTCTATGATTCTATGATTCTATGATTCTAGTACATACGTACCTTGGCCACTCGAATGCTTTGGCTCCCGAATGCCGCAAACCCAGAAGTGAGTGTCCTGGTTTGCAAATGTTTTTGGAAGCCGAATGTCCGACACGGCTTCCGAGGCTTCCGATTGAGTGCAGGAAGCTCCTGCAGCCAATCAGAAGCCACACCTTGGTTTTCAAATGTTTTCGGAAGTCGAATAGACTTCCAGAATGGATTCTGTTCGAGAACCAAGGCACGACTGTACATAGATCTTAAAGCCTGCATGTGCCCTTTCTGAATATATAAGCAACAGCCAAGTTCTGCAATGAGTTATGGGGGAATGGGAATCAAAGTTCTTCTACCCAAATCCCTCTTTTCCCTAGTTTGGGGGTAAGAGATGTATCTGAGCAACAAGTCAGAATCTGTCCTTTGAGGCTTCCCCTGTCCTAACGGTGATCATCGCTCCCAGGTAATTTGCATTCAGGAGTCGGTGCAAAAAGCAGATGTTGGCAGCTAGCTGGCTAGACTTGCTGCCTCCTGGGGAGAACAAAGATATGCATATTTTATAAGTAACTTAATCTTAAGTAAACCCATCTGGAGCTGAACACAACATAGCTACTGAATAAACCAGAGCTTTAACAAATTGTCGGCAATGCCAAACACGACTGCGGTGGTGGTACCTCTATGTCGTGGCTCAGCTTTTTAACTATGCTTGTGATCGTCTGTATGTGGTTCTCCAGGAGCTGGCGTGCTGCTGTCTCCCCTTGCTGAACGCCTTTATTTCCATGAAGGTAAGAAACGAGGCCATCTTTGATCCGAAAGGCCTGATCCAGGAGGACAGCTGTGGTCCTCTCCTGGTTGGACAGCCGGTCTTCAAGGGAATGCACTCTGCTTCCAGAAACATGCGGAATCGTAGGCAGGAAAGGCTGGCTCTGACTCCTGTCCAACAAGAAACTGAATGAGTTAAAAGGTTATGGAGTTAAAGGTAAGACATATATTAGAATGCCCAGCTATGACAGCAGTGTAAAATAAGAAAGGTAAAGTGTATTCAGGTTGTTGTAATCCCCTCCTCTCGCGCCCCCCTCACTTCATACCTATCTCTTAAACAAAATTTGCTTGAATCTAAATAAGCAGTTTACAGTAAAATAAAATGAAACATAAAAATTTTAAAGAACATAGTTAAAAAACACATTTGAAATCATTCAGAAACTTAAATCAACAATAAGCTGAAAACATATTAAAACACACGTAACCTCTTCATGTTTGGATAGACTTGCCTAAACTAGGGCTGCCATATGTCCAGACATTTTCCCCGGACATTACTGGGATTTCAAAGGCAGAATTGACGTCTGGGGGGAATTTTAGAAAGGCGGCGCTTTGCCCTGGATCTTAGGCGTTGTTGGCTTTTTTGGCATTTTTGTAAAAATAAAATAAAAAAAATTGGGGTGTCCTGGCTTTTACTTTTTGAAATATGTCAACCCCAGAGTCATCCACGACTGGACCTAACGGTCAGGGGTCCCTTTACCCTTTACCTTTTACAGAGTATAGGAACCAAATGTGTTTTTATTTCCTTACATACTGCACTAAACACATTCATTTACAAGGTATCTTCACCATGATAGAGACATAATATAAATTACTGTACTTTTCCATGTATAAGATGAGGTTTTTTTACTCAAAAATAATGTCAAAAAGGGGGGGGTATCTTATATACGGATAGTGCATGGGGGGGATGGGTGATTGGTTGCAGCCGCGAGCAGGAGCTTGTAAGTGGTGATTTTTTGGGTGATTGGGGGCTGCGTCAAGTGCTGCTTTGGATTGGCTCCTGCTGTGGTAATTGGGTGGGTGATTGGTTACTGTGGCAAGGGCTGCTGTTGATTGGCTGCCGCTTTGGCAATAGGAGTTGCGATTGCCATCTGATGTTGGTGAGTGGGCAGGCGCATGTAGGCTTCAGCGACGCGAGCAATTGTCAGTGTTTGTCAGTTGGGTTAGTGATTTTCAGCATTTCCCTTGAAAAAAGCTCAAGAACCCTGGGCAATCCTTCCCAAAAAAGCTCAACAACTTCTGGCAATCTCCCCCCATTTTCTTAAATTTGAGTCCCCCAAAATAGGGGGGGGTGTTATAAATGGGGGCGTGTTATACATGGGAAAATACGGTACTTTGAAGACACCCACCCTCCACTTTGGCCTGCCATCATCATAGGAATATAGGAAGCTGCCTCAATTGAAGTCAGAGCATTGCCAGTGTTCATGTTAGCTTAGGTTGGATCTACATCAATTGTAAAAATGCTGTGAAAAATAAAAACGTAAGAAAGCTGTCAATGCAATTTTCTATTGATGACGGATCACTGCTCTACAGCAGCCTCTGGTGTCACATTTTTATAACACATTTTAAATGTTTTAACTGACCATTGTAGATTTGCCCTTAGTTTTGTCTACATGGACTGTCAGTGCCTTTCCAGGATTTCAGACAGTGATGTCTCCCAATCCTTCCTGGAGATGCCAGGGATTGAACCTGGGACTCACCTGCATACGAAAGAGACGCTCTACCACTAAGCTTATAACGTTTCCTCATGTACCTCCTGGGAGTTACATGTGTGGAGTCCCCTGACATTGCCAACTATCAGAATAGAATTGACACACAGTCAGCCTCTCTTGCTTTCTGGCTTCATAAACTAACCTGGCAAATTGTGGGCAAAGACAGATCACAAATAGAAAGTGGTCTCGTTGCTGGTAGGAGTTGTCCAGCAGATTTTGGGACAAGGACTGGCATATCTTATCTTGCCTCTAGCAAAGGATACCCTTAAAAGGGAGGGCTACACACTGGTGCTGGAAAGATCAAACCCTAACTTTGAATTTATTATTTAACAATTAAAAACAAGAGGTATTAGAAATTTCTTAAAGAAAATACTTGAAAATTAGAATAGAAAACTATTTTGAAAATGTCTACCAAAAAAATGCATTTTTAAAAAGCCATTCCAGCAAGTAGTGTTACAAATTTTAGATCACCTGGGCTTGATACTTTGACAGCAGAATTTTGTGTTATAAAACATCCATGACATTTGTGTTATGTCCAGATCTTGAGCTGAAACAATTAATGCTAGGAGCTGTAATAAAAATGCAGAGTCGGTCTGCTGGCGTGACTTCAAATTGAGAGTAGCAGTGCCAAATCACATTAATTTTTCAGGGGATCAGTCCATATGGAATAGAGTATCCATCTCTGGCTCCAGCTCCAAAATCTTAATGGCTGAAGAATGAATGGCTCTAGCAGTTTCATCAGAGCATGTCCCAGTTGCCATAAGACAAATTATTTACACCCACATTTGTTAGAGGCAAGAGCTGAGTGCAGAGGGGGGCCAAAGATGGTCAAACTACCCCAGAAGAAGCATGACATGCTCCCCACCAGAGGCACTGCCCCTCCCCTGACACCCCATACACCTTTGGTCCCCACTCTACATTCAGCTGTCACCTGTGGCTCCTAGAAGCTGTCAGCATGTGATAGCATCCACATCCTGGGAAATTATTATTACTGGTCAGCTAAACCAGGTGTGGGCAGCTGATGGGTTTAAACGCTCAGTGTTAGGGACTTGTTACCCCCTGCATGTGAAGAGACACTCCAGTGGATGGAGCGGACATGATCAATAGTGCATCTGCACGTGCTGTAGAGGGAAATGAGGGGCAGATGGGGTTTGCTAACCTGGGAAGGTAGCCCACCCAGGAGGAAAAGTCTGGCCTTAAACTTCCACTGCCTTTTGCCTATACTCATTTGTGAGAAAGGCTTTGGGAGTAACCACTGAGAAATAATCTCTATCTGCTGCCATTCAGGACATCTTTGGGAAAAGGAAAGACAGAGGAGTAAACCCTACACAGTTCCAGAGTGGAGTCCCTAAGGCGGTTGGATGGCATCTTTTGTGCCTCCTTCCAGCAACTCCTGCAGCTAAGTTGGTGTAAAATGTACTATTTTGTTTTCTTTTGGATTACGTCAGAGAGGCCTAGAAGGGGTCTTGTCGTCTGGGCAGCCCAGGACTTCCATATACACTGCCCAGGCTTGCTCCCTGGAGAGGTCGCTTCAGTGCTGCTAATGCAGCAAAAACAATGTGGGAGGCAGCAGCTACAAGTTATAAGCTCAACCAGACAGGCATAAGGTACCAGCGCTACAGGTTGCCTTTGTCAGTGGGAGAGAGATCATTGTGTCTCACTGGTCAGCTACTGCCCATCTTAAGCCAGGCAGACCCCGGTCAATATAGTGCTGACTCGCCACTGTCCACCTGCTTCAATGGGTATGTGTAGTTTAGAGTATAACTTAACTGAACCACTGCACCAGGCAACAGAGTAAAGAAAGAAACTATCTTGGGCCTAGCAAGCTGGAATGTCAGGACCATGTATCCCGGCTTGTCCAACCGACCTGGTGCAGGTTAATGACTCATGGAAGACAGCCATCATTGACCCTGAGCAGAAAACGCTCAACATTCTGTCTGTGATAGAACCACCGATTAAGGGCTCAGAATGCTTGCTCTCTTTCTGTCTCTCAACCACCTCTAGTGTGGTTAACATCTTGAGCATTTACACTCCCACCATGTGCTCTGACATACAGATCAAAAATCAGTTCTAGGGGGAACTAGACCAGACTGTCTGGATAGTCCCAGCCTGCAAACACCTATTCCTGCTGGGAGATTTCAATGCCAGAGTTGTGGGTTGTCATCACACATGGGACAACTGCACAGGCCACTTTGGTATTGGCAGCATGAATGAGAACAGACAAATTGAACTGTGTCAGGTCACATGGCATGTGGGTGACGCTGTGGTCTAAACCACTGAGCCTCTTGGGCTTGCTGATCAGAAGGTCGGCAGTTTAAATCCCAGCTCCTGCTAACCTAGGAGTTTGAAAGCACACCAGTGCAAGTAGATAAATAGGTACCGCTGCAGCGGGAAGGTAAATGGTGTTTCCATGCACTCTGGTTTCCATCATGGCGTTCGGTTGTGCCAGAAGCAGTTTAGTCATGCTGGCCACATGACCCGGAAAGCTGTCTGTGAACAAACGCCGGCTCCCTCAGCCTCAAAGCGAGATGAGTGCCGCAACCCCATAGTCGCCTTTGACTGGACTTAACCGTCCAGAGGTCCTTAACCTTTTACCTTTAGAGCTGACTGTAATACAGATCACTCCCTGGTGGTGAGAAAGATCCTTCTCCAGCCAACGAGAACCCATAGCACAAAGCAGGAAGTGCAGAGCCTTGAAACAACACTGCCAGGACAGTAATGCCTAAACTTTGTAAACACTGATTCCGTCAAACAAGCACAATTGAACTACCCTAGAGACAGTGCCAGAGTAAGGTGGGACCACATCGAAGAGGCAACCTGCAATACAGCTATGTCCTCTTTTGGCAAAAGTGAGCAACAGATCCCCAGCTGGTTTGAGGCTCAAATCTGAAAAGTGGAATGAAAATAAGTTTGAATTCACCCCCATTGTCTCTCGAGACAGACGGATGCCAACAACATTAGAGGCAACAAATATAAACAAGAAATAATTTGGACTTAGAAATGTCCATGTCATGAGCCTTACAACATGCACCTAACTGCTTCATTCCCAGCAGATTCCATGGGCTCAAGGACATGATTTCCAGAGCACTGAAATTCTGCCAAATAGTTGAATATCTCTTTTCCAGCACTGCTTTCCTCCCAGAGCTGAAGTAAATAAATGCAGCTGAGTCTCCTCCAACACGGGCAAAGGGGATCTGTCTTTCACAGATAGAAACCAAATCAGATCCTTGTATCGTATAAACACAGTGAACCCAAACATAGCCAAACTAGCTAATACTTCATTCCTTTGGAAAATGCTGGTTACTCTTACTACCTGTGTCTGTACTAATTATATTTCTTATGAGAAATGTGACAGCAGGTGTCAGAGTGACTGGTTGCAGGAACCCATACATGAAACACGGATAAATTATTTATGCTTGTTGACCTTGTGAAATTTGTATCTGAGAAGAATGTAAATGATAACCTACTGCAATGACCTTGCTTCCTGAGAAACAGCAGCCTGTGGAAATGTGTGAGGTTTGTACCTTTAGCTCAGCTCAGCTTGTTTTTCTCTGGCTTTCACTACTTTTTATCAGGAACTAGGCTATGATTAATTTCTAGCTGTGCCATCATGAATGCTTCAAGGTTGTTCTTAAAACCTGCAAAGAGGGTTTTTTTTGACTTCAAAAATTCAAATTTTAGTTCAGCTATACTATACTTTAAAAAACGCTTTTTATTTCTACTATGGTATCTCACATTGCCAAAAGAGTATCAGAACCTGCAGAGATTTATGGAACTTTTGTTTGTTTGCTTTTCAAGTGACCCATTCTGAAAAGTGGGATATAAATAATTGTCTATAAAGAATGTGTACATCAACTAGTTAAAACACTGACAAAGTTAAGGAAAATATCTGCAATATGAACAAAAGACAGACTTTGCATATTGAATGTTGTCAACAGCTCTTAGCAATGTCACATTCTTTAGTAATGATGAACATCATCACAAAGTCTTGTTTGCCTTAACAATTTATGTCAAATGAATGGTATCTTAAATGATGGAAATCCTAGATGACTAACTTACTTGTCAAGGTATTTAATCGGCTCAGTTGTGTTCTCTGTTGACATCTTTATTTGAAGTAGTATCTGTAAGACCTTTACAAGGGCAAGAAAACATTATTAATCATGAGCTTCAGATGAACTAATCAAACCAACTACAGCCCACTTATAGGGCAATATAACCTCCATTTACTAAATAGCTTGCAGAAATGTCAACAGTGTCAGTTAATCTAATGTCCACATAAATAGAGTTTGCTTTCATATATGGAGATACACTCAGTTATTCATTCTGCCTTTACAGTATTGGCATAATTTAGATAATAAAATCATAAAAGAGGGGGGGAAATCCATAAAACATTGGTAATCCAGACACATTGAAAACAAAATACTCAATAGCCACCATTAAATAACTGTTAAGTAGTTTAAAATTTGACTTTAAAAAATCTCGGCTAATTATCCTGACATAATCTCAATAGTTTGGGAATATCACCCCTCAACAGACATTGGATGACAAATTCTTTGCAAGTAGATACTTTAAGCTTTAAAGGAGTCGCCAGCAGGTTTCTCCGAAGCATGTTGAAGAGACGGTAGTCCATAATTATATGGTGTATTGTATCTTGTGTATTCGTACCACAAGAGCAAAGTCTATTCTTGTTAAGCTGTAGGTGAACATATCAGACGACACAGCGATTCTTCAAACAGCTCTTGTTTATTCACAGGCCAGAACAGAACTGAGCTGAAGGGTTCAGCCAGCCTGCTTATATAGAGCTCCACTACAACGCAGCAGTAACCACTTTCTGTAACTATCCAATCACTGAACGTCACTTTCAATCCCTTATTTGCATATGTGGGCCTGAGTGAAAACTATCTACAGTTTCCCCCTGCTGGCCCAGGGTGAGAACTTCAGTACATAACAATTCTGGAAGGGTATTTTTTGGAACCTTCCAGACAGTACAAATGAGAGGAATACATTTGAATGGGCTAACATAAAAACTCTATGATACAAAGGGGTATCTAAATTATAAAAATAGTTGGGCACAAACCTAAGTAAGCAGATGAGCATTCAGAGGGGCTTAGTGTTATGTATTCAGTGGTCTGTGTTTGCCTGAGCTTGAGTATGGACTAAGAATTCTGAGTTCCTGTGTTCTGATTCAATACATGATATCCAATCACAGAACATTTCAGGATTTGGGCCTCGGCCATTGGCCCTTAAACTCTGAGTCACGATTCGCAGCTTGGAAGTTTAGACAGCCAATCACGTTGGGGGTAGCAGTGGCCCAGGCCTTCAGAAATGTATATAAGCAGTTGCTTTGTCCCTGTTGTTCAGCTCTGTGGTTCAATAAAGGTTCTTGCTGTTATCACCTACACTTCACTAAGTGCGATAAAGTTTTTGAAATTCGTGATCTAACAGCCTCTGCTTAATGAGAGAGAAAATGCGTAACTCATCCAGTAAGAGGAGAGAATGCATTGCAATCTCTATTTGTTTAAGTTTAAAGGTAATTAGTATGCAAAATTGTAACGAACTGACATCAAACAAAATTACCCCATCAGGCATGACAAATTAAGAAACAACCATGGGAATGTTGGCAAAAATACAATAGACAGAATGCCAGAGACCATGGAAAATGAACAAGTGTAAACAGCTAGGTCACATCTGCCTTCCCTGTCCTATGGGACTTATCCACCCACAGGCCATGTCACCCAAGCGTCTGAGGGATGACCAAGTAGTAGAGCATCTGCTTTGCATGCAGAAGGAGGTCCCTGGCTCAGACTTCAGCATCTCTAGGTAGGGTTGGGAGATATCCTTGTCTGATATCCTGATATCCTTGTCTGAAATCCTGGAGAGATGCTTCCACTCAATGTAGAAAGATGATACTGAGGTAGCTGGACCAGTTGGTCTGGCTCAGCATCATACAGCTTCCGGTGTTTCTATTCGCTCCCATTCTGTCTGAATGTGGCATGTGATAATAGATTCCCCTGTACAAAACATAGCTAATAAAAATATATTAGGAACCTGCACTTTGGAACTCCCTGCCTATTGCAACAAAGCACTTGCCTTTGCTAGACTCTTTTTGGGCACCTGCTAAAAGCATTCTTCTTTAGGCAAGCTTACCTAGATGCTTAGAAAGTTGAAGTAATTTTAATCTTAATATTTTAGCTTTTGTATGTTTTAAAGTAGGATAGTTAATTTTTCTTCATTTTACTGCTGTGGGTTTTTTTGTTTTTTTGTTTTGGCAAACCACTTTGCAAGTTTTTTAAAATAAATTTTATTAAATAAACAATAAATATAAATAAAATAACACAAGCCAAAACACAATCCATCCTGTAGATTTAAGTATCTGTCCATAGTCGCCTACTTGTTATCAGAGGCCCAAAATCCACATTCCTTTGTAAGAAAATATGAAATAACGTAAAACCATTTTTTGCAGACAAAAAATAAATGTGGGGGGCGTGTGACAAGAAATTTTCCGCACCAGGTACCACCTGACCTTCCTACGCCTTTGTTTACATGTATAAGGTCCTGAATTCAATCCCTGGAAGGTAGGACTTGAAACAATGGTTTCAAGTTACAAGAAAGGAAATTCCGACTAAACATCAGGAAGAACTTTCTGACAGAGCTGTTCTCAGTGGAAAGGTCTTCCTCGGGAGGTGGTGGACTCTCCTTCCTTGGAAGTTTTTAAGCAGAGCTTGGATAACCACCTGCCACGGATGCTTTAGTTGAGATTTCTGCATTGCAGGGGGTTGAACTAGATGACCCTTGGAGTCCCATCCAACTATGATTCTATGTCCGGTTCAAAGAGTCAGGTTGCAGGTGATGAGGAAAACCCCCACCTCAGACTAGTCTGGAGAGCCAATATCGTTTTGAGTAGGCAGAACTGGAGAGATGAAATAATAGTCTGGCAGGTTCCTATTTTCCCAGAGGGAAAATTCTTGTGCAGCACTAAACTGTCCTATGAAATGGCTTTTTCTCTCCCCCCTCCCCCAGTGCAATTTTGCTCGGTGATGCAGTACTGAAGTAATAGTTAATTCATTACCGTAATTCAGAATGCTTCTACTAAAAGCAGCTTTTTCCTCCTGCTGCTATGATCATACCACTCACACAGCTATGATCTCTATACCAGCTCCTGGCTTTCAAGATCAACCCTAAGTGCTCCCTCTTCACATTTAAAGCTCTCCGCCCCTGAATATATCTCTGTGTACACCTCCCCTTATCCCCCTTTGTTCTTTCCACTCCACATTAGCTCACTTGGTTTATGAAGCTTTGTAGGTCCCTTTCACATACTTCCATGCTGTTACCTATGGTTGGGGTAATCCCTTTGCGTTGTATCCAATTAAGCGACGCTTCTTGTCCCTCCATAAAATCCACTACCCTCAGCAAAGCCTTTTCTGAATTCTGCCATCATATCTAATGTCAGAAGGAGACTGGGGCTGTCCTATGCCAGCTCCCTTAGTGCAGAAATTTGTCCCCCATAGCTAGCTCTCTCTTTCCCATCCTCCTCACTTAAAGATAATAATCAGGAATCCTATCTCCCAGACACCTTTGGATATTCTACTTTGGTTAAGAAAAATCAAGTGCTCCTATGGCACTTTAACTGATATACTTGTATCATATTATGTTAAAGTAAAATATATTGCTCTGTCAAACCCCACCACTGTTGACCAGGGGTTTGGATCACAGCCTAAAATAGCAAGTTTTCTTGACTATGTTCTAAACCCAACTGCAGTGCCTAGCATACTGTAATTAATAACTGCTAATATTTCTATTATCAGATATTCTGTTCTTTATTAGGTACTATTCCTAGTAGTGATACATAAAAAGATTTGATGATAGAGAACAAAAACATAATTCAGTTATATCTGAATGATATTTATGGAAGAAACCTAAACTAATGAACACAACAGAACCTAAAATTAATTAAATAGCATGATTACAAATATCACAAAGATTCCAAGAAGCAGAAAACACCTTAAATGGATTACCTGAGACTTAAGATGGTATAACTCTCTTCACTTAACAGTAGGTGCTCAGCAGCTTTTTGCTTAGGCGATTTGACTGTTGTTCAACTCTGAAAGATGCTTAGAACCAGCATTGCTGTTTCCCCGGTGATGCCTTGAGGTCAACATTCCATTTCCATGACTCATGACAGAACTTGGAAACCTGTATTAGTAAAAAATAGTGCTACAGTAATCTTTAACTTACAAAACAGTATTTGAATGAGTATGTACGATAATGGCTGCATGGGATTGAGTAGAGAATCAAAAATGCCCTTTAGTACTATTAGATATGTCTACCCAGGTTCCTTGTTTATCCATACAGAAATGAACTATGATACTGGCGTGAAGTTTCTCCCTTGGGCTTAGCTATATTCCAAAAGATTATTTAATACCCTCTCAATAAGACTTAATGTGCTTTGGATTTTCCACATGGTAGCTCTTTTTAAAGAATTGGCACCACTCTTCCCAATAAATGCATGCAAATTGCTTCATGGGGCTTCTATTAGCATGCTTGTTTGCATTTTCAGGGAGAAAGGCTGTACTTCAGTTCATTTCCACAGGTTCTGTGTTCTCAAAAACTCATATCACTGTCCCATTGGAGAGACAGAATAGCTTATGTTAGGCAGAAAAATTGTATCATGAGCGCTCTTCAAATGACCATGTGGTTTGATTTCACCCCTGGAGGCACAATCCAATTTCTCTCAAGGCAGACTGGTGTCAACAAAACCAACAAAATACACCAGCAATATAATTCATAAATATTATTCAGAGTACATTAAATTGTAGTTAATGCTTAGTGTACATTCATTTCTGCTTTAACTTGATTCTAATAATCAGTGTATTCTCCTGCCTCATAAATATCTGAAGCATGTTAACTTGTTCCTTACGGCTATCTGCCAAATTTTCTCAGTCACTCAGAAAAACTAGATGGGGTATTTTGCTAATAATGTTCTGGCTTTCAATCATAAGTTGCTGACAGGTTCATGTTTTCTTCTTGCATTGCCTTTTAAATAACCCATAAGAATGACTAACTGTCATAAAAGACACTTATTCATAATCCTGAAGTTTTTGTTTTGTTTTTGTTTTACCAATATAGTTTCACTCTCCATCATATGTGAAAAAAAGATTGGCAACTCCGTAAATTTCCCAAGCAATTTGCACACACTTTTTGCAATACAAAATGTTGTAGGTGTGTTCTTTCTTTGAGATGCTCGAAGCACATCAAAACTACATAATATAATTCCACCATTCTTCAGTAACAAGCATATTCAAATCCCTTGGGAGAAGTAATCCAATTTCTTAGGAATACAGAACTGGAAGAAAATCAGGGAAATTGCTCCACTTATAATTTTATTATATTATGCAAAGAGCAAAAGTAAACATACACAATTAATATCATGGCATTGGGGGCTGGTTCATAAGGGGAAATGGGGCACTGCCCCCACCAACCCCAGCATCTCCCTACTTGCCTGCTTTCTTTCTTACAACCAGCCAGGTGGTAGCTCTACCTGTCATTGGCTGTGGCTTCACCTACGGTTGCCTTCTGTCTCATCATTCCCAATGGGCACCACCAGCCACTCCTGTATAATGCCATGGTATGTTTTCTTTACATACCACATTTTGGCTCAAAGGCCGCCTAGGAGCTAAGCTGCATATTAATAATAAAAAAAGAAGACATGTACAGAATACAGTCAATAAAATAAAAGAAATCACAACAATATAAAGTCACAAAATACCCACCAGTCACTAGGATATGTGTTCCTGAGCTGCATTCGTCCCCTTGCCACATATACGGAATATAGATATTTTAATAAATCAATAATAAATACAGGTTTGGTTTTCCAGGCAGTAGATTATAATTATAAGCTCTTCTGAACACCACTGCTACCTTTAAAGGCCTGCGAGTGCACCTCATCTTTGATCATCAGAACAGAGCTGATGATAAAACTAGCATTTTATCCCAAGTCTGACAGGTTCTCTCTGCCTTTAACCAGCCCTATTAGTAGTCTCAATACCACAGCACCTGACTCCAAGTAACAATCCCAGAGAAAACGCTGCTTCTAACCCAAACCCAGAACTCATTACTGTTGTAGTCATTTGTTCCTCGTTTGCCCAGCAGCTTGCTAAAAATGTCAAAAAGATAAACTATCAGTACCTGGTGGGAAACTTCTTGGAGGAGCTACTGTGCTTTGTTTTGGGTGAAAATGAAAAGACAAAAGCCCTAGAAGATGGATTCCCTCCCCCCTTCATTTCTCATGAAGAGCAGCAGCAGGCAGCTCCAGGAAACTTCGCACTCTTGTCACCAAGATACTTTTGTTTACTTCTGTCTCCAGGCAACTAGAACGCCAACTTTCAGACAGGGAAATGTGCAGCAAAGCTATGGGCTGTGCGCTGTACACTGAAAACTGGATTTAACATTTAAATCTGCTTGTTTTAATTTCTGTACTTTACCTTTTGATCTGAAGGGCTGTCGTTTACCTCTTGCAAAGTGGAAATAGCCTCCTTAGTCCAAGGCCAGAGTAATCATCAAAATAGCCACCCACCTATACTGCAGCTGGTCTAAAGCAGTCATTTATTTTTTTTTACAGGATTAAAGCAGGTGAATATTTAGAATTAGCCAAATTGACAGATATAATAAGACAAAAACCAGAAAGTGAAGTGAAAAAAGAATGTGAGTGCCTAAAGGAATACCTTAAAAGCCAAGGTTCGAGGACAGAAATTTGGCTGAGTCTGGAATAACCTTGTGAAGTGAAAGGATAAGAAAGAGGGATTTATATCTAGATGCTAGGATAGAGATGATAAGGAAAACAGGAAGGCATAATGAGAGGTAAAGGAGGTGCTGTGGGATTGGTGGAAGTCAATGTTTGTTTTTCTTTTTAGTGCTTATATTATTAACTTGTAAGATATGGATTTGGGGTTTTTTGTACGCTGGTTTTTGTGTTTTGTGTATTGTTATTTTTTGATATTTTTCGTGTTGTTGTGTGGAAAATACTAATAAAATTTATTATAAAAACAAGCAGGTGATGTAAGTTCAGAGAAAGAAATGGCACACATTTAAAAACAAACCACCTCTTTAGCACTGTTATGTTTCCTGACAGGACTCCTCAACCTTTAACAGCTGTGCAACAGGCAGAAATTCAATAGGTGCAGATTTTCCCACTTTGGATCTATAGTGATGGGGAAAACTACAGCTACAGCTACAACTACAGTGATGGGGAAAACTACAAATGCAAACTCTTCTTCTTCTACAGCTGTTAAATTTGTGCATGATGATGACACAAAAGGTCTGTCAGAACAAAAGGTGACCAAGACCGCATACAAACCACACATTTAAAGGACATTTCCGCTTCAGGAAACCTGGGAGCTGTCGTTTACCTCTAACACAGCTGCAATTTCCAGTACCCTAAACAAGCTACTGTTCCCAGGATTCTCTGGGGCAAAAAAATGTGTTTTCAATGTACTGTACATGCAGTCTAGGTTTCAGCCTCTTTATGTTTTTGCACCCTGCTCTTCCTTCAAGTATCTCAGAGCAGCATTTAGGCTGAAAGTAACACGGACTGCCCCAAATCTTCCATGGAGTTTTACAGGCCCCATGTGAGCCGGCTGAGGATTCTCACACAGGACAGGACTTCCGGGTTAGCGCCATCGGCAATGGCGGAGTTCCTCTGACCGAGAGGAACCCGCTCCGTGAAAATCGGGTCTTGCCGCCGCGGCGAAGGCGGAGACCCTCTAAAATCCCAGGCGGAGGAAGCCTGGGAACGTGGGATTCGGCTGACACCAGGAGCGCCTCCCTACTCGCAGGGAAACCCTTTTTGGGGATCCGAGCGACGTGGGGTGAGTGGCGCGGTGTTTTGAATCAACCGCTACTTTTACGGAGTGAAGCCGCACAGCCGTTGCCGGAGAGCGCTGACTTTTTCCTGTGGACAATTGGACTCTAAACAAGTACCCGTGAGTAGAACGGAAAATTGGATTAAGAAACATTTTAATTTGGCACTGAAGCGGGAAGGCTCTAAACAGGAAGTCCGCCTCCCATTTTTGTAAATAGATTGAAGCAAAAACTTTGTAAGCTAAAGTCTGGAAAGTCGTATATAAAGGTCTAAATTTCCTTCAGTTATTACCACCAAAACCCCTCTTGGAAGCAGGAGAAAAGGGGGGGAATTTTTGACTGTTTAAGCCTGCAGGAGAGAGAGTAAAGAAAGATAAATTTCCACCGTCTCAAACCTGGGAACGGGGTGTCAGAGACAGAAATTTATGGGGAAGTTCATCGACTGTGAATGGAACGTCTTTTGACAGATAGTAAAAAAAAGAGAAACAAATTGACTCCAATGTTGCCTCTTGCATTCAAAAGAAACAAAATATTTGAAAAATGAAAGTAATTTTCTTTTGTTGGTCCTGCTTTCAAAAGATGGATACAAATAGAAATTGTCTCCTCTAGAGGGAGCTTGTTAATTTGTTGCTGGAGTCGATCTGGGGATTTCACAGCTGTAAGATTAGGATCGTGAGACCAGACTCTGACCTTGAATAAAAATGTGTTTAGAAGAAGTTTTGGTGCTTGCTTTTTGCAAGACAAGCGCTTTGCTGGAGCAGATGCATGAGAAGATGGATTTGATGACTGTTGCAGTTAAAAACTTTGGACAAACGGCGAATACCCATATAGAAACCATTCAGGAACCAGCCCAGGAACTTGTTTTGACAGGGCAAGCGCAAGTGCAGAAGATAATGGAGGAGGTTGCTGTTGAACCTCAAGTAACACAAATGGAGAGATCCGAGGCCTTGCAGGAGCATAAGCCGCTGTTCTTGAAGTTTGAATCTGGAGTAGATCGGGGGGTCTGGAGTTGTGAGGGCTCTTAATTTTGGAAGGACTTTGAAACATGCTTTTAAATACTTCCTGGATTACAGTGTTGACTGTGGGGAATGGGACTGTGGGGAATGGGCTGATCTGCTGAGGGAGATGGAGATATTTTTGGATTGGAGTCCTCCCGAGACCTACCCCCAATGAGAAAGGAAAGAAATTAAGAAAAAGATCAACAAAAGACAAAGTAAAGTGCAGGTATAAACAAGAAGAAGATCTGCAGAAGGGACATGGAAAAGACTTAAGAGCCTCGGACATAAGATCACCAGGTTGATGGACTAGATGGAATGGACAAGAAGGACTGACAAAACCCGAGACCAGGAAGAAGAGACGTTGGATGAAGATTGGAAGAAAGTTTTTAAAAAATTATTTTGAGAATTAGTGTAAAATTAATGAGTATTAGGAAATATGTTGGAATGAAACTATTTGGCTTTAGTAGAAATGATATAAGGAATTATGTACAAATAAGTATTAAGTTTTAAGTTTTTTTTTATGGTAAGATAAGGTTAAATAAATTAAGGTAAATTGAATGACAGAATATAGTGAAAGATGGAAAGGATTTGTTGAGTTAATTAAAAGGTTAGATCGTTAAGATAAATTATATAACAAAAATTGAGAAAGATGGAAAGAATTTGCTGAAACAATTAATTAAATTAGAATACAAAAAGGGAGGTGTGAGGAGGTCGATGAAACAAGTAAATGAAAGATAAAGATATGGAACATTGGATGTGTGTTTTAATGTTATTGTTTTTGTTTCTGCATTGTTGTATTGTTTTTTATGCTTTTCCTTTTATGTATTGTAATGTATGTTTTGTTAATTTTTTTGTTTTCTTTTTTTCTTTTTCTCTTTTTTCTGTAATTCTTAAACTTTTAATAAGTATCATTTTTTTTAAAAAAAGGATTCTCACACAGGACATTGCAGGCATGGAGACAGTGGACTCAGCTATACAGTTGCAAATAAAACATTTTGAGTGTGTTTTAAGTGCAATATACAATGTGACACTAGATGGCGGTGGTGAGCCTTATGGAAAATTCAATGTATTTTAAAAACCGCTTTTAAAAAAGCATTTTCAGAACGTTTTTTTATATGTGTGTATATTCCACCAGTCTTCATTTTGAAGTAAGCCAGCTGAGAGCCGTCTCGCCGTCTCCCAGGCCTAAATAGGAAAATGTGGTAAATTATGCTTTTTTACGTAATATGGTAACTATCGATTGTTGGGTTATTTTATGTCTAATGTATTACTTATATTTATGTATACCAATTATAAAATAAACCATTTAAAAATATGTTGGCCAGCCTCTTTCTTTCATACTTGTCAAAAATGACAATATGAAAAATATACCATAGTATTTAAGGTCCACTTGCTAAGAGCTAGACAGATGGACTCCTGTGTGCCATTGTACCTAAGGAAAGTCACTAGAGGCTTGGCTTAGGTTTGAAAGAGTCACATTCTGTTCCTCTTGAGCCTTGTACTTTGAAATCTGATGTGATATATTTAGTCTAGAAATGAACAGATGGGCTGTTTGTACTTGGTACTTTAAATTCCCACAATATTAAAAATGATTGTATAGGTTTTTGACATGGTTTAAATGAATGATTTCTCATTATATAACAAGAGTGGGATTTTGCCTTTCCACTATTAAGATCTTTTAAATTTTTGGTTAAGAGTTGCTTTTCAGTTTGTCCCGTCCCCCCCAATTAACTTACATAGCCACTGCTAAACATTGTGATAATAAACATAAATATTGTGCTCAAGTGTTGCTCTTATAACGCCCCTCTCTTTTTCCAGGCAAGAAGGGAAAACATCAATTTCAACTGCATATGCCAAAATCAAATCCTGTTTTGAGTACCCAGCTTTGTGGTTATGTTTGGCTTTCGGTCACTTTGGAAATATCACAAAATATGCACCGTATTGCATAGATGGGGAGCCTGTGGTCCTCCGGATGTTGCTAGACTACAACTTCCATCATCCCTGACCAATGGCCATATTGGGTGTCCTAACAACTCCCAGCATCCTTAACCAAGTAGGATTATTTGGGGGACATCATAACTGTTAAAGTGGTATAAGAATGCTTTAAATGTAATGGTGTGGATGCTGCCTGTATCATCTGCTTTTTTGGGAGGGCAGAGTCCTTCCACTCTTCCAGCCTTTGCCCTTTTCTTCAGCATTACTACATTTCCAGAAATGTGCAGAGCGTTATCAAGCAAACCAGCCAATACAATGAAGAAAAGTGTTCAGGCAGCTGGAACAATATATATTGAGAAAAGAGCTGGAAGATATTTCATTAGTCATGCCATCCTGTAGCACCCTGCTTGTGGTTAACGCTTAGCTGGAATGAAATATTCAACGCAGCAATAGAGAAATTAAAATAATAATTTATTTGTCAGACAAATAAATGAGAGACACAGTGGTATATGGATACCAAAGCTCTGCCTACTCCAGCCCTGATGGCCAGCACTT